CTTTTACTCGTTTCAGCAGCGACGGATTCTGACTTCGTCGCCCCTTTCGACCTTGATTCTGCGTTCCTTAATAATGCTGAACTCGATCGCGACGTCTTCTGCCGTCTTCCACCCGTGTGGGCGGAGAAGCATGGAGCGGATACCGTCAAGCTTAAGAAAGCTCTATATGGGCTCAAAGACGCTCCACGAGCCTGGTTCAAGAAGTATTGCGTGCTATTGTCCGAACTCGGATGGGAGCCGTGTCCTTCTGCTCCAGGATTGTGGCGGAAAAAGAGCAAAACGCACCCAGGAAAGTATATGAAGATGTCAGTCTATGTTGATGATAACTTAGCTACTGGACCTGACTATCATGAGTTACGGCCCGAGCTCGACCGGATCTTTAGTCGCGCCCCTGGCCGACCTATTGAGATGGCAAAGCGAGTCGATTCTCACACGAGTTCCGAATGGCTAGAGTTCGACTTTCTTGGTGCGATTGTGCACTATTGTCGGGAAGCGCGTTCAGTGAAAATCCTGATGGATGTGTACATAGAGAAGACTTTACAGAAGTACAAAATAACAATAGGTAAGCCGGTGTGGTCTCCAAATTTCGACGAGTCTGCTTTGCTTGAGGAGGGGCTTAAGCTAGCAGCCGGGTCTCCATTGCGTGAGATTGTTGGCGCACTGCTTTGGATATCGACAACCGCAAGGCCAGATATTTGCGTCCCTGTGGCGACATTGGCTCGGTATGTCAGTAAGCCCGTTACTGAAAGAATTGCAAAAGCCTGTAGAAAAGTGTTAAAGTATCTAGCTACGACGAAGGACCAAGGACTCTACTATTCTCCAGAAAGTGAGGAAGAATTCAACGAAATTTACAAGAAGCTCCTACCAGAAGGAGGAGAGCTACCGTATACTAACTGGCTCTCAGATGCAGGATTCGCAAACTGCATAAAGAGCACGCGCTCGACCAGTGGTTCGATTATGTACTATCGGGGTTTTCCAATCTGTTGGAAACGCAATACCCAAACCGTGCGTGCGTGTTCAACTGCAGAGTCAGAGTATATAGCCGCGTCGGACACTATTGCCATGAGCGAGCTGCATGATTTTGCAGATTTCTTCAATCCCTTACCCACTCAACTAGTGGAAACGCGGTTTGGTATATCGCCATCCCTCGATGGTGCCACATTGTGGATAGACAACCAGTCTGCAATCTCGACAGCAAAGAGCGAAGATGCGAAGCCTAAGAGTAGACACTATGCGTTACGTTATTTAAGGGTTAGAGATGCAGCTGAGAAAGTCGTTTTCTGTCCTACTCACCTGATGAAAGCTGATGGACTAGCGAAACTCTCATGCTCATCTACTCAACGCAGATTATTATTACATCACATAGAGAATCCAGTAATTAGCCGTAACCATGTTGAAGATGATAGTGACTCGGAAGAAGAAGATGACGAGTCTGGTTCAAGTTCTGCTTCTTTGGCGGTACTTACCTATTCTATCTTCTTAGGGTGTTAGGTCGTTGGTCAAAGGTGATGTCAGTGGCTATACAACGCATAGTGATGGTTCTGGGTCAGAGCAGGTAACGCCAGACCGTGTGTGACTTTCGTCATTTCCTCACCTAGCGACTGAGGAGGGGTGTTGGTCAATGGTCATTACTGGCTCAAGATCCAATGAATGAACCTGATTTCAATGCCAAATGACTGCTCTCACTCGTCACCTTGATCATGATCAATACCCTTCCTTGTCTTGAGCTCATTTTAGTTTCTCGCATGATCATCATTTGAACTCAATGAGTTCCAACATGAATCAGCAGCAAGATCTCCCAGATCTTTAACTGCACTATGGCCCTTCACGATATCCCAATGACATTGAACCCATTTTGATACCATTCCAGGGCCTTAGACAGTCAGTGATCATTCGGCGCGTCCGTTCTGATCGTCTTTCTGTTACATTGCAACGATAATCGTTTCATTTGCTCTCAAGAGCCTCATAGTGCGCTTGGACGTGTTCGGGTGTTCCAACAAGAATAAAGAACGCACTTTGTGCATTCTCACCAAAATCATAACAAAAACACAAAAAAGAACCACTCCAAAGTTTATAATAACTAGGAGCAAATGCCATTTTATACCTAGAAAGTGTCTAACTTTAGATAGTAAATGTATAGTTTTAACTCGTAAGCGTCTAACTTCAGCTAGTAACTGTCGACCTATACATAGGTGGCAAGCGTCTAACTTTAACTAGTAAGCGTTGAACTATAGCTAGATAGTCTATGACCTTAACTAAAAAGTGTCGAACTGTAACGAGAGCTAGTAAGTGTATAATTCTTTTACCTAGTAAGTGTCTAACTTTAGCGAGTAAGTGTCTAGCTTTGGCTAGTAACTGTCGACTTTACCTTTAGCTAAAAAGTGTATAATTTTAACTAATAAGCGTCGAACTATAGGTTTAGCTAGAAAGTGTCTAACTTTAACTAATAAGCGTCGAACTTTAGCTAGCAACTGTCTAGCTTTAGCTAGAAAGTTTTCAACTTCAGCGAATAAAGGGATGATTTTAGCTAGTAAGTGTACGGCTTTAACTAGTAAGCGTCGGGCTTTAACTAGTAAAGGCATAGGCTTAGCTGAAAAGTGTTTAGCTTTAAGTAGAAAGTCAGTGTCTACTTTTAGCTAGAAAGTGTCTAACTTTACCTAAAAAGTGTCCAATTTTAACTAGGGGGCGTTTAACTTTGACTAGAAAGTGTCCACTTTTAGCTCGAAAAAATCTAAGGAGTGTTTAACTTTAGCTAGAGAGTCCCTGCTTGGTGAGGGCACGGAGGTGAAAGCAAGGAGGTGGGGTAGGAAGGTGAAGGTCGAGAGGTGGGGGTGGGATGAAGGTAGGGATAGAGAGGTGGGGGTAGGACGGTGGGAGTAGAAAGATGGGGCCAAGGAGGTCAGGGCAGGGAGGTGGGGGCAAGGAAGTGAAGGCAAGGAGATGGAAGCAGGGAGATGGGGGTTATGAGGTGGAGGCAGGGAGGCAGAGGCAGGGAGGTGGAGGTAAGAAAGGCGAAGGAGAACAAAGACTTGGGGACAGCGAGGCGGAACAAAAGGGGCAACAGCCAAGGCAAACGCGAGGGGCTAACGCATGGCAAAGAAGAGCCCGATGTCTAGTAATTAGCCACGTTGTGTCTTGTCGAAAATCCAACGAATACGACACACCTGGGCGGGAGCGAAGCCAACGAGGTAGCATTAGTAGCGCGTAGTTTGTTCTTAAAGTGAATGAATGAATAAGATTTGTTTACCCCGTTACCCTGTTGTATGTCTTGAAGGGAAGGCTGTGCAACATGTATCTATGGTACAACGAGTGACAGACGACTCTCACGCTCGTGTCCCTCTAACGAAAGGTCGCAGACGCTTAACGCGCAAGGAAAGAGCAAAAGAGCAAATAAGCATATTACTTACATTAAATTGAATTATCTGGATGCTGCAGCCCATAGCGTCCCACCCCCCAGACTCCAGGCGGGGAATACGTGGGGGGGTGGGTGCTCGCATCTAAGGGAAGCCGCCGTTCTAGTGGCAACCATGGGCACCGGTTCACCACCACTAGCCTTCCCAAAGATCGCATCCAACCCAACCTCTAAATAGTATAACAAAATAACAGCGCTTTTGTTCTTAAAGGACAAAGAGAACTGCGAGATACGTCGCGACAAAGATCCACAGATGCATTTGGTAGCTAGGAAGCATGCCCTCTCGCATTGCCATTCTGATTGCTGTACGATCTCCTTCCTTGTGACGCGCCATTTCCGCTTTAATGCTTCTCTCCAAATGGCTGTCGCGGCCTGCTGGAACCACACGAGGTACGAAGACACCGTCGGCCGGCATGTACTTTTCGTCGCTCGGTAGGAACTGCAGCACCAACGATGCGTAGACCAGGCCCAAGAGCACAGCGAGGATTGTACCTGCGAGATTCACCACGGTGTTGGCCAAAATCTGCTCGTAGCGGCTGCCGCTACCGGACATGCAGTACACGCAAAGGATGGCCCAGTTGCACATCACCTGTCCGGTTCCACTGTCGAACGCCTTTTCGTACCCGACTTGCCACAGGACCGTGAAAAAAAGGAGGGTGGTGGCCACGGCGAGCCACATCTTGAGCGCCTCTGTCACAGCAGCTGCGACGCTATTGCGCCTCTTCGCAGCCTTGGTGGAAGTCGGCTTTTCCTCTTCTTCCATTGCGATTATTTCCATATCAGATCGAGAAGCATCGTGATCATCTTCCGTCTGCTGTTTATTCACAACCTTGCGCATTTTGTACTTCTTCAGTAGCGCCTTCATTTCAGGCGTCGCATTTTTGCTGGCGTATGCAGCTCTGCTCGGTGAGAATGCTCCACCTGTTTTCGGCGGCGACTGCCGCTCCCTTATGGAGGTACCAACGCGAGGAAGTAGACCGCTTGGTCCACCCATCCTGTTCCTCAACGTGGTACTAGTAGATGATGAATATGTAGTAATTTTTGATTCCGACATGATTTTGATCTCTGATTATGACTTTGTGAAATTCTGTTGTAAAGATGAAAACGTGAAGCAAAGGCTGTTGCGGCGTTTTTAGAGATATATCCTGGCTAGAAGCAGACGAAACTTTCCAGTCGTAAAACTCAAACCGAGTGTGCAGAATATGAGCGAAACTCGAGTGCATTCTAGTAAGTGTACTACGTTGAGATGATGTACATCTCGGACATCGTGATGTTCTTGCGACAACGTGTGAACTAGGATTGCAGCTTTTCTATGAGGAAAGCTCGCGAGCGTCTCTGATGCAACCCAATGCCCCAAGAACGGCCTGAGGAAGTAGGTAGACAAGTAGTTGTCAGCCCACTACGAGTAAAATCAAAGGATCAAGAATTGCGTGAAAACTGCAGACACCAGTACAGTCCTCCCGCAAGCATGAGGACAAGGTTTTACTCATCATGTTGACTCGGAACCTCACAAACAGCACAACTCAGGCGCGTGCTGAGAGTAGATCCTCATGGAGCACAAAGAAGCAAGAATCTGCGCAGATTTTTAGGGCAGCATAGGTACTACGTAACCTCCACGGCTGACGCACACTGCAGTGAAAGGCATGTTGAACACAAGCGAAACGGAGACGCTAGTCTAGCATAAAAGCAATAGGAACCCAGAGCGATATTATGGAGACCTTCTGTTTCATCTTCGGGATCTGCAATAGTTATAATGTAGCAGTAGCTTATTTGGCTTTGGAAATACTTAAAAAAAAGGAAAGTTGGAGTACTGAGTTTACCCGGTGGCAATGTTGTCCATGACGGCTAGTTTCTTACCTTTTGTGCTAGCATGATCCAACAGGCCACGACATTCTCAGGATACAGGAAAAGTTTACAACGAAGTGCAAATTGAACTCTAGAAGGAGTTGAGGACACGGATGCGTCTTCTCCCATTATTGGCTTTGCTCCTCTTGCCTTATGTTTAGTATTGCGTGGTGGTAAATGGTCTGGTCGCTGGCTGTCGTAGCTGAAATTACGGTAGGTTACAACCATGTTCTGCACTGTGCTGTTTTCCACCATAATCGGCCAGAACTTTTCGTAGCTCAAGTTGTTAAACTGAATCGGAAACGCTAGCATCTCTTCCTTTCCGTCAGAGCCGCAGAATTGCACTTGTGCCATCTCGTCAAACACAGTGAGCGCAGCGCTGCTCTGCAACTGGACACGCTCTTGCTCGCTGTTGGTCAGTGCTAGGCCTAAGAGGGCTTCAACCGCGCGGTCCCACGGAACCGGACCGCCGCACGCCCGTTCAATCTGCAAACGGAGGACGGACTCGATGCGCTCTTCTATGTACCCTTGTTGATTGCGCACGTTGCCGCTGCCGAGGGTGCTACGCTGCAGTGGTGCTGGAACTTCCAGCTGGGTCGAAAGCAACTGCGCGCGTGACATGACGTTGTCCGCTGACGATGAAGAACTTCTGTCGTGACGGCTTCGGTTGCTGTTCAACCAAGCAGACGAGCTAACACTTTTTTGCTCCTTATTGTTCTTTGAACTTCCCTTTTTCAAAAAAGGGTGTGGTGCTGGCTGTATCGGTGCGCCAAGGCCGTCTTCGTCCTCGTCGCTGCTCTGCGGGGCTGTGGACGGTGGCGAAGTGGCACTGGAGCCGCAGGCGGCCTCTTCCGCAGTGCCAGTGGTGGTTGTCTTCTTCTTCGTACTATTCGCTGTTTTCTTTTTCCCGCCGCCGCTAGTTCGACCTCCTCCACTGAATCTAGTGTTCACCACGTTCCACGACGATAGATATCTATCTCCAAACTTGACTTCTAGAGGCGGTTTTTGTGGTAGAGGATTTCGAAACTCGACCCAGCAGGCACGGATGTTGAAGTAGCCAAGAAGTTGTTTCCGCTTTATTGCTGGAGCTGCACCTTTCGTCACCTTCTGGGTCGTAGCACTGCCACCGCCGCCTGCTGCCGGCGCAGAACCGCTTTTGGCTGCTGCATTACTAGGCTTGCGTAGCTGTGACGGTTTGCTTCCCCATTCCGTAGCTATTCCCTGCTGCTCCTCATGAAGAGGATCTTCTGGGCCAGCTTTACTGCCAATGCCATCGATTATATCGTCATCTGGCGAAGCGCCACTGGAAGAAAGGTGGTGTGCTGTTGACGTGTACTCGCCTGCTCCCGGATAGGCTTCGTTTGGGTTGACGTAGATGAACTCATCGTTGAAGGCGACGTCGACAGAGAGAATCCTAGAAGCAGGATCACTAGCAAAGTAGCGCTCCGACCGAAGCGGGTCCCATATCGTGGCTTCCTCTACGCCTCGAGTCAAGACAAAGCAGAACTGCTCGGTCTCACCGGCTAGAGTAGAGAGCTTGCTGCCAGCACGCATGGAACCTGGTGTGGTGTTATTTGATGCGGTGCAGGTTCTTTACTAATCTTCTATTTGTGTCGCAAAAATACTCACCAAGCTGTGTAAGTATCCTCGACGGCGAAGAAGGGACGATGAGGATGATGCCGATTTCAAGTCTTTTGGAAAGAAGATTTATGCATGAAGGTGCGTTACCCGCAGCAGCCGCGAAGAGTGATGCGCGTGTTCCGAGACACACATAAGCTTCCATGTTCCACGTGTGTTTGAACAGGCCGCAAAGCAGTAAGCACTTTTCGACCGCGCTCGCTTCGTTGAGGGTGAAGATGTGTTCGGCGGAGTGGTAGCAGATACAATTGCGCTTTTCGAACAGCACGTCGCGTTTGCTTGGAAAGAGCCCCACGAAGCGTAAAGCATGCAACGGCGTGTCGAGGCAACGGCCACCGGCAAGTGGTCGCACGAAATGGCACAGAGGATAGGTCTCACCGTTTTCATTTTCGGCGTAAAAGTCTATCCGCTTCTTGAAGTGGCGATGAACGTTTTCCGCGAAAGCATCCAAATCGTCAAACGCTTTTCTCAAACGGTCGTTGCGAAGCCGCTGGGAGCACCAGTCCTCACAGCTCCCGTCGGGCTGGTGCAGATGTTGATGATTGAAACAATTTAAGACTTCTTCATCGAGATACAACAAGTATTTGTATTTCTCTGTAGTCACTTAGTTCTTTTAGCGGGTTTCAACATGCCCATGCTCCTGTCAACGAGGAAAGTAACGAGGCGAGGAGGACTGAAAGAGTTTCCACAGCCAGAGTAGTTTATCTTAAAAAAGTAAGTACGTTGATTTTCGGTCTCAGAGGCCACGGTGCACCAAGAAATTGCGCCTCTAGTTCGACCAGGCCTTGAATAAGCTTGTGCTTCTTTTCTGTGCCATTCAACTCGTAGACAAAGTTCCCCTCACGCAATCGAAGTTCCTGACTGCAGATGATATCCACTCGCTGGTCGGCCCATAATCGGAAGAAGGTGACATGAAATGCCTCTAAGTTCTGTCGCTCGAGGACTTCATCACGCGAAACCTCCCATTGCAAGACCTGGCTCCATTCACAGTCCACTCCGAAGATAAAAATCGGCTGCGCTGTTTTCCTGTCGTGGGATCCGAAACTGAAATGCACGCAAAGTTGGCAATCTGCATACTCTTCCGGATTTATTAACGCTGAATAGGAAACATAACTCGGCGATTAAAAACCAAATCCTCTGGATTTATTAACCGTGAATAGAAAAAATGAATCGCCAATCAAAAACAAGAGGCACGCCAGAATATACGAAAAATGGATCATCTGGGCAATTCTTGGTCTGATAATCAAATGTGAAGCCTAAAAAAACTTCACAAGAACTTATACTACGATTTGTAGCAAAATGAGGAGATGCCGAGGAGAAGTCAGTCGAGGGATCAACACTAGAGGACGGCACCATGTCGAAAACGAAAAGAAAAGTGCAAGAAAAGGAAAACAACTACAGCATATTCTTATTCGTATTCCTATGTATAATTGCTCATAAATTCAAATGGTCTAAGAAAGCTTTCCCCCTCTTCAGATGCAGCGCTAAGATCGGTGGTGGAAGTGACACATCTTCGGCGCGCTCTACGACTGCTCGCATGAAATCTACATCACCCGTAACGGGCCGCGTTGGTAGCAAACGGCGGTCGTCTTCGTGTTCGATCATATCCCGCTCCACTGCATCCTCGTAATCCTTCTTCAGTTGCGTAAGCAAGCTGGTGGCCCCTGGGTGGTCGCCGGGCTTCGCAGTGAAGAGCTGTTCCGATCGACCCAGCGCTCCCTGTCCGGTACCAGTGAGCGACGATATCGCCCCACCAATCGCACCGCTGGAAGAAACGAGCGAAACAGCCCCATTGCTCTGGCCCGGAACAGCGCGTCGATCCTCTTGTGGTGATCCAGCATACGATTTTTTCGATGATGGTCCCAGGGGTTGTCCTACAGGAGAAGCAGCAGAGACAGCGCCGAACGCTCCACGCACAACAGCACCGCCACGCTGTTCGTGCAGAGCCTTCTGGATTGTGGAGTAGAGCGTTCCCACGAGACCATTGGCCTCCAGCTCCTTCAGCGTGGCAGCGGTGTTTCCCCGGTTCCTCTCGAAAATTTTCTGCACTTCATCGTTGTTCAGCAGCTCGCTCCTGATGGTGCGGCTCACCTCACGCATGTCAATGTCCTGAGACGCCATTTTCGAAAAAAAATATCGAGAGCGAAGTAAAAGACTGGGTGTTGTTCTGCGTTTGCTACCCCTACCGCTACCGTGTTGCCTGTCATAAAACCAGCTCTAGCTTTAAGATGCTAGCACTAAAACTAATTGAGGAAAAAATTCTACAACCAAGATGATACCATTTTCCTCGCTTTCTTGATCTTCATTTTTTTCACGTTTGACCGAAATTCAACGCGGCCAGAAAACAGAGTGCTTTCTTAAGTGTTGAAACAAATGAACGTCATCCTGAATACGGCAGCGTGTATCTGTCATCTCAGGAGCATGTTTTTGTTTCTTATCGTGGTCGCGACTCTCGCTCTCCGAAGAAATAGTATAGCGATGTGCAGTCCGCATTGCACTCTCCTTGATAGAGCTTGGCTACTGCAGACGCCAGATAAGAACATCGGATTGTTAACCAAGGAAGTGGGCGAGCTCCGGCTCTGCCGGGTGCCGTGTAAATTGATAGATATATCTTGCAGCCTTGCTGCGAGGCGCTATTCTTTCTGACAGAAAGGTAAATCACAACAACATGCCTTCAGCAGAACCCTGCAGGAAATTTTTATATTCCGCTACTTTGTTCTTATTCAGTATTCCATCAGCCTCCGTCAATACTGGCCTGATGTTAGCCTCGTCCAAGTCGGGACCGACATCCGGGTCGACCGTCCCTGTGCCGTTTCCTTTGAGCCTTGGATATTCCCGTCGGAGCTCGTCCATCGTCATTGCGCCGTCAGCTCTATCTGTAGGTGGATGTTGTCGCGGTGGATGCGGATCGTGTTCTCCAGATAAATTGACCCTCGCTGCAGGGTCAGCAGGAAAAACCTGGCGGAATCTCTGGTTCAGAGGCCCGTCGACCAGGTGTTTTGCGTCTTCGTCGGCGATGCGCTGTCGTAGTTGTCGTGGTGTGTTGTACATCGATCTAGCACATTTAATGTGAACGTGTTGAACATGAACAGAAACATGAAAGCGAAAAATTAGTACCAGCATCCGTCTTCGCTGTTTCGCTTTCTGCCTTAGAAATCCGGCTTCTTTCAGCTTATCTCGATAGATCCAGCTGTTATATGGCGGCTGCTTTTCTGGATTCAGTGCTAAAGGAAGTCTTGGGTTTATGTGTTCCAGTTTGTACCCTCCAGGAATGTCCGGGTCAGGCACTTTGCGGACGGGTCGCTTGACTTTTACAACGCCTGCTGCATTCAGTTCCTCAGCTTCCGGGTCATGCATCGTGTGGTCGTCAAGTGGTAGTCCACTGGAATTCCGGGACTTCATTTCATCATCCCAAGGAACGAGCAACTGTTTTCGCAACTCTGCATCCGGGTCCCGTTTAGCACTACGACCCATTTGACTTGCGTAGAAAGCTGCGATGTCGGAGTCTGCGGACAGAGTCGGAAAGGCGGTGGCAAGCAGGCGACTGGCGCTACCGGGGTGGAGCATGTTGATGTTACAAAAATTAATGATGATTTCAGGACTCGACTGCAATAGGTCAATTAGTTTCCAAACCCCTCCACTGAGTAAGTCAATTAATCAAAACGAGCCCCAGTGGGTTTCTGGAGGAGAGAGTGAGAGGAGAGGAGATATTCTATTTCTTGCTAGCATTTGCATGCTAATCGATGAAGTGCGAGGGATGTGGTCAGGGTTCTGGGCCATAAGCACTACCTGCAGTTCAGAGCATCTCCCGGCACGAGAAGTCACAGCGGCCAACCTATGTGTCCTCAAACAATGCATCACGGTTTGGCGGACCGCCTATGAGAGGCCTTGGCCGAGCATAAAGAACCGACTCTCTCAACAAGACAGACAAGTAGTAGGATCACTGGACCGATGAACCCAGTGGCACGCCACCACACGCACGCACAACATCAGACAGTGGACACACATCAGGAATTTGAATTACTCGTTAGACTTAAATTCATCTTATCAGTGAAGACTTCAGTTGTTCACGATAATATTGATAGATACGTCAGTAGATATAATTCTTGTCACGATGAACATGACTGAAACAGGCAGGGATGATGTTGGGAATGTCGTGATATGAATATGTCATCTTCCTTCAGTTCTATTTTGTTGTGAGTACGTAGATAGGACCCTCGTCGACACGGTTGACAAAGTTAGGATGTACGTTTTCTAGGAAATATCAATCCTTATGCTATGCAATGCTATGCACTGAATTACTTATAGCATTTTTACGTTTCGCAAGTGAGTGCGAGAACCAGAACTACATCGGCATTTATAAAATCTGCAACTTTTCTTCGTAGGTTCCACCACAGGCATGAAAAATATGGAATTAATTATCTATGTACACAACATGATGATCTGCTCTAAATCTTTTCATCCTCCACATCTTCACGAATGTGGTCCGCCGTCCGCACCACAGCACCTACCTTCATGAAGTTGAGTCCTCTACTTCCTGTCCCTGGACTATCAAACGAAGAACAACCGTCCGTCTGCCAACTCTGTATCTGGAGTAGACCCAATGCCAGCAAAGGTCATTTTTATTGTAGAGTTAGGCTGTTTTTGACCCATATCGGGCCGGGTTGCTCGGGTTGCTCGAGTTGCCAACCCAAATTTTTTGCGCGGCGCCCTTCGGGCGCAGATTTATGACCCTACGAGAGACCTTAACAGGAGCGCACGACACGACCACGCGCCGCGCCGTAGTTGCATACTGATGGCGGCGCGCTCGTGTATAATTCCAATACCAATTTAGCAACCTCCTCCAGTATACTTACTGCTATGCCCAAGACTGGACACGTCGCCCGCTGAAGCCAGCAGGCGGAGACTCGCTCTCAGCCCCCAAGTAGATTGGCCACGCTCGCACCCGAAGAAAAATAAATGGGAGAGATCGCCAACGACTCAGAGACGACAAACAACAGCGCCACTCACCTCAAAGAAAAACAACAGAGAGCAGGGGCCTGCGCTCCTTGTTTTCGCTTCAAACACGCGCCCGCACGCTACAAAAGAAGAGCCCGAAAGCCTGCAGAGCCCTCCAAAAAAGAAACTGCGCTCTTCTCCATTTCTTCACTTAGAGCGCACGGATGCCCCTCCATACCGCCCGGCTTCGCCCCATTTTGCTGGGTCAGGATTCTCCTGGCAACCCATGGCAACCCGTTCCAGATTTGGAACCCCTGCGCTTCGGCAACCCGAGCAACCCGTTGCAACTCGAGCAACCCGAAACCCGTTATTTACCTTACTCTATTATTGAGCAGGTCAGCTAAGGCTACCGATAGTTTACCATGGATGCGTCTCTCCTCGTCAACATGGTTGAGCGTTGATCCATCTTGTTCACCCCTTTTTGTACGTCGTATCAAAAACACCCGAACTAATCTTGACCTTCAAACAGAAACGTGAAGTATCATGATGATCCTTAGCGGCAGGAGTTGTCACGGCTTCCGAGGCAGCATGCCGCCCTGACGTCTTCCTTCTTCGCGCCCTTCTCGATTTCTTTGTCTTTTGCTTGGCATGCGATCATTCATGGATTTTTTCGCTCCAGGATCACTGAGCCCCTGATCCTCATGGCAGGATAGGATAGGATAGGATACCCGATAGGATAGGAAGTGATTCGCCGTCCACAGTGTGACCTGTATCATCGAGCGAACAGCAGGCCGCTTCGTAGTTGGTCGCCTCTATGCACTTTACGATCTATTTAGCCGCGAGAACTTCTGCAGTCTGGGTTAGGGCGGACTGACGGGGCGAGTACCTCTGGCGAGCATCGACGAGCGCGGCTAAAGCGCAGAATTTGAAGAGTGTGGGTAACATTTTTTTTTGTTTGGATGAGGAGTGGACTAAGTACAAGAAAAGGTCGTTGTTGACAACCAGAAGACTGTTTATTGTTTGCCGAGTACAACCAGATTTTTCACGAAAATACGACATGTGTCGTATGAGAAGAGTAAGTTATTATATCCTTGGATGATAGAAAACTTCGGAAGACCAGCTCTTAATAAATCAATGGCTACGAATGTTGATGTTGTTATTAATTTGAGTCGTGGTGTTGTCGTATTTTTCTGAAACTACTTGTCTTTCTAGTCTTTCTAGTGTACGATGAGGTTGCCGCATGATAATCTAACCTTTTCTTATACTATACATTATATATAGGTGTAGTAATGCAGAATGGCACTTTCACTTTTTGTCTTTGCTCATAACATGGGTATGCTGGTCTAACTGTTCAGTATGCGAGTTCTGCTAGTCATTGACATGGAGGATGATAACGCTGAGCGTAAAAATAAAGACTGTCATTTTCTGCGGGGTTTGTGTATTTTAGTGGTGCACATTAGCTCTCATTCACGGATCTATTCCGATGAATATGGATAAGGATAAGCATACTCCAAATAAGTGCTTTTGAAGCTTAACAACGTCGCAAAATGTATTATACAGATCGATGCAATCCCTCAAACATCAGTTGCTAGCACTAGCCACCAAGCCTGTTCCTGGAAAGGAGAATTGACCGATAACAACCGATTGAATAAAGACGTTAACAGACGACAGACGTCAACAAATCTCGTCTACATGGTACGTTCGCTCTTTCAAGGGCAGAAGCGAGTGTATACACCGAAATCGTGGAGTGACAGGTCTGCGCCTGCTCCTTCTCGTGCGCAATCTTCGAACACGAAATAATAGTACAAAGAAACACGCGGGCGCCCTTTTTCGTCTACTGCTTGTCCTATGATCAACGAATATGAGGATGGTGCGCAAGACGAAGGATTTTCCCTGAGTAGTAGCGAGTGTCGCGAATGGTGGACACCAAGAAGTGGCGGAGCATGAAGAGCAACAAGTGAGTCTGAGGGCGGGACTTTAATCATGTACGATATTGCGTCTTGTGGGGGAGGAGTGGAGGTGAGTGAAGTATGTACTGGGATCGATCATGTGTTGTTAAAAGGGATAATGCGTCCCTTCGGGTCCTTTCGGAAGTCAACGACTTTGATGTTGCGGCGCTTATTGACGACTATGCCCTTGGCAGTGTCATATAGTGGCTGCTTCGCTTTGTCGTGCGGATGAAAACCTGTGAGCGGGCACTGTTGAATGAAATCCACGCCGTAGTCGGTCAGCCGAAAGATCCCCGCTTTCTTGTGCGTGTCTATCGGGGAGTAGACGATAGCAACGCTGAGGGGCTCCTGCAGTTGAAAGCTGCATTGCTGATGCAAGTCGACGGCCGAGAGGAATGTATTGTGTCGAGGATGTGTGTGGATCCAGCCAAACGTAAGGCAATTCTTCTTGCTCATCTGCCACTCGAACACTGGCATTTCGTCGGTCGCTTCACAAGACACATCATCGCCTTTCTGTGGCGGAAGCAAAATGTAGTCGATATACACTTTGTTCTCGGCTAAGATCTTTCGCCCACAAAGCCACCCGCACGTCTCAACATTCTTTCGTGTGTTACCGGCCACAAGAGCGGCAAAGTTCCGGACGAGATCAAACGGAATATCGACCAACATGCTCTTTTGTCGTGGTGCTAGCGCACTTGGCTTGCTCGATATCATGTTGTCGGAGGTGGGATGCACTAGCGCACCAGCTCGCCCGGGTCTATTGTTTCCTCTAGTCGAGTTATTCGGGACATCATTGTTTTTCGCCTTCAGATGCGAACTCTGGGAAGGCGTTGGTCGCATGGGGTTCGAGGTCTCGTACAACCTAATCTCTGGCGGAGCCGGAGAGAACGAAACGGATTTTCGCCCTTTCACCGCTGGAAGTCCTCTAGGACTCGCTTGCTGGTTGTTCGGTGTGGTAGCTGAAGGTGCAAGGATTGCAGATCGTCCTACTGTTGTTCCTTGGGCTGCTGGCATATTTACATCAAAGGATGGAAAAAGAGGCTTCTGCAACTGCGTTTTTGTAGCTTGTTCTGGTCTAACTGATGACAGAGATAGTTCTTGGTCATTTCTAGTTCTACTAGCATCGGCAACTCTACTACCTTCCTCAAAACCTAGTATTGGATAACTTCCTCTTCCTGTTCCTTGTCCATTGTTAACAGCATAAGACGGCAGGGCGAAGTTCTTTAGTTGTGAGGACGTTGAAGATGGTAGTTGTTGTACAGCCTTTGCATCACTTCCACCAGCTGTAGCATTTATTTCTGACATGCGGTCAGTTGTAAGAGCGTCTTGCATGCTTATCATTTTCTGCGCATGTTGTTGCAAACGGGGACTCTCGAAGGATGGGTACGACATCGTTGGAGCGGTCGAGCTGCTGGCACCACCAAAACTACTACCCCCTAACGCTGGTAAAGTTTTCGTAGTCGCTTTATTCGCAATCGTTCGGGATGAACCAGCGTAGGTACTAGAACTAGAACTAGTACTAGTCGATATGCTCATATTGAGGTCGGGGTAGTTGACAGGTGCTGTCGATGTTCCTGAAGGGGTTGTAGTGAAGCTGGCATTCGAAAAGATAGTAGGTGTTGCCGTTGTAGGAATAGGATTGCTACTGAATGTGTACAGTGACGCAGCATTACGTTGTTGTGGGGCTGCTCTGGACGCTGGCGCAAAGTCCTGCAACTGCGAATACGTGACCGCTGAAGTTTTTGGGGTTGCTGCTGGTAGATGTGTTGCCGACGTCCCGGTTGAGGAATAAGAAGGGGTAGAGTAGGTTGGAATCGCAGTGGTCGAAGAGGTCGCTGGCGTGGTTTCTATGGCAAAGTTTTGCAGGGGTGGCATTGTGACGGCCGAAAGACTACTCAAAAGATTACTGTACACGAGACCAGTCGCAGTGAAATCCGACAAAGATGAAGATATCGGATGACTGTCTACTCTACTTTCGTTACCCAAAATTGTACTGCTGGACAAGGTCGGCGAGAGCGAGGAAGGCGCGTTATTTGCTCCTGTTCCTTCTGTAACCGGTGCCCCTGACCCACTTGGCGTGCTTAGTCCGGACATGGTTACGGCAGTGGTACTCGCAGACTCATCCTTGCCTACGGAATCCGGACTGTCGTCGTCGCCGCCGTCGTTGACGGCGCCATGGGAGACAGTTGGAAGCTCAAGGCCCTCCCACAGACTAGCGAACGACACTACCGTAGGAGCTCGGTAGGCATCAACTGCTACCGTCGAAGCGATATTTGGATATGTTGCATCGCCGACTAGCGCAACATCGTCGGGAGCTGTTCCCTGCACCTGAACCGAACCATCTCCAGCTTGGCCTCCCAACGCAGCAGCGTTCCTAAACGTAGAAAGCGATCCATTAGAACCCTCAGGGACTTCTTCACAAACCGGTTTTGGGACCAGTGGTTGGCCAGGAATTATGAAAGGCTGCACACCTGCACCTCCAAAGTAGCAATCACAAAAGTTGGGACTTCTAGGGTCCGAGGACTGATACTTCCCCTCCTCCACTATGCTCGGCCAAAAAAAGGACTGACCGACCGGATCAGCAGGTGGTGCTGTCGGTTCGGTATCTGGTACCATTGCCATTACAGTAGCGGCTGTACTACTTGAGCTTATTTCATCTGGAGCCCCTGGAGCTATTCTCTCCTGTTGCTGTAGTCCTGCACTTCTACTTGCAACATCTAAACTTATGGCTCCATTACGATTACCTTCTTCTTCCTGCGTCGATAACGGTGTCGACGAGGAAAGTGTTGACGTAAGGCTGCCATCTGGCCCGCCAGCAGTCGCAACTCCGGTCACCACCGCACACGCTGCCCCATCGTCATCCACAAATCGCTCACGGGCAGCATTTATGAGACTCTGGCTTATCAAGGACAGTGCTTCGAGGTCCTCTTCTTCGTCTTCATCAAAGGTGTCAATGTTAGCATAATCAACAGCCCGTGTTGCGATTTTGCTGCCATCCTCCTCGACTGTGCAAGTAGTACTGCTTCCTCCTGTCTGTAGGTCAACATGAGGACGAACGTCCGAGGCAATAAAGTTGTCTTGTCCAACTTGTTCTTCCTGTTCTTGTTTTTTCATAGTATATTGATCGGACACGCCGACAACTGGGTCCTTCACGTCTTCTTTTGGAAGAGTAGTAGGCTCAGGGTCTGGCGCTGACATAAAAAGATCCTCTAGTCGCATCGGAGCTCCGAACTTTGGCTCACTACTTCTACGTGAGGCTTCTGACATTGAAGAAGATGATGAGGTGTTTGGAGCACTGCTCGTCATCGCTGCCAGGGTTGTATCGTCATTTTCAGCCACGTGCGATGAGTTTGAGAATACCGAAGATGTACTCGTTTGCATTTGCTGTGGTGGTTGCTCAGGTCTCAATAATTGGTATTTACGAGCAATTAGATCGTCGAGATCATTACCAGCTGCAGCTGAGTTACTTGTTTCAACAGCACTGCTTGACGGGGACGAACACGAAGGTGGTGAAGAATCGTGAACATGACCCTTGTCAGATGATGACTCTCCTCCACCACCAGTCTCGCGAGAGGCAACAGGATCTTCTTCGGCACTGCTTTTATCTGCAGGATGCTTTCTTTTCGCTCCTACCTCCGCCTCCTGACCTGTGAGAGAATCTGAATCACGGTCTGCTGTCGATTTTGTGAAGCCACTGTTGACGTATTCGTGTCCTCCTGCCGTAGCAACAACCCCGTCCTTTGCTTTATCTGCTGCTTCTTCTTCTTGCTTTTCGTCTTCAGACTTTGTCAGGCGACTGACGTGATCCTGATTCGCCACCTCAGGAGCTTCCTCTTCCGTCCCGTGTGTCGCTTGTGGTCCTGGTGGTGCAGTGCCAGTGATGTTGACCTCATCGTCTCTTTCTGTCGCTGTTGCTACTCCTGGTGCCACAGTGGCACTGACAGTTACAACATCATGATTCTCTTCGGGTTCTTCTCGTACTCCACTCTCTTCTGTCGAAGAGGCGTCTTCTGTGAGGTAGTGGGTGTGCAGTCCTTGTTTCGCATTTTCCGCAATCTCCAAGACTGCCATTGCGCGCTCTCGGAGTGCTTTCTTCGCTTCCGCTACTCCCGCCGCATGCTGTTCCTCCTTCGCATTCTTTTCTTGAGACCACCAGAATGAGGATGAGGAGGCACTGTTTCCATCTTGTAGATCCGTGATCCCTGCACCAGTGAACGATGTGCGAGAAGACGCAGCTGCTCCTGAGGAGGAGAACGAAGTGGATACTTGAAGCACGTCCTTCAATAGCTTGTATAGCTGCATGTACTGGAGAGCTTTGACGTAGGTTTCAGGCAGAAAGCCTTCGGCATAGTGCACTTTGATGCCGTTCTCCAGTTGCGCAAGAACTTGGACGTAACGTGCAATAGGAAATCGTGGATCGATCACGCGGATACTCGCTTTTTCTGCTGTCTTCCTCAGCTCCGCGATGTAGTCGTCGAAGGACGTCGGGGAAGGCACGCCTGGCTCAGTCATGATATTTTCAGTTGCTGCACGTTTTCCAGCGGGGGAGAAGCAAAAGCAGGGGTTAAAGTATAATTACGTCAGCAACAGAAACAGATGTAGTAGAGATCATTAAGATCCTTTCATAAATATGTTTTTTTTGCATTTTCATGCAGCATCAATCGTGTAGACATTTTTCATCCCAAAATGGAAATCACAAGGAATGGGGTTGGTGGGGTACTTAACTTACTTTCGCGGAATACAACAGACGTCTGATTACATTGTCAGAAAAACCATTTGGTCTTCGTAGTCGTTTTCGTTAGTAAATATTTCGTTAAATTTCAGGGTTGATGACATACTGCTAGATAGCGATACTGCGATGACGCACGAACAAATACTCGTTCAGGTTTACTCTGTCCTAGAAGTAGTACGCACAAAGAAGTCATATTCTAGAATTGTCAAAAGTACCAACACCCAAAATACTAACTACAAAATGCCAAAAAAAACTTTCGCTTTGTACATATAATATGTCATAGACCAACACCTGTGAGTAAACGTACCTACTAAAGGTTGTCACTAGTCGCTGTAGTTCGTTGGTGTTTTATTTTGGCTGCAATTTTTCTTAACATCTTCATCATAATTTTTTCATGAAATACAACTAGGCTATAGACTTTTTAGCTTTTGAGCTGCATGAGGGTGGATGACCTTAGGCTACTGGGTCACTTGGATCTTCGCCATTTCTCTGATCTTCGCGCCTCCGATCAGCGCTATGAAATTAAAATTTGTCCGTTAAACTTGCCGCTAAGATCGTTTTTTTTTGAATTTGACCATGCTTTTGCGAATCACTCACACGTCGCTCGTAGAAAGTCACCAAGGGGTTACTGTTGCTATTGTTCATCAGCTTCAGACCACGGAGGTAGAAAATACTAGTAAAGCGCTGCTTGTTGGTTCTCTGAGTATACTAAGGTTCTTGTCATCATACCCATACCGCATCTCTTCGCCCTCCGATGCTTCAGCCTAACTATAACTAATACATTTCCCGCACTTATTTGAGCAACGGTTGCTCTCTAAAGTTGTAGCTCGCATCTCTCTCTACGTGTTCTTCGTGCTGAAAGAAGATATGACTGTACATGGTGGAATTGAACTCGGTGCACTCAGTAACTTCACAAGCCCGTGAAGTGAAAGAAAGTTCTGTCTTTTTGGACTTGATGAGGTGTCACGGAAAAAGTTCTTGGTTCTTTTGGCATTGTTGTGAGTACTTACATAGATTCAGATTCGGCAATACAGGAGAAATTTCTTTGAAGCTACATCAATATGTTGAAGTGCGGTCCTCATCACTAATCATATGTGAATGTCGTGATGTAATCGTTTTATGATGAAGATCTTCGTCGAGACGAGGTTGTTGTACAGCATTCCGAACGTCGCAAACAGGATCGAAATGAATTTTTATGATGTTGCTAAAGATGTTCATGTTGAGTAATCACGACAGCGATCCAGCAGTATGTTGCTTGTTTTTGAGACACTTAAGGAGTCATCAGTTTGGCAGCATGCTCTTGAAGGAAACTGGCTTGTAGTTGATGCTCTTCAGTACCTTTCCCGAAGATTCGTTGTAAACAACGAAATAATCCCCAGACTTCCTCCATGCCGGACTGTCATACGGGTATTTGCCTTCCGGACCAGTCTTGTTTGCCTTGTACCTGAAATTTTTACTTAGCTCTTGTTGGATATCGATGGGTCAGTACTACTACTGCTCATGTTCACGATGATCCACTGCAAATGTTCATCTTTTTTTCTCTTGGTACACACACTGGAATTTAGTTGATCTTAATGCTTCTTTTAAAATCCAGATAATCTTGATCTTCTTCAGTACACATCACTCCATTATCTTTACCATTCTATCGTGGCTTCAGCTTCTTCCTGTGTCTTGCAGAGCTTGGACATGTTGCTGTCGTGCACGAGCGCGAATGCTTTATCGAGATCGAGTCCGAGGCTGCTGCCCGCGCCGTATGTGACATACAAAATATCGCTCAGAGCGTCAAGGACCTATAAATTTCTTTTAACTTTGTTGTGTTTGTGTAGTGCTAATGGTGAGCAGCAACGAATGATACACTGACTAGAGAAGGTATACCGAGGAAAATTCCAAATTGACATACTCCAAGTCGTGAATCAGATTAGGAATGAAGAAAGGTGCCTCCACAAATGAAAAATGAGAATTTACCTCCGTCATATTTTTTTCTCCTGCTGCCTGTTCGAGTTCCTTGAACTCTTCTCGAATTAGATCGAGTCGTAGCTTCATCGTCTTAGGATCCTTATCGAAGATATCTATCTGCGGGTTTTCCGTGTGTTTCACACCAAAAGACTGGTGGAATTCGCACACCTTTTTGAAATTCGTCAATTCCCCGCACTCCGCACTCTTGGACTGCAACTTCGAGGTAGCATCCAACACTTTGCTGGTAGCAGCAGTTGCCGCGAGAGCGGCATCAGTGACCGAGACTGCAACTTCCGGCATCTTTTTTATTCAAGAAGATCTAGAAGATCCTTTTAATAAGTCCTCTGATTAGTAAAGTCTATTGAAGTACAAATATTAAGAGCAGTAAAACTTTGCAAACACTTCCCTTCGGAAACCTCAACCTCCAACACCCAAACCCAAAACCTCCAACACCCGAACCCAAAACCTCCGACACAAAAACAAACAAACCCCAAACCCCAAACCCATGAACCCACGAAACCATGAAGCCAAACCATGAAACCATGAAGCAATGGGGTTGAATTTCGGGGGAAAGGGCTTAAAATCAAAAGTTTTAGGATCTTAACGCTTCAAACTCGCGAGGCCCAATCTCAAAACGACGACAAAACATGGAAAATTTTCGAAATTTGAAAACGCGAATCCAAGGAATTAAATTTCAGAGAAAGCGCTTAAAATCAAAAATTTTGGGATCTTAGCCTTTCAAAGTCAAGAGATTCACTCTCAAAATGACGAAAAAGGTGGAAAACTTTCGAAATTTGAAAAACACGGAGCCAAGAGATTGAACCTCAGGGAAAGGGCTTAAAATCAAAAATTTTGGGATCTCAACGCTTCAAACTCACGAGGCTCAAACTCAAAACGGCGACAAAATGTGGAAAATTTTCGAAATTTGAAAAACGCGAAGCCAACCAAGGCATTGAATTTCGGGGGAAAGGGCTTAAAGTCAAAAGCTTTGGGATCTTAGCGCTTCAAACTCACGGGATTCACTCCCGAAACGACGAAAAACGTGGAAAATTGCCGAAGTTGGAAAAACGCGAAGCCAAGAGATTGAATCCCAGGGAAAGGGCTTAAAGTCAAAAGCTTTGGGATCGTAGCACTTCAAACGCGCAGAATTCTAATTCAATCCCAAAACGACGACAAAACGTGGAAAATTTTCGAAATTTGAAAAACGCGAATCCAAGAAACTGAATCGCAGGGAAAGGGCTGAAAGTCAAAAATTTAGGGACTTTAGCGCTTCAAACGCACAAAATTCAATCCCAAAACGACGACAAAACGTGGAGAATTTTCGAAATTTGAAAAACGCGAAGCCAAGCCAAGGCATTAAATTTCAGCGAAAGGGCTGAAAGTCAAAAAGTTTTGGGATCTTAGCCCTTGACTTCAAACGCACGAGATCCAATCCCCAAACGATGGCAAAACGTGGAAAATTTTCGAAATTTGAAAACGCATATCGCTTACATCTTTGCCTTGCTTAGTTTCTTACTTTGGGGAGGAGGGGGATCCTAGTGGGAGGGATGTTATCGGACGCTCCAAGCTAGTACTGAGGTATGACTGCGGATGATGTCGTGAATAAGAATGGGTATGGGCATGAGGCACCTACGGAATCTTTAGAGGAATAAATTTTCAATGCTTGCAGAACAAGTACAACTACAACCAAGTGTTGTAGGCGTACTGGTAGAAGAATAAAATCGGACTCACACGAAGAAAAGTCGGCTTCATCGGAATCGGTTGACAAACAATACAAGAGTCTTTCTTTTTTGAGAAGATGGAATCAGTGTAGTTGGATCATCAAGATGACAACACAGCATGACATGTGACAAGTTGACAGAAGGTTTTATCAAAAGCATTGACTTTTCAGCACATCAGAGGCAGGCTCCCTTTTTTTGGGCCGAAAACACACGACACATGTTTCGTGCCCTCGTCTTCCGGTGCTCGACACGAACGTGGAGCATGCATCCTTAAAGAGCCGGTCACGTTTGGTTATAATCTTGGACTAGTTGTAAGGGTCACAGTCATCACCTACAACTTATATTTTTCAGTCTCAATACTTTGATTTCGAAAATTTGGGAAAAGGAGAGGTGAACTTAGACAATGAGGTCGTCTAAACTTGTGGGACATGGATTGTAGTGGTTTGCTTTGTAGCAGCAGCGGTGAGCAAATTTCGAATCAGATTTCTACCGTGGCCGCCTCGCTTGGTTTTTGTTGAAGATTTCTTGACCTCTTGGTTTTTCACGTCGCCTTTCTTCATAACGATGCGAAGGTCAGTTTGACCACACGGTGGATTTCTTTTGTTTATGCTGGACCTTGCAGCGATGCTTTTCGGTCCCTGAGAAGTAGAAGCTTTGTTTTGTGCAGCACGTGTGTGTGCCTCATTTGGGGAGGTCAGCACACTTAGCATGGTCCTACCAGACGCAGCGCCACAGCTTGCTGTTATTTCCCCATGCAATCGCCAGAATAGTCTCAACAACGCGTCAAATTCGTGCACGGTGACATTACTATTCTTGTTCGACAAAGCAGAAGAACTTTCAGAAACTGTATGCTTCTTTCCCGAAGCACTATCCAGCACGCCCAAAGCAGCAATTACTCTCCACAAGAGCCGCTTTTCTGTTGTACAGTCGTAGCAATTGTCCATCCCAAGTTTTAATGCTTGCTGGCGAAAACTTTCCATCCCATAATTTTCCTCTTCACGACACAGGTGATTCCCGGAGTTGCACAGGAGAGCACCTCCAACACACACTTGTTTGGCGTGTTCCGTTAAGCGATCGCAGAAATTCTCGTAGACGCGGACTCGTTCTACCGTATTAAAACAAAACATGCGTTCCCCATAATCCTCGAAGTCGTAAACGCGCCTTCCCGCGTCAGCATGAGTGACAAGACGACACTCTGTGGATGTCTGAGGTGCGAAAATGGGCAGTCTGATTTCCCCATCCACATATTCTAAGCTACCTTTGGAGTACGGAAATCGGAGTTTCAGCATCGCCAATCTGGGTCGCAAAGCCGCTACCCAAGACTCTTGCGCACGTAGGTCTTCAAGCAGATAATCGTCGAAATTTTTCTTCGGTTCTTTATCTACTTTATTGTACTTGTTCATGTTCTGACGCTCTTCGTGTTCCATTTGTTGGCTTTCACCCCAGTCCTCAGGCCTGTTTTGAACATGCGGCCGGTCAAAGAATCCTCTGCCTGTGGGCACTCTACTGCTGCGGCTATCCTCCATCTCAAAGCTCTCTGGACTGCCGAAATCAAGGGGGTCTGCCGAACGGATGTCGGATATGAGTAAAACCGGCGAACCAGGCCATCGGGCTCTGTCTTGCTCTAGAACGGTTTTTTCTGCTTCGAGATCAAACAAGCGCTGCCGCACCTCTATGTTCTCACACCATGACGTCCTTGATGAACCTTCTTCTTCGGCTTGGTCTTGTGCTTGTCTTTCCTGTTGAAAATGAAAATCACGAGGGTCGTACAACACGAAGCGCACACTGCGCTCGAACCAGCGCGCTAAGACAGGCAAGTGCACGCCCGGCGCTGCGCCCATATAGTATACAACGAATTTGTTCTGGCTTGCTGGTCTTTTCTGCAACACGGGAGATCTCGGGAGGATAATGTTTGGCAGCAAAACAGGGCGTGCGCGTGAGACATCTTCATTTCCTTCTGCTTCCAGAAGTTGGTCGGAATCGACAGCAGGAGCATATCTTTGATCGTTGACTGCTCCTTCACCGCTGCCGTGCTCATCAGTGGGGAAGCAGACATCCAGGAGAAACTCCAGTTCTGCCAAGAAGAGTTTTCTTTGACCCCAATGTAATGTTGATTTCGTTTCTTCTTTCCTTCTACGGTATGGCATCCGCCTTGGTCCTAGTAGGCGAGAGTAGCTTCGCCCGTCTAGTTCATCCTCTGTTCGTGGATGACCGTCGGTAAGAAGACCGACACTCGTTGTCACAGTCTGTGAAAACCTGCTAGATCCAGTTGTTGTTGACCCATAGTTCGGTGAAGTGCTGGACGATGAAGCCAAAGACTGCCAACAATGCGGATTTCCTTCGATCGAGGCGGAAGGGTAGTGCAATGCCCGCCCGAAATCCTCACGCCACGAGGACCGCGTTGCGGATGCGTGCAAAAGGTTCATTTTCATCCGCTGCTTGGAGGTGTAGTAGGTGCGAAAGCCTAAGGCGCCTCCTCCTGTTGTTGAAGAACCATCTTTCTTCTCACACAGCCACTACCGCAAGTGGTCTGTCTCTGTCGTGCTCTGTAAAAAAATAATTATAATACTGAAAGAAGCTTGAGAAGTTTTGTATCTAGTTCAAACAGGACGCGTGCTCGTTGATGAAGGAAAACGTTCCTTGATCGCTGTTGTATCTGTGCTGGAGATGTTTATCACCATCAAGTAGACCCAACATGTCAATCACATAATCTGCAGAGATGACGTAGAAATGAAATGGATCGAGTTCCCTCGCGTCCGCGTGTCCATAATGAACTATTTACTTACTTGTGATGTTGTCAGATTCTTGATATCGACAACCAGAAGCACTAGCACTAAAAGTATTCATCTTTCCTCGAACCAAGCACTGAGATCGCGAGGAGGAAACAATTTCTGGTGATTAGAGTAACCTTAGTGATCGCGGTAAGACCGAGTAGATGAAAGGGATCTGCAATGTAATCCATTCTTTCCGGGAGGAGACCCGTAGCCGTGCATAGGCTAGGATAGGCTAGGATGCCTTGACCTCCTCGCCACAAGACGAGCCTGGTGCGCTGGTGGATCACACAAATTCGATAAAATTGAGAATCATTCATTGAAGACTGTCGATTTCAAACAAGTTTTGCGTGTTGATCTGTTCTGTGAGCGAGAAAAAATTATTCGAGAAAGTTCACTGAAGGTTACAACAATGCTTCTATTTTCATCATCTCTAGAGAAACTACACTGGAATTCTTCTTGTTGAGAGCAAAGGCCAAAGGAGTCAAAATTAGGAGGGGAGAAGACCACCGACGATTGGGCGGGAAAGTGTCATCGCGTCGTTTCTAAGCTATCAAGGACTCTGCTGTATGGATATGGTTTCAAAGTAATCATCTCAATACAACACTTATTCACTTGCTTCATGCTGCTACCTGAATACCGATTATGAAACAAATATCTATTCTGTTGAAAGCAAGTTGTAGGTCGGTTGTTGAACTTGAACCGATTGAAGTACAACAAGTAGAATCTCGTTGGTTTATTCTCTTGCAATTTCTCCTCATGTGCGACCATCTCCCCACCACATGGGAGGAACATGGCCGGCCGCCATGATTCGTGGATCGCATGGTTCTCGAGCTTTACCTTGCATCAGCTTCGCATTTTGTGTATGGTCGTCCATCTTACACTCTGTCTGGTGTTCCTTTCTCACCTTTTCCATTGCCTTGAACGCTTCCTCAAATGCTGCTGTCCGCGTCGTTTCATCTGGCAATAGTGTTGTTATCACGTATGCTTATCAAAATAAGTACACCTACAGGAATGCTTGTCAAAGATCAGCATCACATCAGGCTGTTCATTATTAACATTTTTTAAGAATGATACACGAACTGTAGTTTTCAGTGGAAAATCACATCAGCAGGGTATCGTGTAAGCTAACATCAAGTCCGGCTAAATACCTGAGTTAAAGCTCTGTGGGTCTCGCCGTGAGTTTCCTATGGGGTTTTGAACAGCGCGGATCGCCGCTCCAGGCCGCTTTTTCTCCAACATCTGTGTGATGATACGTGTTAGTGGAGGGAGGGATAGGTAGGAAGCGGGAGTGACAGAAAGTTGCAATTCTTGCAATCATCATTCACATCACGCTGGTTATCAGGTGACCACGACCACGAGAGATTCACCTATGATAAGTGTACAGGTCAAGGCCCAAACCACTAAGCCACCTGCGCAGTAGGCTTAGTGGTTTAGGCGCTGGCCTGTTCACTTATCGATCTATTACCACTGGAAATTGATGATAGTAGGCTTTGGATTTGGTGCGGATGCGCTTCATACGAAAAATATCTTTTTTACCAATTGTTTTTCGTGACTCCCTTGATGCATCTGTTGTTGTCTCGTCATCTTGGGCTTACTTACTGCTTCGCCTAGATTAGGCCTGCTTTTGAGAAAGTCGACTAATTCGTCGCTCAATCCTGGTGCCTTAGTGGAGACCGTCACCGAATGCAGTGACGACGCAGCAGAGGAAGAATAGTGTGAACTGCATGCGGATTCGCTGTCCGACCCAATTGCCGACGATGCACTGCTCCGCGCCTCCGGCATAATATGCTTTTTTAACGGCGAAAGCATTCACTTCAATCGTTCTTGAAGAAAAAAGTTGCAGAAATTATAGAGGAGCTGAAGCGAGAATGGTGACCTTGATTCGTCAAGGATGAATAGCTTTTCCTTGATGTTGTGGTAGTCGTAGAAGGATGAACGATGAATAATCTGCATTTATTCTAAGTGATACTGGTTAAAAAGGTGAATGTGAAAATCGTAGTCAACTTATACGTCTGTCCATGACCATTCAGGTACCTCATCAAGTGAACTGAGATGAAAAAGGCAAAAGCGATTAAGATTATGCAGACTGTTTCTGAAACGTGTCGAACTCCAAAAGCAAAAAGCGCTTGCGTTGATTTCAATTTCTTCTTGAGCGGTGTTGTTACTACTACGAGTACTTATTTACTGCACGAATGCGTCATTTTAGGGGAAAAATAAAACACTTTTGGGGGCAAGCGCAAGGACCACGATGCGAGGTAAAGCATCAACAGCGGGAACAAGATGACGACCGAGAATGCAAACGAATTCATTACTCTCCTCCTCCATCGAACTCTAGGGACCCAGCAATACTTGTGCAGAAAGAAAATCACCGATGTGAATCTCTCAGCTAAAGACGAATAGCGATTCTTATATCCGACTTTCTCGTATCGAGGTTGCAAGCGGCCTTTTCACCGGCAGCTGCTAATCCCCCTGGTCGTGCATGCTGGAGGTCTTTACTTTAATACTTAGTGGCAATTCTTGCAAGCATTCTGTAATTCTTGTGATCTCTTTTTAATGAAATGAATATTACGACCAAGTACGTGGTGTCAGAATGTAGTCACCGTCTCCTTAGTCGATTGCTGCGTCAGATTATGGGTGCTGTGGTGCCGTCATCAACATCCTGTATGACAGGTAGACAACGATAAAGATAAACAACGTCGGAGTTCAAGTTTCCAAAGGCATACTTTACTACATTTTGTTTTTGTTCCAATTATATATATATGCGCTACAAATTTGATCGAATGATTCCGATCCATCTAGATACAGTTCATGTCTAGAAGCGTGTTGTATGAAGAAACGATGTAGTCAAATTAGAATGAAGAAATTTATGATAAACCGCTTGCGCTTATCGATCAAGGTAACTAACATGATTTTCAAAGGTTTGCTTGCTCAATCTGTATAACTGGATGCAAAAAAGAACAATAGTTTCTATTCACTCTTTCACCACCTTTGTTCTTCCATAGTGGTAGTCGTGTGTGTCTTGTTGTTTTGGCTTTCCTGTAGCTGTAGCCTTGAGTAATGGATATCATATTAGTCGATGTTGATGACGGTACTTACAGTCTGTCTTTACCCGCCTCATGGTAGTCTCGTTTGTCTCTGTGTTTCTCTACTAGTATCCACCTGCTAGTACTATGCAAATGCGAACACATGAAGATGAACAAGATGAACTTATATTATGACGTTTATTTCAGAGGCCAAAATGATTATATCCAGATTCATTATGATATATCTTTCTTGCTATGTATATTTCTACGACATTTCTCAGAAACTGAAGGAGAAGGTCATCGTCATGATCATGATGCACGACGGTCTTCACTTTCATTCAATGAGAATGTTGACGAGTAACAAACTGATATTGATATGAAATTCCATCGAAGATATTACCTGATACGGAACATCGAATCATTGACGTAGGTTTCGTATCTATTGGTTTTGGTAAGTATTAACTTAATTTAAGCATAAGCAAGTTATAAAAATATGAGTATGTAACTGCTGAATTGGTATGTTGTTGGTAGACAGCACACGTTTTTAAATGTAGTAAAACTGAAAAGATTCATTAACGCATGCAAAAAGTCATCTGCCCTAGTGGATGATGACATACACATAAGAAGGCTACATCTTGTTTCTTTACTTGCTCTTCTCGGCGATGTTGACCTAGCCAGTTACGACATGTTCAGCCTGAGATCTAGGAGGGAGGGCACTTTTAGAGCTGGTGAAGCAAGTCTGTTGAGTGACGAAGATTTGTGCAGGAGACATGCCGAACTCGTAGACCGCTTGCTCGAGTTAGTGGAGACCACTTTGCTGCGATTCCCGCTGCGGGAGGACGCAAGTACGCCCTCATACTGCTCAACGCTCGCTTGCGTCCCTGGTGTCCAAGACATGTCCGAGTGCTTTGTCTTTATGCTAATGCAAGCTGGTCCCTGTGGTGGCTTCTTATTCCCCCTTCTACTACTTGTTGTTGAACTAGTACCAGGATTTGCATTTCTCTTGTCACCTCTACTAGTTTCATCTTCATTTTCACGCTTTTCACCCCAAACGGGCATTACATCATCCCACCACCGCTGTCGTACTCCATCTTCGTCCTGTGTTCTCGCAGACGCAGGCAGCGAGTTCCTTAAGGAGAGCTGCTGTTCATTTTTCCCGCGAAAGAAGTCCACCTGCGTATTATGCTGCGTTCGTGGATGATGTCCTGCCCCCCTGAGACCGGATGTGTGTGAAGCTCCTGTGTTTGATGAAGATGTTGCATAGGAAATGGGTGCTCCGCGACTACCTGCCGCGTCTCTCCTCCCTAGCAGAAGCTGCGTGCGCTGCCCCGGATTTGCGCCGTCGTCGATATTAGGGTTCGAGGATTTATTCACTATAAACTTGCCAGTCATAGGACTTGCTGAAGGCATGGTACGAGAGGCAGCAGGTACTCCAGATTTCATCAGGTTCAGAACAGGCGTGGTCATAGTGCTCCCACCATGATGACGAGCATGGACAAGATTAGCATTAGTCCTACTTCTAATATCATTTCCGGCCTCGGTTGTGCTGCTCTTTCTATCCACCACGTTGTAGTTGGTTTTAGGTCGCAAACCTGGAGGCGTTGCTGTTACCTCGCTGCTCTCCTGCTCGCGGTCATCGGCCTCTTCGCCGGTCCATGAGCCTAAATTCAAGGTCGTCATTCTCGTCTTGTCCGCTGCTGCTGCCGGTCTGGTACTTCTGGAAAATGAGGAGGTGCTCCCACCGGTCGTTTCGGAACCACTCAGGGTTGCAAACGGCAGGGCTCCACCAGTCGTGTCTGGCGTAGTGCCGAAATGGAAATTGAACGCAGGCATGCCGACTTTCGGAGTTGACGTTTTCACCGCTTTTATGCGCGTGCCGATTCTTGCTTCGCTCCCTTGCTCTACGCCACCAGGACCTGTTGAAGTTGATGTACTAGAACTAGTGGTCGCTCCTATCGTCCCACGACTTTTGCTATCATTTTCTGCTCCTGAATCTCCTGCCTTGGTAGCCGAGAATTTCGAGGATGAAGGAGGACCTGCTGCTCCGAAGCTACCCATCATCTTTGCGCCGGCGCCTGTCGCCTCGGCTGGGTAGAAAGTAAATGTAGGCGAGCCGTTACCACGCAAAGACGCCGCGGTTGATGTCGTCGATGGAACCTCCTTCATTCTACTGGCAGAGGTGGAAGCATCGGTGCTCAACCTCACCAGCGATGATCCTGAGGAACTACCATTCTCTGCTTGCTCACCGCCTTCGTGTAGTTCATCTGAGCCACCCTCCTTGACTGCGTCTACGTCGCCTTCAAGCTCGTCCGCTGCTGAGACAAACGCGCGAGAAGAATGTCGAGGACCACCGGAATCATTTTCGACTCCCGTCGCAAAAGCGCGGGAGGGCTGCTCAACCCCGTCCACTGCGCTGGCGTAGGTTCGCGCATTCTCCGCGTCCTCTTCCACACCGAGATCTACGATGAGACTGCGAGCTGCTTCCGCGGGGTCGCTCCACTCTGTTTCTCGAGTACCAATAGCACTACTTGTCGCCTTTTTGTTCTTGTTGGTGGGCATTTTTCCGGTATTCTTCGTGCGGGCATCGGGCACAAAATTCATCTGGCCACCCAACAATGAGGCGCCCCGCTTGAAGTTGAAGTTGGTGCTCTTTTTCTGCTTAGTCGCTGCCGAAGCGCTGGTCATTTGAGGCGACGCTCGCCGAGAGGAAGCCGGGGACCCGCCGCGTGAACGGGAGGAAGCAGGTGTGAGCGCCCCCTCCTCAAATTGTGTATCCTCGAGTTTGCTTTGTGTGCGACTGATTACGCGTCCAGCCTCTGTGCGAACGACGTGCATGGTAGACGAATGCGCCGCGTCCTGGGCTTTGTAGTGGTTGTCGAGGAAGTCGGATTTTCGCTTGGTCTTCTCTTCACGCGACCTACGTCGCTTTTCCGCAATACTCAATGACCGGTCTATCTGCGATTGCCGTCGACCTAGAAGCTGCGGGTTTTTCATTCGCTCGTCCAAAATATGATGTGGGCTCTTCCTACTTCTGCTACCTCCCTGTGACACCCGCTTGGCTAGGGCCTGCGGACTTGCCCCGTTGAGGTCCATATCATCTAGTAGAATGTGAGGAACGTGCCCCATCTCGACCTCGTCCGCATGGATGCCGCCCTTTGTGTCCGCCTCGTGCATTTCAACAGTAGAACCGGTCCTGCATAATTTTGGAAAAAAAAGGATTGACTTCCACTTCTGAGAATCTTTCTTATACTAACTCCACAAGAATATTCATCAACAATACTTTAGCACCAACATGCACGCGAAGTATATGACGATGACGAATGCAAAGATCAACAACTACTTCCTGAACAAGCTCCTGATGCAGATCTTGAAACTAGAAAAATATATTTTGTTCTTCACAGAAAGTTTGATAACCTAAAGAGTCTTGCCGATTCGGCGCCAGTTCTTGATTCTGGGGATCCGAGTCTCGATGGTGAACCCTCCGCTGTAAATTTCATGAGACCCGTTTTGACGAGATTACCTGAGCTTTGTATTGATGCGCGACCCCTGTTCACGTTACTTGACGAACTTCTACCTCCTCCTCCTTTGATGTAGTGCGTACTGGATTGCTCCAGCGATTTCCTCGTCTTGTAAGCGGGATCCAGCATGAAGTTCGAGCCTATTTTTCCAACGTTTTTTGCCGAGAAGTTGGGCTTACTGTGCGCGTGCAGGTTGTACTGAGGTTTGTGTGGCGAGAGGCTCAGATCCGAAGCGGATCCGAGTACGTTGCCGAGTATACCAATCTCCGATTGGCGGCGGGCTGACCGCTCCGGTGCGCCGCTACGTGGAGAGGGCGAGCTCGTACTTCTGGCCGAAGCTGCCGCACTGTTCACATTTTGTTCGCGGTGTTCTCTGGAGCCGAAGACAGCTGCGTGCGCGAGCTCGTGGTAGGCGTGTGCTTTCTTGACCAAGTGGGACTTTTCTGACGCCGCACCATCTGAGACGCCACTGATGTGGGAGAGCGTGCGTTTCTGGATTCTAGGAGAGTTCGCCGCGTCGCTCAGCGCATTCGCCGTCTCTAACTCGGCGCCGTGCAGAACGGATTTATCTATCAAAAGCCCGCGCGGTGGGTGCAAATGCAATGGCGGTTGCGTACTCGGAACTGTGCGCTTGAGGTTGTTCGAGAAGTGCAGAAAACCAAAACGCTTCGCGGGATCACCGAGACCCACACTGAGACCACTATATCCCGCGCGTGCCGACGGCGACGACGCTCCTCCGGGACTCCCCGTGTCATTGTCTAGCACCTCGCGCCGGGCTAGTTCGATGTGGTTTGCTTCCATGTTGTTCATGAAAAATTGGTGTCCGTGCTCGTCGCTCATCACCCGGTGTTGCGGCGAGTGTTCTGGCGGCGCGAGCGTGAGTCGCGGCCCGCTGGACTGATAGCGGCCCGTGTGCATAAAGCCTCCGCGCTCGCTCGTCGGACTCAGCGGCCTTGGTTGCGAACTCGCCGACGCGTTCGGCTCCCAACTACGACTTTCCAGTGTGAGCCGGCTCTTTTGCTGACTGAAGTTGTGGACACGGTAAAACATGATGTCATCATCGCGGTCGTACTTCGGCTCGCGCACTCGCAAGAACTGTAGCACGCGCACAGCGACAGTTCGCAGCGTTCCTAGGAGCTTCCCCTGGCTCTTCGTTGACAGTGTTTTCTTCGCGGCGCTTGTGCCCCCACCCCCTGGAAGCCAGGTAAACAACAGCTCCGTCACTGCGATCTCATACTCTAGCTCGAGAGGTCGCATGGCCATCAAGAAATCGTCCAATTGTATCACGCCCTTGTCCTCCTTCGGCAAGGTGTTGAACAAGATGCTCGGCTGCAGCAAAATGTTGTGCCTCAAAAGATCATGCAGTGAAAACTTCTGGATACTTGGCAAAGTAAAACAAGAGGTTATCACAGTAAAACTTCTAGACACAACAGGATAATTATATCAAACAACCAGTATTAGAACCACTCTGTTCGCTCTTGAGTCACCACGAAAACATTTCTCATTCTTGACTTAGACTTTTCACTTCAATACCCGACAACAAACTGCTGGAGGTCGTTACTCGTGATTCTTCCACATCTTCTTTGGTCCATGAGGCAGAATATATCACGACCACTGAGACCCGCTAACTCTGGGCTCTCATCGATCCAGGCTGCGAACTGCGCTAAAACAGTTCCCGCTTTGCTGTCATGTAAAGGTATGCCATCCTTCATTATTGTCCGCGAGTGCAGTGACGGTGGAAGCGCTCGCTTCAGGACCAACAGCATGTACCTTGTAATTTAAAGCGAAGGCAAGAATGGCAAATGAAGCTGAAACGTTGTAAAGCAAAAAAAATTATACATGGGACTAGGTCGAGGTGCAGTGCGATTAAGTCTAACAACAACAAGCTGCTTAGCCGCACTTCCGAAAGCTACGTCGTGTACAGTAAACGTCTGACTTGATTTCCATCTTTCAAAACTGCTATACGGTACCCTAATATTATTGGTGTGATCGGTCTCAACGTCGTTGTCTGGACGCTGACCCCACGACGCATCGCTAGTGACCGCATGTGCACAGCGTGCTTTCGGAAGTCGTCGATGATTTTTTTCGCTTCACTGACCTGAACATCACGCAGCCGCTGCAGTCGGTTCTGCTTTCCGCGCTGAAATTTTTCAGTCGTATCGCGTACCACACAGTACTCTTGCTTACGGTGCGCATCTAATTTCTGTTTCCAAACAGCGAGATCACGTTCCTGCCTTTCTTTGGCCTTGTCTACCTTGCGAATGTACTGAGCGCGAAGCTCCTCGTCAAATTTCGAAGCCACGTTGCGCTCGTCATCGTCATGTCGACGCATCAAATGCAACAAGTTCGGTTGCCCTGTTGAACTTGCACTCCGATACACGCGACCTGGTCGTATGAGTAGTCATCTACATCATGAGCAAAATATTATTAAAAAGGTTGATTAGGATGATAATGATGTTCGTTGCGATGGAATCTAGACCTGCTAGAGTACAACTAGTTGTATTTCTTTGGAGTCGTGATTGATGTCAAACACCCCAATGCGAGTTTTCTTACCAAATCTACGATCCTTACCCACACCCAGCCAACGTCATCTTAAGAATCTTACCATATGTGTCCAGACAGAATTTCGCTTTCTTGAATTTCTCTGCTTGCATCTGCACTTGCAGCCTCGCTTCTGCCTCGTCTAGGGCCTCCTCCTTCTCCTGGTATATGTCTTCTATACGCTTTTCCAATTGGAGCTCCTTCGCACGAAGCCGATTCCGCAGTTCACCCTTCAGACAAATGAATTCTTTCTCGACGTTTTCGGTAAAGGTATGCAGAACCCGTGCCTGCATGTCCTTTATCCACCTGGTGATTTTCTAGTTCTTGCCGATTGCTGAAAGAATGATAGCACGAAAAAATAAGCAACAAGAAGCTGCTCTACTCAATGAGCAATTCTATCGTCATCATTACCATTAGACCAAAGAACTCTGGAAAGAAAGTGCAATACTTGGTGACGTTTTTCTCAAAAATCGCCTCCAGCTTATCCAGATTCGCGAATATCTGCTCGATTGTGCCGTCGTCAAGCACTTTCGCGGTATCAACGAATTCGCGTATCGCTATCATAGTATCGATGTTGAATCGGTGCACATAAAGCTTGTAGTGCAAAGCGTGGAACCTGTTGTAATTAAAGCCAGATGTGGAAACAGCGTGTAAAATTTAGTTTTGAGAGCAATACAATCAACATTTACACTTTTTAGAAAATCATGATATTAAGCAACGACAAAAAAATATTGACTGAATCTGAATTTCAATTTTGAAACCAAAAATTCTATTTTTATCGCCTTTTTGAACGATTCAAATCCAGGTGAGTCTGTATTCCCCAATGAAAGAATAATAACTGTTTTGATCTACTTGAGGTAACTTAGTAAACTTTAGCAGACTCGGGAAAGTTAAGCTTAGTCCCTGTGTTCTACTATTCTTTATTCAGTGGGTTACGTTTATGTTAGTGGAAAAAGGTTGCGCTAAGGTGTCAGAAGTTCAGATGATCAGAGACCCAATGAAAGAATAATAAAACAGAAAAAAAACGATGACTTATATGTACTAACACATTCACTCCTTCCAGTGGACTTTTTCCTCAAAATAGTAGCACTTCCACTAATCAATGTCTTGAAACTGCTTTTGCAGTCTTCAGAAAACACAAACCCCGATCCATCATTTTAATGGAAAATGACCAAACCACATAACAAGTAGCAAGGCGTAGTGTGTTCGTAGTTAATAGCACGACGCGCACGCGGTGATAAACTGCTGATAGGCTTGTATGAGAAACGTATACGGCTTCGAGTGACAACCGCCTGGCGGCGGGAGCAAGATGGCAGGAACAACACAATCACGCCAGGAATTTCTCAGATATCGAACGCTCCTGTGTCCACCACCGCTTACGAATCTATTGTACAGAAAACTGTAGTCGACATGCAAAGAAAGTTGAAACGTTTTCCTTCCAAATGTAATCGTGCTCCGCAGCAAGAGCCTCTCGCAACTACAGCAGCACCACTATCAAGAGTGCTAGGAGTGCTGCGATGTTGTTCCGCATGAAAGGGAAAGCGGTGTCCTGAATGAGCATCTCGCTCATCTGTCCGAGAGGACGCAAGGAAAGCAGGGGACGGCATTCGGAAATCTGGACTCCATGCAACAAAGGCAAGCCTGCGTAGCAATACTAGAACCTAAGCGGAGAAAGGCAAGGGCACCAGAGGAGCAGCGACGGGGAGGAAGCCAAAGTAGCTAAGCGAGAAAAGCGCGTCGTCGTTCCTGCTCAAATAAGACGAGGGAAAGCTCTTGAGCGTTTGCAGTCATTCTAGACCTGGCAATGGACGACCGCGAAACCTCCATACCAAATTTTATGGCGAGGGTGCTACATTCCGATGACCTTCTATCTTGGGCTGCTGACATGGGAGTGGCAAGAAGACGCATAACAGTTAACTGAGAGCAACTAGAAGCTTTGATAAGTTACTATTCAATAGTTTCCTGAACCATAAACGAAGAAGAAAGAACAGCACAGCAAAATCGCATCGGTTAGTCGTGGTATATTTTGGTGACCTACAAACACGGTACATCACATGTTGAAGTTGATGTCGTCGCCGTACTAGTCCGATGTAAAAGCGACAAGTTAGTAAAAGCAACAGTGAGCAGTCGTGTACTCAGGAGGCTGGTTCACAAAATGATTGACTTGCAACTGCAAGCCCATGCCATATACTACCGACCCCGAGTATTCAAGTTTTTTGGGTGGACAGAGTGAGTGGGTCTGTCAGAATTGCGACGGAAACAGGCGAGGATTGCAAGACTTTTTTTCGCTGAGCATTGAAGAACTTGAAAGTGTATTATGCCACATTTGACATTTCTTTGCAGAAGATGTGAAGACTGGACGAATCCGAATGCAAATCGTACTAGAGGAACAAGTAGAGAATACTTTTTAGACGAAGCAGTATAGAGCGAGGATGTAAGCAGAACATGACAAGGTCAAAGGAGAAGTAAACAGAGGACACGACAGTACCTGCAAAGGCCTCGTTTGCATGTGTCAACTCGTTCCTCCTGGGATGATATCTCGAATTTTAAGAGCCTAGAAACGATATCTTGCAGTAAAGGGTCACGTGTCGTCATACCGAAGAGACTCGTCACCGGATTCTTGCCCAAACTCACCTGTTTTTTAGACGTTGGTTCGGCAATGTAATCTGTCTACTTACCTTATACGGCGATTAGCTTCTTCTCCTACTCGTATTCCTGCATCTTCTATAATTGTAAGTTATAGTACTATGGCAAAAACAACGAACGGATTCTAAGGTAAAATGAATAACATCAACGGGAGCTGTACCTTGAGGAGCATGAGGCATATCGGGCAGTGATCGCAACCGTCGTAAGCCCTACCACCGGCATTGAGCACTGCGAGTTCCATTGGCGTTTTTTCGCAGTATGCCGACGACTCATGTGGCACACTGACCACATTGGTCGGCAGTGAGTTATGCGAAACAGGCACTGACGTATTCGCGTTCATCTTCGGTGCTTAGTTTCAAGAAGGCACGATGACGATGAAATCCTGTATCCGTGATGCTGGACGATAGAGGAAGTTCGACTTCTTCAGATCGTGGAAGAAGATGAATACGACGAATACGAAAGTCTAGATGGTGGACAAAAGATAGAAGGCTGAGATAATCCACAGAGACTGGAAACGTGTTGACACAATTCAAACAAATGTCACGGCAGAACGCTTTGCTGCGACCTTCTTGTCCTCTTCACAACGAGCACCCATTCGTCCGCAATTCAGCACCCCGGGGCCCTCCCACTCGACGTTTACTCGAGCGAGAGGTAATATTGACCCGCACAGACCATGCTGTATGCACTTGCGGGGTGGTTGTATTCTATCTTCTACGAGCCTAGTAAACCTAAACGACCCGCGAGCCTAAGTGATGATGCAACAGGGGAATAGAGAAGCGAAAGTAGAGTCGTGACCGTGAGTGTGAGATGAAATCATAATTATATTAATAATTAATCATGAAAATGAAATTGAAATCAAGTGGATCACCAGATTTTATGTCCCAAGAATTCACGAGTATGGAAAGTAATCATAACACAATGGAATGAAAAACCCGCTCCTGAATCATTCAGAAGAAGCTGCATGATCGGGCAACGAACTGTAAGTGCTGGTATAATTCTCAAATCAAAAAAGGTCAGTCGACGTGCTCGCGCTTGTCGAAGGTAAGGTAGGAGGAGACTGGAGGTCGGGGATGATGAGGAGCAGTTAAGTCTAGCAAGACCGATTCAGATCCACGACCAAGACCAACGACCGAGCACATTAATAAGACGATTGTTATAGTATACGGAGTACCGAAGGAGTTAGAACCAATAGTACCAAATTCATTCGCATATTTCTATTAAGCAGCGACAATAACTTGTTCCACTCGTGACTTGCTCTTCCTCTTGCTGCTCAATTTACAGTAACCGACACAGACTCCACCGGCATGAGCAGCCTCAAAGCAGTTCGTGATCGTTGTACCGACTCCTAGTTCTGATGCGTGTCACTCATTTGGGCGACTCGATCATGAAGTAGATGGATTTAACTTCCAGCACCGCCACAAGATCCTAGGCAAAGCTGTTGTGGTAAGTAGTGGTATGATGCCCAGATCAGTACTCGGAAACTGTCGCCGGGACTTTTAATGCCAGACTTCACTTCCGAACCAGGGCCCGATATGTTTTGAATGAAACGTCTTCCCTAGGGGGCGAAGCACCTGGGTTGAGCGCTAAGCTTATGTATCAGCCGAATTCGATCAAACGCGCAAGGCATATGCTGCGATCAAGAGCGCAAGGCTAGACGGCGCGGCTTTCGCAGCTGTTGCCCAGGTGGCTGGCATCTTTTCGAGGTCGAGAACGATTCCGCGCTTTGAATTAGCAAGCTTCACGAATGGCCCAGCTAGTCACTGTTGGGCTATTTTTCGTCTCTGTTTGAGTTGGAATTTGTTCGTTTGACTTCCGAGAGCGATCCAGTACCTTGGATTAGCAAGCTTCACGTATTCGATGACATAGCAATGAAGATTGCATTTGCAAAGAAGAAAGACATTTATTCACCAGTAATTCCCTGCGAACTCCAAGTACGCGTGTCTTGGACATTCTATCATTCTGGTTCTTCACCAATGGAAGATAGAGAAGAGGGCTGTATGTGGTTTCGTTATCACGTTGTATTATAACAAGACGAGTAAGTTGGCGAGTTACTCGACTGCTTTTCGAATGACTACTTCCGTCTTCCAAAAAAAGAAAACAAGAAATAGCACATGATGAAAGGGAAAGCTTCAAACTGGTTGAATCCAGTACTGAGACGGAAGACAATACCTGCCTTTTCTTGGCTCGAAAGCAGAAGGTAGCGGTTATATGACGAAACTAGTATAAAAAGGAAACAAGAAGATGAAGATATTGAGAAGCGTGAAGTATGAAAAATGTATGTCTTCGACGAAATGGACAAGGACACCAGAGTGCTGAATGATAGAACTACTCCATGTCAACGAGTCACATCTGATTATAATAGAGCAAGTACACGGCTTTGCACCTATGATCGAAAATAAATGATCAACGGTTCAATCAACGATTCACTGGTGATGTGTGTTGGAGTTAATATCTGGTAAAACCGTAAAGCCGGCTGTGGCGCTTACATTCTCGCCACACTTCCTGCTCCGTTACGACGGACAGACCCATCTAGTGACGTCAAGTTTTTTCTGTTGTTGTGGTTACTGCTTGGTGCCGCTGACCTATCGTGATCTTGCAGGTAGACACGATGACTGCTATTGTTCTTGCTTTCTACCATGCGGACTCGTCTACTTGAAGTCACACTGCTGTGATCATCTTCACTGTCGTCGCCGGCGGTCTCCTCGCCGATCTTGTTAGTCCTAGCAGTACTCCTGGCATCTACTCTATTGCTGTAGCTCTTCCCATTCATACTTCTGACATACTTGTCGTGTGAAGACTGTGATCTGCTTTGCTGCTCTCGTAGTTCGTCCCTCCAATTTCTGTGGTCTCGGCGCTGCCCACAGTGTTGCTCCCTGAAAAAGTCGCGACTACTTCCCCCGCTACTTGTCGATGATGTCGGGAGCAGCATCCTCCCATTCTGCTTCATCATAAGCATTCGTTTCTCCTCCTCCTGCTGCTCATAAACGTCGATACTAGTACTCCTAGCTTGAGCTACAGCATCAACATGTTGCTCATAATAATGAAAATTTTTCTTGTAGGGATGTCCATTTTCATTGCTTCGCGCGGATGTGTTTCTATTGCTATTGGATGTCCACTCAGGATTTAAGGACTCGCCTTCGCTCTCCTCTAGGCCGCTGCGACTTCCACCGTCTTGGCCTGTCCAAGAAGAGCTGCCGAACCCTTCATAACGCGGAAGCTGTACGTACTCTTGCTCGCTCTCTTCAAGCTCGCTCGTGCTCGTGTCATCAGCATGATGCGTCTTGTAAAAACCCCGATCACCGCGACCACGACCTCCACGATTATGTTCGAAATTTCCGTGTGGTGCGCCCGTGCGTGTGTAATCTTGTTTCCCATTGATGCCTCGTCGTTCTCTGAGGTTTTTTTGCGGGTCATTGTTAAATCGCGCTGATTGGAGTCGTGCGGGAAAAGCGACCCAAGCGCGTGGATCCACCAATTTCACACCACGAGGACCGCAGCAAGCCACCTCGTCGGCAACATCCATGCGATCATTCAAGCCCTTGAGGTGCTCCTTCGTTGTTTTGCCAGTACAAATTAGGAATATGTGGTACACCCACAATGTCGCCACCGCTAGCAAGGAAATGCCTATCACGATGGCTGCTACGTAAAAAGCCGTGCGTGCCAGGGATGGCTCGTCTAAGCCGTTCGTCCCAACAATATTGGGATCTGTGCCTGCTGCAGTTCCTCCTCTCTGTGCAGCTGCAGCTCCCGCTGCAGTTGGTGCTGCTGTGCTGCCTCCAGCAGTTGCTATGTCACGCATCAGCACAGGCGTTTCTGTGGTTAGTAGGGCTGAATCGTCTAGAAGTGCAACGCCTACCCCGCTGTTTTGTTCGACACCAGCTGCTCCACCCCCATTGATGTTCACATCTTGGTTCATCGCACCATCATTTGTACTATAATGCAATGTTGGGCGTAGTATGTTTTGGTTTCCTTGTCGTTCTCCAACATTCTGGTTCTGCGTCCTTGATGCGTTTTGATTTACTGACCGCGCTAGTGCAGCTGGCGTAGCCCTCAGTCCGCAGAAGCCGCAACCAAGTGTCAAAATTCCGAGAACTATCACGGAGGTAATGTATCCAACAAAGAAAGCATAATTCCGTTGGCCGATGCAGTTATTCAAGAAGGGACAATGATGATCAAATTTGATTACACAGTTGTCGCAATCAGGGCAATGCGCGCTTCGTGGCGGCCGAATGATCATGCACGTTCGACACCAACGATATCTGGTGGAGAAGATGCAGATGAATAAAATGCAGATGATGATGAAAAGATCCATTGAGTTTACATTCTTGGGGAAGACAAATATGTTGGCCGTAGTAATTCTTGAACAAATCACTTTTAGATCTGATAACAGCACTGAGTCGTTGTTCTTGTTGATAATGCAGGTGCCTCAGTCCAAAAGATTAAGTCGACGTGAAAAAAGCTTTATAGTAGATACCCCTTGACCCTAAGTTCGTCAGGCACACAATCCAGGGCGTCTATCTCGAATTTTCCGGTGGGCGTGCCTCTTCCGAGGACGTCATAACCTAGAAGTTTTTGGAGTCCAGCTTGAATTCCAGTCTGGAGGATTATCTCTCTTCTGGGCAAGATTCCAGGGTCGGTGTAGGACACTCCGTACAACAGACACATATTCACCAGTAATACAAACCAGAAGAGCCCCAGAACTGCGATAGCCACACCGTCATCGGCAGCGCCGCCTGATGTTGAAGTGTTCACTTATTGTAGTAAAATTCATGACTCTGACTCTTCTAGCGTAGACGTGCATTGCCGTAAACCTAGCTGTCTGAAGAATAGCTATAGCCATACTCCGTCTATATTTTTTCTCAAAGCAAACCAACGTGCCCTGTCACACGAAATTGAGTGTCAACATGAAGGTAAGCACTAAGGGACGAGAGCCGGTGATGTGACGAAGACGATTCTTGTCTTTTTATAAGGTAGTATTCTTTGTAGTATCTCCTACATTGTAATACGTACTTGTCGTAAACCACGTAATGCGTGACCAGCATATTCGATTACGAAACTACATGATTTTCAGAAGTACTTGAAAGGTAGACGCTGCGCGTGCTGAGGACCCCGACGAGAAGCGGCAAGGCGACGGCAATGAGCAGCACGAAGACGTGCGGTAAGCTAATGTTCTCGGTAAGGGGCCAGTCCTTCTCACCCCCAAGCAGACACGCACCGCCACAGAGGTATCGCGTGGTCCCTGGCCACACTTGGTAGAGGTATGCACCACCTTCCGTTCGGCCGCGATTATCCTTTTGTCCTTCTGCTGGTTCTACTACCTCTTTGCAAATCTCTTCGTCATCATCATCGCCAGCGGCCGCGACTATTGTTCGTGATGCTGATGCAGCGCCGCCGACATAAAACAGAGGAGGGATTGAAGTCTTCTCCGTTCGTGTGCCTGCTCCACCTAATCTTGTACTGCTACCCTCGCTGCCACGATCATAATCATGACTCCTATCAACAGCGGCGGCGCGATAATGCTCCTCATCCTCTTCTAGGTCTTGGTCTACCACGTGCTCGTCACTTCTTCTACGCTCGTGGCTGTCCCCACAACGGATTTTCCTGGAGGCAGATGGCGAAGAAGGAGTAGTTGTAGCTTCGGCCTCAATCTCAAAAATTCTTTTCAACTTACCATGCTCCTTGTCGAAGAAAGATGAGTTTCCGTTGTGCAGCATACTTCTTTCTGCTCTACCACGGCCTCTTCCACTGGAAGTGGATGAGCTGCTACCTCTCCGAAGCATATAGTTATCCAATGCAGTAGAGGAGGACGAGCTACTGCCCGACGAATCCGATAGCGTAAAATCCAGCGCGTTTTGCACTATGAAGTCTTCGACATGCCCCGGGCCTCGTCCGGTTGGTCCGGGAAAGCTCACGGCTGGTGCATCGTCTTCCTCGAGCAAGCCAAGCTCAGAGGGACTGCGTTCTCGAATCGAAATTTTTCCTGTGATCTCGTTTTCCTGTACGTCCACGTGGTACTCTCGAGCTCGACGCTGTGGATCAATTCTTGCACCATCCTGGCAAAAGTGGGTAGGACCACCATCCTGGCGAAAGTGAGTGTCACTGTCCACTCCAGTCTGCGTCATCGATTGGTTCTAGCACTTGTGGTTTCTATTCTTGCTCCTTACGCATCAGCGGGAATCAATGAAGGATCTTCGCGGTAGATCTCAGTCAAGAGAGAGCGGCAGTCAACTCCAATGAATGACAGGTTGCGCGAAGCACACACAAGCACGTCTTCTATCGGCTCTACTTTGCACGACGCCAGTAAGGACAAGACACAGAAGCTATCGCGGATGCGGTCGACTCGGCAGGCCGAATGAGAAGACACTCGCGCACAAGATCAAGGAATACTCGCGATCAAAGCAAGGTCACGCTGAAGGCAGGCGCAGGTCCTCAGGGGTCAAAATCATCGACCAAAATTGCGGAGACAAGAGTGAATGCAGCTGAGTCGTCATTTTTGTAGTCACATTTGGCACATCACGAAATGTTAGTTAAAAATCATGTCTCACAACTTACTACTGGTACTGATCATTCACTTCTGTGAACCAGAAGCGACAATCTCTAGTACTATTTCTGCAACTCAGACGCCGTCCTGCAGCCAGAAAATAAGTTTTAAATTTCGTTAATCGTTACGCGCTTGAAGTTGAGGTGATGAAGTTAATCCAAGGTACTAAGAAAGACGCCAAGAGGAGTCGTACTCGACGACTCTTCTGTCCTCAATCGCAGCAGGCGGCGCTTTCTCTATCATACTAGGGACGACGACGCTCAACTTTTTCCGCTCACGGTGCAAGTGGATCTCAGGATGCATTCACAGTGACAACATCGTGTACAAGACTACAAGTACGACTTCAGGCCATCGCCATGTCGATGAAGAAGAACGGAGAACAATGGCGCGCAAATCAATTTGCAAGAAGAGTCGATTACCACTCCATCGAACGAGAGGACGTAGTTATGGGCTGTGCAGAGGTAGAGGACCCAAGAGGACCATCTGAAAACATTAGCAAAAATATGATCTCCCTGAGAATCATTATCGTATTCATAGATACTACATCTGGTTTCGTACGTGCTAGCATGGCATAATCAACAAATATCGCAATAATATATTGAGCAAGCTAACGTCCCACATGATGAACGTCTAACAGGAGTTCATTTTCATATTCAAGTATGGATCTACACTACAAATGCGCCACAATGAATCTATTCTGCTCGTCTGCGACCTCGAGGACACCAACCTAGTAGATTGCCATTTCTATCTTTGTTTGCGTCCTCTATGCTAAAAATGACGATATTCTTCACACGAAAATTGTTGATGTAGAAGGAGCTCTTCTTGATTTACTTATACATATTATCAACATTTCCAGCAATCAGAATGAAGAGCTAGCATCCTGCGATTCTATACGTCGTCTTCTGTTTCAACGTCGCGAAGGGATGGGGAAAATTCTACTTAATCCGAAAAATATTGAATTACCTGGTTTCGGTTATGTTTCGTCGCGGCTAATTTTTACCCATGCGAAAGTCCTTGTCTACCTGATGAAGAAGTTCTATGTGTGAATCATATCATCGAGGAAAGAAAAGTACTCAATCCCCTTTCTATTTCTTCACCATTCTGAGAAGAAAATAAAGCAATACATGTTTTTTCGACATGATTGATTCAAGTCCTTATTATTTCCCAGAGTTTCTTGTTTTACCTATTTTTTCTTCATCGGGGTGACGGAGTGTCGAACAGATTTGGCACGCCTTACCAGCAAGTGGGCCAACACCGCCGGCTCCCGTCGCCAGAATGCCAATCATGCAAATCAGGCTTTTAAAGATGATGGGCTTTGCGGCTTGTTCCAACGACACGGTGCCCAAATGAAACAGCTGGCAGTTGAGCGCGATCTCCAAGATGTAGGTCAGGTGTGCCAACTTGACTGCCGTGGCGGCTCCCGCGGCGCCGGAGAAGAAGAAAGTGATGGTCTTGAACATAGCTTTGGCCCTATCCATAAGGCCCAGAACAGCAGTGCCGGCGGCGGCCCGAAACAACCCGCAGATGCAGAAGGCGAAGAAATACATTACCAAAATGGTCGGCAGCGCAGTATTGTCAGCTGGCACGAACGGAACCAGTTCCTTCAAACCTTAAATCGAACAGCAGCAAGAGGCCGATCACACCCCGTCCAGGAAGATTGCGCCCCCGAAAAGGTGGTAGCCGCCAAGTACCTTCGACGCGAGTGGAGACCCCATTTTGTCGATTTTGCTGCTCAAGAAAACAGCGACTCTTGGAAAAATAAATGGATAGAAAACGATTCGCGCTGGAATTTGATTATGATAGAACAGAATGACAATTACCCTCAGATCTCGTAACTACAGATACAGACTCGCTGCAAGAACTAGTTTAACTGCCTCCAGCAGGAGCTCTCATAGCAATAGCACAACGTCCCACTCACCTCACTTTCACAGATGTTGCAAAGGTCTCATTCATTTGTACAGAAGTTATGTTTCATCACTTTGGTGCTTGTTGCAAAGCATATGCACTTTTTGCACAGGAGTGCCTGTAAGAATTCCGACATGTACGCTCGGCGATCGGCTTGCTTAACACGTACTAGAACATTTTAACATATTCTTTCATTGGGTTTGATAATCCAAGCTCGAAAGTGGCCATTCGTGATCCTGATGACATCCTATACTATGTATAAAGAGGAGCCGAGACCGACGACGTCACCCATGAAGATGATGTTCATGTTGTTCTTTCTTGGAAATATAACTGTACACCTCATCCTCATAGCTGTACGCGTAGAAGTGGCGAGCATCACGCTTTAAGAATTCCCGGCCGACAAAATTATCTTCTCATCAAGACCCCCCCGTTGCCCTTCTGGTTCTTTTATTTAGCCTCCACTATAAGCGAAGTTTTTATGTATCATCAGCGTCTGAGAAGCTGCCTTCGCTTCTCGAGTCTGCTCCGCCCGGTGGCCGACCGTTTGGGACAACACTACCTCCTCGATTATTAGATCTAGATGATCCTCGAGGAGGGGCCTTTTCGTCCTCCGCTCCGCCACTAAAAAAGAAATCTTCGAAATTGAATTCATCTCCACTTTTAATACTTTGCTGTTCTACCGGTTTGCTCGGATCGTGCCTGTCGTGATCTGGTGCAACCCGGCCATTCGCACCGGCTCCTGGTGGAGCCATTGATGGGGGCAGAGTGCCTGCAATCCAGTGGGAATGCCATTGGTACAGCGCGCTGCAGTAGCCAGTTGCGCAACTATAACACATGCAAATCAGGAAACAGAGGACGATTGCGCCAGCTAAGCTCGCGAATAGGTAGAAAAACAGTCCCGAGAACAGCTCGTCGTCCGAGGAAGAACTTGTTGCTGCCACGACAGGCGAGACTGAGGTTGGCGACAAAGTTGTGGTTGCTGCGGCCGTTGTGTTAACAGGACTTGACGTGGTAATTGCTGCAGCCGACGTCGCATTTGACGACGCGCTGCTCGCGAGGCTGGTACAATTTGTAGTCAGGTTGCCACCCGTAGACGTCCCATTGCTTGAAGAGCATTCGGTAGACCCGCCGAGGGATGAAGTGGTCAACAGACGGAGCCACACGACATCCTCTTCCAGAACGTTCGTTGTAGATAAGTCTTCGCTAGAAGGGGTAGGCGAGACGATCTCTGATGCAGATGCAGCAGGTGTCGTCCCCTGTACTAGACTGACCGTAAAAGACGACTTCCGTTCGAAAACGTCAGCTGATGACGGGATGCTCATCCCGCGAAAACTTTGCTGGACGCTGGTCGTGGCAGTCGAGGTGGCAGAAGTCATTCTGATGCACTTCGTCTCCTCAATTCATGATAAGGACGAGTGAGAAGATCGATGATGGACAACGAGGCGCTGCCATGTCTGCGTCCCGTGTTGCGATCGTTACTCGATCACCTATGGAGATGTATTGCATAGAAGTTCTAGAAAGTTAGCTCATAAGTAATTTATAGTCAAGCGTTCAGCTAGTGGCTAGTCCCAACTAGACTTCATCGAAGCGTTGTATTTTCTATCTCTGGGCTTCATTTTCTTGAAGATTGTTTTTAAATATCATCCATGCTTGCCAACAACACACGACACGTCTTCAAGGATTTCATCTGAATCTGTACAGGTTAATTCTTGTCCTACTCAACTTGAACAAGAGCAACAATGCAATTCAAACCTTGCACATCCGCATCACAAGTGGGAAAGGGCACTCAAAAGGGGGTGTCGATTGGGGTGAGTGCCATCTTCATTCTCTCATCTTATACCGAATGCGTGACAAGAGATTCTTGACTGTCCAATTCATCTCAAACTGCCCAATCGAGGATTTCCATATCTGATGAAGAAGAAGACCCCGACCATAAGCTGAGACCACGACAGAGTAGAACCACTGTGTATTCTTGTTCTTCCTTAGGTTGATCTTGTAAGGGAGTTTGAGGTTAACCTTTACAGAAGTTCAGTGATCAACATGAGCATGAAGACCGGTGTGCTGATACTTTTTTGTGTGACATGACCCTCGCATACTCAATCTCCTCTACTAGCGCGGATATCATAAGCTTCGTCGATTATGACGATGTACTTGGTTGATGAATCCGACATCATCTATAGAGTGAGTTGCCTCGTCAAAGAAACTGACACGTTGACCTTGACGTTGCCTACGCACTTGGTAAAAAATGTTGGCGTATTGAAAATTGATCACAGTGTGTCCTGCGTGTGTCGCTTTCCCAAAAAATTGGTCGTGAAAATGAATGACAAGACGGCAATATCTTTGTATTTTCTAGTCGAAAGGAAAATCATCCAAGATGAAGCGTCGCCTCATAGAAACAACGCGAAGTGAAAGATTATGCGGTCGTCACACAATTTCGCCATGCTGAACTTGTTGTTGAATGGAGTCGATTCCATCTTCAGCCGAAGATGTAGCGGGTTTCTTTTCAGATGCTTCTCCAGCTCCTCCTTGATTTTGCTGCTGGTCCGTGGAGTTTTCGTTTTGGTTTTGTGTTGTTGGGATATATTTCTTCAGTACCTCGAAGTAGGGATCGCCTGCCATCCAGTCGCGTCGAGGGTCTTTGTTCCGCTTGAACTGGAACGAGAAGTAGACAGGGTAGTGATCGGAAACAGGGTCTACGCGGCCGAGATACGTTTTGCTAACTCTGGAAGCCATCACAGGCTGAATCCATCGCTGGTCATAAAAGATCCAATCCAAACACTGCTGCGGCATCATTTGCTCCTCAGGCGGAACAGGTGGAGCGGGATGCGTCATAGGCGGAAAAATTAGCAGAGGGGTTGTATCCGTGAAGATGTGATAGTGGTTGTGACTGTGAGGATACGTCACATTATAACTGAATACCCTGTGGTAGTAGAGATGATGCCGGACTGTAATACTAGTAGCTTGTCTATCTCGAACTCGATGTCGTCCACCCGCTTCTATATGGCCCTTATTCGTTACGTGAATCATAGTATTGCTACGTCTTGATCAGACAACGCGAACAAGAATAATGGTCATGGTGCTCCTCGTACTTCTTTTTAGTTGCAGTCAACATTTTTCACACCATAACAGCATTTGTAGACCGGCGAAGCAGTCCTGCATGTATGGCAATGCGCTACGCAGAATTGCACGTGGTGCAAATCCACAATTGAGATCGCCGGTGAAGAATATCGCAACTTCATCGCCAACCTCGTCATCGCCGCCGCCCGAGCCCCATCGCTGCAGCACTTCAACCACCTTTTGCATCTGCTTCTTGCGCGGATCAATCAGCTGGCTGTCGTAAACGCAGGAAAAAGTAGCGGAACTGCTGTTTTTTGCTGTACCACTGGAGGTTGCGCCGTCTCCAACCTGTTCACCAGTGAGACCCGCTGGGGAGGATGTAGAGCCAAAGGCTGGTATGGACGTTGTCTTCGAGAGTCCACCGCCGACGAGTGCAAGATAGCGCCAATCACCCTGCCACGTTAGATGACAGGTCGACACCAACACGCGGCGACGAGTAGGGTAGTACTGGTTGTTGGTTTCCTGCAGTAGTACCCAAAAGAGCGCACGATGCGGCTCATCGATATCCACATCCTCAGCGCCGAATGCGACCTCCTCAAACACCTCTGAATTCCAGAAAATGTTCCCCTCGCAGGTGAGTCCAGGACAGCTCGCGTCCTCAAGGCACCGCCACTTCTTCTGCTTTCCAAGAACAGCAGCCAGAGGTGAAGCTAGCGATGTTTCTGCGCCCCCAGTTGATGAAGACTTCGTAGCGCTAGGCTCATGAAAATCCTGGCTACCTACTATGCAACTTCCCGTACTCCGAATGCTCTGTTGCTGTTCAACAGCAGATAACTCCTCTGCAGACGTGGTCCCCATTGTCGAAGTTCTCTTCGTACAAGATTTACTCATCTCTCCTGCGACATTGTCGTCGTCAGTGCAGGATGTGCCCGTCGACTTTCTCATCGTTGACGACGACCGTTCGTTTTTGATGCTTCGCATCGAAGGCGTCCTCGCATGCTCCATCACATTTTGCTGAAGATGTTTGGTCTTAGAGCACCACGACGGAGGATTTGCAAGAAGACGTGGACTGCAAGTGGAACAACCGGCTCATAATATGTAATGATGTTTCTATTTCATGTTCATCAAAGAAACTACTAACAAGACCAAGTCGTTACTTCTCTTTAAACAAAAAAGTATATCAATAGAGCCAGAGCAATAGTCTTTGCTTCAGGTGCTTGAGTCACAAAGTGAGAAGTTGAGACGAGAGGCCATTCTTTATTGGTGTTCCCTAAGGTGGTGGTAGTTGGGTTGTCTCACAAGAGTTTCATTGGTGAAGAGAGAAAAGGTTAGTAGATAGTTAAACTAGACTACAAATATATACAATTAATATACTACTAGTACCAACAATTTTTCAGGATCGAAAATTTAATGGCAGTGCGTAAATACTAGCTTATGCTTGTTATCGAGCCTTAACCAGGCAGCTGGCACAGCTGGATTATACCCTTAATCTTCAATGTCACCTTCAAGGGACGCCTTGTTCTATAAGTAGAGACACCTCTAGTATTGGCCTTAACAGCTGGATCATCTTCGAGGCCTTCGCTCACTGCCTCGAGGACTTCAGGTCGCACTTCCTGAAGAGTGACGATGTCAGGTTTGTAGGTCCGGAAAAAGTCTACGACTACCTCTCGCCTATGCTCCCATTCTTCGGTGTTCCACGCATTCAAAGTCAAAATCGAGTACGATGCGGGACGCGAGGCGTAGCCTACACCAGAGGGGTTGTACCCGCCTCCCGGATGAAAGGCGGACATTTTGATTCCTTTTTTATATTTTTCCTTGTAGTTTTATGTGCAAAGTAAGAACAAACTATTTTTTGGAGATGATGAGTCGAGGACTCCGACTTCGTTCTCGTCCGCAACTACCTAATATGGTTGTATCAAAATGTTTGACGGACAAGTACAAGATAAAGCTGACCACTGAAAAGTGCTTGTTGTATTTCAATTTGTACTCGTAGTTTTCCAAGCACTTTTTGAGTAAACGTCCAACTTCTCGTGAGCACGACTCACAATTTTTCACTTCTGGTTTTCTGAATTCATCTTCATGTTTTCGGACTGACGAGTTGTAGCAATAGTTTATTGAATGCAAGAAACTTCTCTACTTCCAGCACTCATGCATTCTCCTCATTTCACCCTTGTTTCTAACAGCAAAAATACGACACACTTGGCCAACATGCTGAAAAATAGACAGTTGCTACAGAATGCCGAACCAGCTGCGGAGCGGTCGAGGAGGGCTAGTAGGTGTTCCTCATTCAGTCAAGCAGCGCTAGAAGAGGGTTAGGGTGTTTCTGTTTTCGTGATTTAATCTTTAGATTTGTTAAAGCGACAGATTCTTGAGATTTATTTATCGATTGGGTGGACAAGGAAGAGGTCTAGTAGAAATCAAACAAAAAGTCAAAGGAAAGCAGGGAAGACTTTCATTATGCGCAGCGGGTTCTCTTTTTCACTGAGCGCGTGGTATAGGAAAATACTTCAGCTTGGTAGTACTAGTAGAGCGGAAGATTATCAAACAAGTCTTTCACTTCATCGGACTCTATTGGAAGATAGCGAAACAAGGCTCGTCAAGTCTCACCAGTCGACGTGCACTGATGTTTTACAGGTTCTTTCTAAAGTGGCGAACAGGAGGACGAGCAAGACTATGCGGATCGGAAAATACAAAACTTCTTCTTTTACACCTACAAATTGTTGTACCTCCTCACTCACTTCATCAATCTACTAAGGATCAAAGAAATATCAAGTAGAAGAAGTACTTACATTTACAACAGATCTTCCTATGTATAAATTCATGCACTAGAAGGGGGCTCAGAAATGTGGTATGAGGCCCCATATGAAGCGGTCGAGAAAGCTGTTGCTGCACAATTCACGCATCTTGGTGATCTGGACAAAGTACTTGAGATACACAACGATGCGGCCGCTCCAAAGCAGGAACGGGCCTGACACGCAGACACCGTCGGTGGGCCCCAGACTCACTAGTTCCAAGTCGCTAAACATGTTCTCGGTACACTTCAGGGAGAGCAATCGGAGCGGTGGGAGAACTGGTAACTGCTTAGATGCGGATTTACAACCACCACGAGAACTGCCGACAAGGTACGAGTAGAGACAACTCGACGACGAATGATCCGAAGACGGTTTCTTATCCGGATCGGACGACTTCCTGCCCCGTTTGAGGAGCAGCGGTGCGGAAAGCAAGTCGTCTAGTACGGGCACGACCATCAGCGACTCCACGAAGACGCGCTTGGATTCGGATAGGCGTCGACCTGCTTCATCAAATGGTCTGCAGAGGGTCTTCCCCGCGAGAGAGATAGTGCTCCTAAACCGAGCGAGCCACGCAGACAAACTTAAGAAGCAGAAGATAGACTCAAGCATTCGGAAAAGGAAAAACTTGTTCTTTGAGCCTGCTGTTGATGACGTCGAAAAAGAGCATGCGGAAGACGAAGATGCAGGAGCTCCTGGTCTTTCCACTAAGGTGCTCGAGGAGGGACTCGTAATCGTGCCGAAAGAATTAAACATAGCGAATCCCGCACCAAACATCATCCCTTTTGATTTCATCTTCGTCGGTTGTACTGAAGACGAGAAAGAAAAATCATGTGGTTCAGGTTCTTGGCATTTTTCAACATTTGTCGTCATAGTACTGACTTGTTGTGTCATTTCTTTGGATGATGTAGCAGCCTCGTTGGAGAACGAGTCTGGTCGTCGAGCGGCTGCAGGAGCAATACGCACCGCTGCTAGAGTATGCTCGTGAAGGCGACTGAGATTTTTGACTGCTATTTTCGCCATAGTTTCTGCGACATACCCATTCCGGTTTCGGTTCCAAAGGGAAAGAGCACCAGAAGTGTTGGTTTTTGAAGATGTTCTCGCGGCGAGCGCGAGAGTGCGCTTGCCGACGAAATAGCGCGAAGGACGCAGGACCGCATTTCCTACATCTATCGGCGTATAGAGTGTTAGGGTGAGATCCCTGATCGCGTTGCTCCGCCATTGCTCCTTCACCCATAGAGCCGATGCCGAAAGGATGGAGAACAGCCACAGGAGTAATGACCACAGCATGACGAAAGGGTAACCATAGTTGGCGAAAGCTTGTTCAGGATCAATAGTGGAGACCGAGGACGTGCTCATCGATGCCAGCATATTCTGACTGACTCCAGGGGAATCGGGCATCCGCATACGAAGCGCAGATCCTCCCTGAAATCTCTTTAGTAGCCACGAATCTTCCATGATCGGGTTTCGGTCTACTCCGGCACTACCACGACCACCCGTACGTCGGATATCTACGCATTCTCCCACAGCGAAGAAGCCCCGCAGGGGTGCTCCTGTCGTCTGTTCGACGACTTGCAAGTGGTTGTTCGTCACAACATTGCCTGTAGCGGAGTTCACGTAGTCAGTGCCCAGAAAAGAACACGAATCGTGAGGCGTTTTCACGTAACACTGAAAAATTTGGTCGTAATGCGAGTCGTCTTCTGGCTTGTTGCGGATGTCGTTCGTCGTAGTTGGATTTTTAGCGGATACGATCAAAACACGTAACTTGAAGTATATCATAGATGGAGCTGCATTAATTTCTTCTATCTTCCTTGGAGAAGTAGAGGTTTTTGACAGACGAAAACCAGAATGAAATAACATGGCTATCATGCCCAGCACGAATGAAATATGACGAGCCATAACATGATTTGGATTTGCATATACGATTTTGAATCGATTTCCCAGCTTCTCGAAGTGTCGCATAACGTAATCGCGCGCACTCTTAGGGTAGGTCGGAAGGATGCAGTCCTTCGTGGACCGCAATTCTAAATGGATCACGGTTCCGGGACAGAAATGCGCAATATCGGCACATAGCTCGACGCCGACAACTCCAGCGCCGACTACTTTGACCAGCTTATGTCTCGTAGGAGCCGCAGACGATACTTGTGACTCACCAAGCGCAATCTTTCGGACCTTTACGGATTCGCGGGAAGAAAAGGATTAGGGGAAATAATAGTGATGCACGTTCTTTTCACCGAATCGGGATCACAGTAACCTTGCAAATCATCATCAAATTCAAACAACTATGTATAGCAATCCGTGAAAAAGGTGGAACAAGATGACGAGTTGTAACAATCGTCCTGTGATGAAGGAGCGCTGTACTGAAATTATATAATTGATTGACAGACTTCTGGAGCACTAATTATATCCCAAGCAAATTATACAAGTAGCTTCCAAGTGTTAAACTGTAGTAGAGCCGTGCATAAGACAAAAGCGATGACGCGCTAACGCGCATAGCCGCATAGCCTTCGGGACATTTCCATATGGTATACGGAGATCCCGTGCAAATGACAACGTAGTCAAAGCGAATGCTTCGAATTTTCATGCTGCTGTCCGAGAAAACTGGTAGAACGGAGACAGTTGCAACGCCACCGCTTGCGCCTTGTCCAATTTGGTACTCATTTTCCTGCAGCTGTTCGTCGTCGTGATCTGCTCTACTAGTGCGTGTGTCCTGATCGTCTCCGTCCAGTCCTTCGGGAGCAATAGAAGAAAGGCCATGAGTCGTGGTGGGAGTGGGAGAGATGTAGGTGACGCGGCCACAAACGATTTCGACTTTGTCCGAATACTGTTTTTCCAGACCTAAAATTCTGTCCGACTTCGGATTTTTGTAGAGAAAGTGCGTGTAATTGTTCGTGAGCATGGAGCTGATGGACCCAAGAGGACCGCTTTTCCTCTTCGCCTGGGTCGCGCCTCGAGAACCCTCACTGCCGAGCACAGCCGCAGCTCGAATCGTTCCAGGCGTGAACTCAAAATAGGCTTTTGGATCTACAGCGATAATCCGGTGAAATCGGTCGTCACTCGCCAAACCCTTGACGACATTGATACCGGCAAAACCGAGGCCGACAACGAGTACGGTGGGCGACGCGGCATCCTTCGCATCCCGCTCTTCGTTCCAAGCGTTCCACTTCTGCTCAAATTGAGTCACTGGACTAGAACTCGCATGCGTCACAGGGGACGGCGTCGGTGGCCCGAACGGTGATGAAGCCATTTTGATCTAGGGCATGAACAAGAAGATAAGGCCAATAATTAATGAACATGAGCACATCGATGAAACACATCTATGAGCAAGTTCAACTTCAATTGGAACTTCATCAAGAAAAGAAAAACTACCGAGCATGCTACGACGAGAAAGTGCCCGCACTTCAAAATCTCTTCAGAAAACGAAAAACAGTGTTCTTGTGGTTCACGTCATTGAAAAATCTCGCATTTTACGTCAAGTCGGAGTCCAGCTTCATCTCGTCTTTCCTTATGCATTCTAGCGGAGATGTCCGAGTTTCGATTTCGCATCCTATACTATCGACCATACATAAATATTAAAGAGCTGAATAAAAAATCAACAACGTCCCCGCCAATCTCTCAACCAAACATACCCGAACCAAGAACACCTCAGCCAAAAACACTTAAACCATAAACACTTAAACCAAAAACACGCGACCCCCGAAGAAAATTTCTCCGCTCTCTTTTCTTATCAACAGACGAAGCAACGACAACGAGCAAGCAAACGCAACCCCTCAACCTATGACCCCACGAGCCCGCTACTTGGTGGCCCCATCTTCTTCTTGTTTAACCCTTGGACCCACGGGCATGGCGTGGCATCCTTGTAGATAGCTTCCCCGTGAGCCCGTGAGCACTTGTGCCGCACGTCTATACTTAGGAGTTACGGCCCTGATGCTTCAAGTCTTCAGCTTGAAGCCTACAACGCGCCACGGCCACCCTGGCGCTTAAATTTATTTTTTGGTCGATAAAATCAAAAATTTTGCGATTTTGAAAATTAAAAACTTATGGCTTAAATTAAAATTAGGGCTCGAAAATAACAAAATTTTTGATATTATAACAGAAGAATAAACTTCAAAAAAATTGGATGCATCCAGAGAAGATGAATTATCATAAAAGTTAGTTTTTTTAAGCTTAAGATGCCAGACCTAACAGAAGACCAAGAAACTCCCAAGCCTACCACTTCCACGCGTGCCTTTTCAATGGCCGCACGCCGCCCCACGGCCGACTCTTGTGCTGTCCCACCGATCAACGCCGCCGGACGGTTGTCGCGGGGGGAAGGAGCCGGGGAAGCGGGGGCACGCAATGGCGGGGGAAGCGCGTGCAGAGGGTGGGGGATTCTAGTGGGAGGAGTGCTTCCGGGAGCTTACGTCTAGCACCATAATCGTTATCATTGGTGAATGTAAAGACTACTACTAGATGCTTATATATTCATAAATATATGCTTCAGGGCGCGGGGCGACGCCCCGGGGGGGGCGGGCGCCCTGGCCCCCTTTTTCAGGCGTCTGCCGGGGGGAAGGCCTCAAAAGGGGGCCCAGTGACCTCCCCCCTCCGCTCCTTTCCAGCTGCCTGGCTGTTCCCTAGGGGCCTCCGATGGTGGTGGGAGGCTTCAAAAGGGGCCCAAGGGACCGCCTGCGCCCCCGTCCAGGTGCTTGCCTGTGCCCTTAGTGCTCTCGGTAGGCTTCGCCCCCGCAGCAGTGCACCGGCAACGGAACGCCTCCGAAGACGGTAAAAGGCGAGAGGCTGGACCCCCTGAGCCGTGCCGCCTGTACCCTCCGGGCCCTTGGTCATCGGCTTGCTTGCTCTTGCGACCGTGGCCGCCTCCGGCGGCGTTTTACCCCAGAGGCCTGCCGCCTGCGAGGGTCAGCAGAGGCCAGGGGGTCCCTTCAGAACACGCTGAGAGACCCAAGGGGAGGCCCGCGCCAAGGTTTGACGCCTTCCACCACTAGAATCCGCGAAAAATCCGCGCGGAAAAGCGCGCGCGCGCCACCACAGACCAGACCACAGGGAGGGGGGAGGGGGGGGCCGTCCGGCCCTGAGTCATATATAATATTGTATGCCGTACAAGTGGTCAGTGGACCCGCAAAAGCAAAAGCACAACTGACTGGAGATGGTAAGAAGGTAGAAATTTTTAATTGTGTTTTGGGAAAGGTAGACCCTGTGCGTAGGTAGACAGATGAGAAACACAGACAGATTGCACAACAGCCACATGCGTGAGGTGAAGGGGAGGACGTTCATGATGCTATCAAACTTGAAGAAGTTGAAAGATTTTCATTTTATTCATTCCCTCATCTCCATACTGCTCTGATCTCGTCCGGTTCATGAGTTTGAGTACAAGTTGTCAAGAGCGGATAGAACAGGGATTTTGTGTGGAGGACCGCTTTTACTGTATATAAAATAAGGTTATAGACAGGCAGCACTCCTCTACTTTTTCTTTTCAGAAAGCACAAGTAGCAGCATAGCTGCCTACATCGCTAGTAGTTGTAGCAGGAGGACCCTCTGCTGTATATGGGAGATGAGTTTTTGTTCGAAAAGCTTGCACAATAGCTTCGAGTTTTGCTTTGAACGTGCTACCAGGCCTTGTGTTGTCAAGTTCACACAGTAATGTCGCATGCTGTGGTGCATCGCCCTCTGATGTCTCAGAAGATTTGCTGTGGTTCATTTGACGTCGTGAGTGTGACCCGCATGAATCTGAAGTTTTTACTTGCTTCGCGCTATCCCTATCTGTACTGGTTCTTCGTATTTTCTTGCTAATTGTAGTGGTGACGTCGTTCTTCTGCTCGTGTTCACTCCCACCAAAGCGGTTGTTCGGACCTTCTTGTTGAGAGGACTTTGTTGATGTATTGAAAATCAAGACTGGCGCGTCCGGAAACTTCTCGGATATCATCAGCAAACCATCGAGACATTGATTGTACTTGGCGGAGCTCATCGATTGCTTCCTACCTGTGACTTCCCCTCGCAGGGCCACCCGGTCTTGTATTTCCCCAAAAGGAGCCAAAAACACTAGCACCCTCGCTATGCGATAGTCCGCAGACTGCAGTAGTGACACTTGATCCCAGTTCGCCTGTGTGGAAAAAGTCAAAGGCAGCGAAAAATTCCTACCTTCTCGAATCCCTTCCTTCAAAGTCCGGTCCTTCAATCTGGCAACGACAGGCTTCATCGCCTCAAACAAATCTTGATTGTGATCTTCCGCACGAGCACCTCCAGATTTCTTCTTTACTCTGGTCGACCATTCTGCATGTACATTCCGCATGGCATCCCCATCGAGATCAACGAACTCTGAAATCTTGAGCAAAGGAGGTTGTAAAGCAGCAAAAATTATCCGAGATTCGTCCTTTGACGTGCACGGGGTTTCGATGTGACACTTTTTAGCCGCACCTGTCGAGCTCGATGCTGCAGATTTTGCTTCTGTTCCTGTGTCAACTGACCCAGGCATAACGACCGTACTAGTCGAAGCACTAGAAGGTGACCTCCATTGGTATGAACTTCCTGTCGTTCTGAAGTAGCTTTTTCCAGCCGCAGCAGGACCGATGAGAAGAATCGCCCTCTTTTCGCATTTTGCATTGCCGTACCCAGCTTCGGCTTTCCAATCTGCGACCTCTTTCGACGTGAAGTCTCGCAAAGCAGGCTCTAGTGGAGAAGAAGTAGAAAACTTGGAAGCTGCCATTTTCTGTAAGATCGTTTTTCAATCAAAAACATCAAGTTTGTGAAGATCAGTTGTTAAGAACGAAAGGCGTGCTCCATCCTGTGCCTGTTTTAACTCACTCAAAAAAATTTTGTGCTTGTACCAAGAGGAAGCGTATTCGACTTCGAGGCTCTCTGGATTTTCATCAACAGGACAAAAGAACTCAAGATTGATTCCTGCAGGAAATGATGAAAACGGGGACAAGCCCCATCTTGTGGTCGTGAGCCTGACCCAAACAAGAAGACATCGATTGCTTCCCGCGTATTGCAGATTCTCGAGGCTCTTGCGCGAGCCCGTAAAAAGTTGAACTTGAAGAGTCCTGCTAAGATGACACAAACAAACTACCAATTGCATTTTTTACAAATAAACTTAAACTTTTTGGACATTCTCGATGTCTCGTGCATAAACGAGTCTAGATGATTGAAATCGTAGCTAAAATATCTCCACTGAAACTTCTGGCGCTACGATGATATAAGATGAAGAAAAGGGATCAAGAAGCTGCAGCTGCTTTCTGTTGGATTTGTGAACGACTACAGCGTCAGGATCTATGTCGTACTTCGTGGAGCGTCTCCGTGTAGGGAGTGGGATCATCATCATCATCATCATCATCAAAAATCATCATCACTGAAGAAAATCGAAAACGAAAAGCATCTTTTTTAACGTGATACATTTTCTATCGTGTAGGGACAGTGACGTAGCCACTTGGCTGCTCCTTCCTCCGGTAACAGTTTTTCTATTCGTTCTAAAATTCAGACATTGAAGATCACCTAGAAAAAGGCTGGTTCATTTTTGAGAGTGAAGATTGTTGAATTCTTATTGATGGACTCGTGGCAGCACGAATTTCACATTGGTAGAACTAGAAGTACCAAGGCTGAAGTCGTTATTAATATAATTAAGCAAGGAGTTCGATAATTGTTGATGAGCAGGAGCTTCTACTTCCAATCCTCTTGCCCAGCCAAGCCGACTTTCCGATCCATGTAAAGCGTTTGTGGCCGGTAATCGCGTAAAAGCGAGCACCATGTCTCCGCGAGACCCCGATTTCCTTTTTTGAGGCCGTTGCGCGAGGTGCAAGGGCTACCTTGTGCTTGTTCAGCAGAGTCGGAGCTGGAGCTCGAGGGGGATGAAGTACCAAAACCGCATACATCATGTTTATCATCTACTTGTGCTTTATCTGTCATACACCTCGATTTGTCGAGCAGCTGTGCGGTCTCTTCGAGAAAGACGACCATGGTCGCAAATTCCGGAGCTTTACTCGCGGAGAGCAGTATCCCGATGCAGCTCTTCAGATCAGCCAAGGTTTGGATCTCAGCCTGTACCAATGCAGATCCAGTATTGTAGACAATTGGCGGAAGCTGGAGCTCTGCTTGTACTAAGGCCACTGACGGTCCCGCGGCACCCGTCTGCACACGAGAGGAAGAGGTGGACGAGGTGCATGTGTTACTTGATCCGCCTCCTTCTTGCGTGCTAGTCGAAGAGTTCAGAGTGGACGTGGAGGTGGACCCACCGGTGAGTCTTCGCGTATCTGCTGCATCCATACACACGAAAGGAATAAAGAGCCGACCAGCGCTGTTCACCGCTTGCTTTTGGGCCCACGACGTCGCATACATGGACAACCATGTCGGGCGAAAGGGTTCCCACTGAAAAAACTCGACATCCAAGTCTGGCACCACGCGAGCTAGCATTGCTGACATAATTTGGAGCCGCTCCTCAACAGGAATGCACTCACGCAGCCGGATCACAAACGCTCGTCGTGCCAAATCTCGCAGAGCAGTAGCGGCTATTGGACACATATGCTGTGGCACAAAACGCACACGAGCAGGACGATCATGGGCTGAGGCCGTCCGGGACAACTCCTGTTGCTCTTCGCGTGAGGATGTGGGTGAGGAAGTGGAACATAAAGACGGAGAATGAGGAGTCTTTTGATGGTCATCGTTGCAAATAGGGGGAGCGATTGTGGAGGGCGTATCTGGAGAACTTGCAACAGGTGATGTTGGTGATAAAATGCGCGCACTATCTTTCAACATGATCTCGCCTTTATTCCTATCTACCTCCGCACGATGCCGATCGCGGAGAGGAACCACTCGTCGACGCTCAAAGTGGAGCTCCAAAAAAAGATCCGCGATCATATTTTGATTCAAGCTGTCAGTTGGTCGTCCCTCCATTCTGTGATCTTGTACGGTCCATTTGTACTCTTTGAGACTCATCAAGAGTTCATCTCGGGGTAGATTCGGTAGCTGCGATGCGCTGCAGCTTTCCTGACCACCTGGATTATCATTGCTCCAGGAAATACCCTGATAAGTTGAGTCGCGAGTATAGTCATCTTCACCAGTTTGATCCTCGTGGTCGCAAAAATGATAAGAGTCTCGTCCGGAAGATGCTTCATCCTCGAAAAATTCATCAAAGTAGTAGTGGCCACTCCTGCCGTCTGCATTACAGTTCTGGCGGTGTGGGTTGTTGCATAAGTCTTTCCCATGAATATCGGATGCAGCTTGATCATTTTCACCATCCGTAAGCGTAACGTCATCCAGCTCCAGTGCAGTTGCTGAAGGCGCTGGCGACGCGCCTTGAATTGGCGTACTAGCTGTGGGCGTTGCAGCATGCTTTGCTTCAAGCAGCGGCATAGCTGCGCTCCGAGTTGGTCTCGGTGGAGTAGCGAAGTTTCCTCCCCCTCCCCCACGTCCATAAATTCCAGAAGCACCCGGTTGATTCACAACACTTGCTCCTGCAGCTGCAGGCGACTGCGGTGTGCTCGTGCTGACCCTAGCCATCGGCATCGCTGTATCCATCATTTTTGATTTGTTGTGCTGTCTAGGCCTAGAAGATGATGAAGGCGAGTTGCCCTTCCCAGTACCGAATGAATTCAGAAGAAGTAGCGCAGCAGCAGGTGGCCTCTCGGTGCGGAAGGTCCGTTGGTAAACGGACCACTTACGCAGAAGACCGAGACTGCAAATCGCCAAGAGAGCTGACAAGCTTGCCAATGCACGAGCATTGGAGACCAGCACAGTGATAAGTAAACTTTTTTCTACGGAACCAAAAATGTTGTCGAAAAAATCGGTGAGAAGCGAGCGAGCTTGATCAACTGCGTCTACGGGGGTTCCACGTGAAGATGGAGGATCACCTCCATCTAGGTCCACTCCGTTCAATAGAACCACACAAAGAGTAACCAAGAACCAAGTTACCAACGCCGTGGCAGTCAGTGCTACGAGAAAAATGAAAGCTGTTAACTCGTCCAGAACTCGCAACTCCACGGGGGATAGAATGGGACTCATTTGCCGTGAAACGCGCGCGTTGAGAACATGAATCACTGCGCGATAACTGCGGATAGTGAGCGTCGCGCCACTGGACCGCATATCCACTGTGTGCCACCTAAAACCCATCCCATGCAAAAACTTTGTCCAGCGCAGAAACGATGAACGAGGATGACAATGAGCACCACTAACTATGACTAGCACCCGACCTATCAGAATAACGACGAAAAAAACTGGACTAGTTTCTATTCGAAGAACAAGAAGACTTTTCGCAATGGCAACAAGCACAATCAACATGATGATCAAATTTCAGTCCTTTGAATAGGTCGTTGCAGATGAGCAACATCGTTTGTGTGAGACCTTTGCCTTACTTGGAAATACACCGTGCCTGATGGTATTGGCGACTGCTGCGTGTGCCTCGCTTCTTCTTCGCAGGCTTTACGAAGGATGTTCTGTCTCTGCATTTCTTTGACGAGTGCGATGTTTGCCGTCTTTTCATCACCGTGGTCTGCCATTCGATGGTGCGATAGGATGCCGAACAACGTGTCCGAAAAGTAGCGACCGTGTGCGATGCTGCTGCTCAGAGACGCGGCTAAATCCTGCAATGTCGTCAAGAAAATCGACGATAGGAGAAAAAAGAGGATGTAGTCGCGCATGTACGTGTTGTTTGAAGAAGATGATGAAGATCGGTAGGAAGATGAAGATGTTGAATCATTGTTGTTGTAGTCACCGGTTGTACTCGACGTAGAGTAGAACTCTCGTCGCCCCGCAAGTGGTCCTGTGGAATCCTTTCCCTCCTGTTGTGCTCCGGGAGGTCGCGTTCTGGCCTCATGGTAGTCGTCATGTGATCCGAAGTTGGTACGATCATTCATGGAGTTATGCCGCGGCGCGACAAAAAGAAACAGCCCGATACCAGAGGCCAGTAGGGTAAGAAACGAATTTGATGCTACGACCATTTTGGTTTTTCTTATTTTTTGAACCTGATAAACATAAATTGAGCTTGGTAATACCTTAGATGACAAGTTTTTTATTGTTGATTTTTTCAGATTCACTTTCAGTTTCAACTACACTTCCACCTGATCGAAAATCTAGTATCAAGAATGGTATCTTCTTCGTTGTCTACGGTATCTAAAATGTCTTTTGCGAGAGGGAAGCTGAGTTAGGTGTAGTATTACGTGTAGCATCTCGGTCTCATCAGTCTAGGGCTAGGTTATGGCCACGCCGTCCTCTAAGATTGGGCAACCCTGGAGCTCGAAATGTACCAGAGGGGGCGATCATCGTCATCATCGTCATCCTGGATGTGAGTTCACAAGAGTGTCACAGGCAGTCTTCAAAGACAAAAGTTGGCCCCCGTGTTTGGTGTTATTAAACCAAGTGAGAGAGGACCGAGGGACGGAAATGAACCGAAGGCACGACTCACTGTAGAGAGTCACATTATATGCCGGATTCCAGTGATACCTTCGTTCTCACGAGCTAAGACATCGCTGCTCTCGTGCATACGAGCAGCAGCTGAAGGACGAATGCAAGACTGAACACAAAGCACAAAGAAATTATTGTCGAGTTGCACAATCGGGGTCGGCTTCAGTACGAAGATGAACAATATGCATGGTTTTCTATCAAACACACACATCATAGAGATAGATAAAAGTCCTTTGTTGGTATTTTACCCATGATGATCTTCAGCCCAAATTTTTACCATGTGATGTTCCATCGTGACAAGCCTTGATGCTCCTCCTCACGAAGAGCTTGTCGTTGTCATGCCTAGATAATTAAGGGGTTTGCCGTCACAACAAAAATTTCCATTCGCATGTTTCCTCCATCCGGACCAAAAGTCATCCCATGTCGGCTCGATATCGAACATGTCACACTCTAACCTTCTACCTGAAAGCACGGAGACGTCTTTCTTCCCGTGTTGGTGATGGCGCTCTATGGTATTCTTCACGTGTAGAGCACAGGTAGCAGAGCTGAGAGCGGCATGTGCGTCGGGCCCTTTTGCTAGAGCTAGAGTCAGTAAAGCTTCATCTGACAGGCTGTTCGCACTACGGTCTTTCGGCTGTGATGCACTTCGGCGGCAAGAGCTCGCGGCCCGCCGACCTCCCGCGCGATCGGGTGAGTTCTCCGCTGCATTTCTCCCGTTTGTGGTGTTGCTGGACGATGAAGAGGAAGACGAAGCTGCGTAACTAACCTGCTTGTGCTTGCGCGCGTGCTATGGGACTTGAAGCTGAGCGACCGATCAGGGCTCCTCGCTTTTTTCTACCTGTACGTTTGGAAGGCTCCTCGCTTGTTTCAGCATTTGGAAGGCGTCCGATCAGGGCTTAGAATCGGAAATTTTCGCTCAATGCGCAAACGCTCGTAGAGTTCTTTATTGTTGAATCATTCTATTCTGCCGCGCTTTTTGTTCTGCCCTCTATCGAGACGTGGCAATTCTTTTTGCTCCCTCAGCATCATCATGCTTGGCATTGTTATTTGCATTGTGATAATATTAAGAGCAATAAAACTTTGCAAACACATCCCTTCGGAAGCCTCAACCTCCAACACCCAAACCCAAAACCTCCAACACCCAAACCCAAAACCTCCAACACCCGAACCCAAAACCTCCGACACAAAAACAAACAAACCCCAAACCCATGAACCCATGAACCCATGAACCCATGAACCCATGAACCCACGAACCCACGAACCCACGAACCCAGGAAACCAGGAAACCAGGAAACCAAGAAACCAGGAAACCAGGAAACCAGGAAACCAGGAAACCAGGAAACCAAGAAACCAGGAAACCAGGAAACCAAGAAACCAGGAAACCTACCAGGAAACCAGGAAACCAAGAAACCAGGAAACCAAGAAACCGCGAAACCATGAAACCACGAAGCAATGGAATTGAATTTCGGGGGAAAGGGCTTAAAATCAAAAATTTTAGGATCTTAACGCTTCACACTCACGAGACTCAATCTCAAAACGACGACAAAACGCGGAAAATTTTCGAAATTTGAAAAACGCGAATCCAAGGAATTAAATTTCAGAGAAAGGGCTTAAAATCAAAAAATTTTAGGATCTTAGCCCTTCAAAATCAAAGGACTCACTCGCAAAATGACGAAAAAGGTGGAAAACTTTTGAAATTTGAAAAACGCGACGCCAAGAGTGAGACTGAATCCCAGGGAAAGGGCTTAAAGTCAAAAGCCTTGGGGTCTTAACGCTTCAAACTCAAGAGACGCAATCCCAAAACGGCGACAAAATGTGGAAAATTTTCGAAATTGGAAAAACGCGAAGCCAGGGCATTGAATTTCGGGGGAAAGGGCTTAAAATCAAAAATTTTAGGATCTTAGCGCTTCAAACTCACGGGATTCACTCCCGAAACGACGAAAAACGTGGAAAATTATCGAAATTGGAAAAACGCGAAGCCAAGAAGTTGAATCTCAGGGAAAAGGCTTAAAATCAAAAATTTTGGGGTCTTAGCACTTCAAACGCACAGAATTCAATCCCAAAACGACGGCAAAACGTGGAAAATTTTCGAAATTTGAAAAACGCGAACTCAAAAGACTGAACCTCAGGGAAAGGGCTGACGCTGAAAGTCAAAAATTTAGGGGCTTTAGCGCTTCAAACGCACAAAATTCAATCCCAAAACGACAACAAAACGCGGAGAATTTTCGAAATTTGAAAAACGCGAAGCCAAAGCATTAAATTTCAGCTAAGCAAAGGGCTGAAAGTCGAAAAGTTTTGGGACCTTAGCCCTTGACTTCAAACGCACAGGACCCAATCCCCAAACGATGGCAAAACGTGGAAAATTTTCGAAATTTGAAAACGCATATCGCTTACATCTTTGCCATGCTTAGTCTCTTACTTTGGGGAGGGGGGGGATCCTAGTGGGAGGGATGTTATCGGACGCTCCAAGCTAGTGCTATTTGTCTCGACCGAGCTCCGCACTGTGAGTCATATTTTATTCATCTTCTTCATCAAGAAAATGATCTTCCTCTTCTACTCCATCGCAAAAGTCTTCTGGTCTAAGAGCATCTCCAAGGCCCTTGGGTTGCGATGCAAGCATCCTTGGAGTCACGATGTCACCCAGTTTCGGCTCATATCTAGGAAGTGGCTCTTTTTCGTCCTGTCTAGCAATATCGTCGCCACCTCCAGCACTGGCGTCGATTGTCGTCTTACTTGCCACTCCCAAGTAAGTTGCTAAGCGTCTCCTTGTGTTGCCGACTCTGAGACGCAGGCCTTTTAGTTTTCTCTATTTTTTTTCACTGACGAAATGGTCCTTACTATCATGAGACGAAGCACGAGCAGCCTCAGAAGGTGCAGTAAAAGTATTGTGGTTCTTGTCATTCGTCCTCCATAGTCTAGTTCGTAGCGAGTCGGTCCATGGCAATGCGAGCAAGCTCTTCCGATAAGCCATCGCGCTTTCGATTAACTGACCATATCCGCTTGATACCGAGATCGCTTGGAAAGAGCGAGCACGCCTCTGGGTCGGTTCTAAGCGAACCTCTACTGTCGAAGGAGCGCCCACCTTTGGCGGTGCTTTTCGCTTTCCACCTTCTTCTACAGTAGGCCTAGCAAGGTAGTTGCTTGTCTTATCACTCGCTGCTGCTGTCTTCCTTTTTGGCTTTGGCGTTTCCTTCCAAGCGACCACATGCGCCTTTTTGCCTCTGCTCGTCCAACTAGGTTGATTCATTTTCGTCATTTTTTTCATCGTGGAGGCCGAAGGTCCCAGGCTCAAAGCCGAAGGCTGAATGCTCGAGGTTGAACGCTCTAGATTGGACGCTGAAAGCTTAAGTCTAAAGTTTAAAGTTGTAAGTTGAAAGCTTACGCCGGAAATTTCAAAGTTGGAGACTCAAAGTCGAAAATTCAACATTGAAAACTCAGCGCGTTTGTTTGTTTTGATGCGCTCCGGGCGGCGCGTACGATGCCGCCGGATTTCTTTGTGCTCTGTGTGTGTTGTGCTATGGTCGTCATTGCGGTCGACTATGGTGTGTCTGGTCGCCACAGTCCCCGCCAGCTGCGGCTTTTGTGGCATGCCAGGCGCGGTGTGCTGCAGGCGGCGGCGACTGCGCGTAGGTAGCGCCTGGCGGTGAGGCGCGGCCGGGTCTGGTTGACGTTTTTACGGCCTGCGTGCTCTGTTCTTCGCGTTCTCGTTTTTTCTTCCTTCTTTTTGTCTTCGCGTGCTTCCTTTCTTGTCTCCTCCTTGCTCGTTCTTTGTTCGCCACCACCTATCTCGGCCCCCGTCCTATCATAGCGGGCAGCGATGGGTTTACCACAGCGGCCGCTACTCGTTTCCCCCAAACTTCAAAGTTGAAAGTTCAACAAAGTTGAAAATTCAAAGGCGAAAGTTCAAAGTTGAAAATTCGAAATAGAAAATTCAAAACTCGACGGCGAAAGCCCAGAGCTAACTCTAATAGCTCAAAGCTCAAGATTAAAAGTGGCGCGCCAATGTCTCAAAGTTTCAACTTTGAAACTTTGAGTCCAAAACTTTTGGTCATATCTAATAAAAACGAAATTTAAAAAATCTAAATTCCAAGCAATCCAAAGTTTTTGACTGTATCACAAGAAGAGGAATCTCCACAAGTTGCAAACTCGAGGGCTGCAACTTGCACGCAAAGAAGGCCAAACCGACCAGAAGAAGAGCAAACCTACAAGCCAACGGCTTCGATCTGTGCTTTTTTAATCAATGGCCGCACGCGCACGCCGTCCCCCGCCCAAATCTTGCGCCAACGAACAACGCCGCCAGACGGTTGGCGGGCGGGGGAGGAGCCGGGGAAGCGGAACCGCCCCGGGATTGAGGAAGTGCGTGCAAGATCCTAGTGGGAGGAGTGCTACCGGGCGCTCAACTCTAGTATTAAAGAGGTTGACTATAACTATATTGCAAATTGTCAATCCCAACTTGCCTTAGTCATACTCGTATTGTTGGGTGATGTTCTCATGATGCTGCCTGCAATTCATCTTCATGATTCATACTTACCGATTGTGGGCAACAATAATAAAAGGATCTACATCAAGAAACTGCTTCGCAGACATCCATCTTTGCACGAAAGTTTTAAACCTCTTCACGCACTCACGCCGATTGAACAATACACAGACACCGGTGCGGAAGATCTAGATCAAAGTAGAGAACATACAACATGATTTTCATTGATTACGCTGTGACACAGAACTACAATATCGATATCTGCCGTCATAGTGTTTTTGCTCAGTGTCTCTCGTCGTTCTCATTTTTTCACACACTCGTGGACGCACTAGTATTCTCTCTCCGCGTTGCGCATGAACATCATTGCTCATCATATAATGGTCTTACTCTTAGTGAGCGTTTTTCGAAGGTTGATCTACTAACTGAATATATATATATACATGATCGCGTTGAAGGGGAAGATATAAGTTCGGGTGATTGTTGTAATAAAAGGATCAGTAACTACGGCATTTTTTGTCGTGATGTAAGAGAAATAAGAGGAGGGGTTCGCGTTTGTTCCACCTATTAATCGAGCGCACGTTTCAATTTGTTTCGTACAGATTTTTTTTTTTGTATCGCGAGCGAGTTCCGTGAAGAACCTACAGATATAAGGTTGTGGGTGGTCACATGACCATTGGGATTGGTATACGTAGTAATTCTCAACATTTTCTTAAGTAATTGATTATATAACAACTGGGTATGTGTTTCTTACTACCTATCGTCTTTTCTTCTATCAACCTTTTTTATCACGTTCTTCACGACTATGATCCGTAAAAAAATCATTTTGTTGAAGACGAGATGCGTGGCGCGCGAAATGACACAGTCGGACATCTCTCATAGAACGAATCAATATGCTGTGGTGCCATCGCAATTTTTCAGGGCCGCAACGATGTTCTAATTTTTATTTACGTAAAGATTCTCTACTTCCGTATCATCAAAAGCATCTTCGGAATCATTCGTGCTCCTCTGCCTTGCTATGTCCGTTCGATGTTGTGGTCCTCCGCCTTGAAGATGTTCACCGTCACAATCTAGGAGCCTCCTCGTGCCGCTGTTAACATGCTGACGCTCTGATATATCATGGAGTTGGGTCACTGTGACAACGGGAGGGACGATTGGTAAGGTAAAAAATGCCGAGGCCTGAGAGAGTACTAGGCGGAGACTATGACCATCATCTCATGAGAGCACTGCCGACAACGAAGAACTTACTCCTTGCAGTTTTAGAGACTTCTTGGACACAGCAAAGTCATGATCATTTCGCGTTTAGGTTATACGGTACAGCTATATAATATCAATACTTCTTGCTGCTGCGCAGCACCTCCCTCGCCGATTTTCTGAGCGCGTTCCTTTGCTTTGGCTTCTCTCCGTGCTTTTCCTTGCTGTTCCCATTTGCCAAGCAACCTGGCGCGATTTGCAGAATTCACTTGACCAGAAAACATATTGTCTCGCAAAAACCTGTTTGCAACCTCCTCATTGCCTTGCTTTGCAATGTTCTTTAGATACAAGCGGATACCCACTCGCTGGTCCTCATTTTTAATCCTACGCAAGCGTCCTTGTTGATCTTGATCATCCGCATCATCTTCAGCATTACTTTTCGATCTAACGATAGTGAGCGCGTAATCCTCCAATCGGGTCAGGTAAGGAAAAGGATCCTCCAAGTCTCCATCTTCGTCTTCAGTAAGTTCGTCTTCATGATCCTCCTTATTCCTGTTCAAAAGCCTCGCGCCTTGGCCTCGTCGATTATCATGATAAGAAGAGGACCCGTTTCTGGTCCGACTTCGTGTTGCAGAAGTATGAGAAGTCGTCGGACTGGTAGCACTCGACGGGTCCCTCCTGCTCAAGTCCTCGTGCTTCTCTTCATTCTTGTTGATACAAGGTGACGTCGACTTGTAGTCGTAAGGACGAGATGAACTACTGCCCGCGTCCTTGTGGGTCGATGAGTAGAGGTATTCATTTTCTCCTTGCGGACGATAGCTGGAGGCCTTGCTGTTCCTGCGTTGCTGTTCGTGATCATAACCGCTTCCCGTATCATTAACTGTTTCTGCCTGAAGGTGACAGCCTTGAGGCGTTGACGCGGGCAGTCCGTTATAGCTACCGTCGATGTAGTCACATGATGAACCTCGACGACGCAGTGTACGTTTGGTGTTTTCGCGAAAGCTCACACTTCTGCCGGAGCCTCTGTTAATGCTTGAAGACACATCGGCGGGCATACACGTTATCTGAAGACATTCTGCTCGATTATTGGCATTAAGGTTAACCTCTCTTCTATCATTATTCGCGTGGCTTCCAACAGTGTAGGGTACTCCTTTCGCGTCTTGTATGAGGCTTTTTCCATGATCGAAATAGGCTTGAATATGTGGCTCCGGTGTATACCAACTAGCGTTGTCCATCTGATGCGTCTTTAAAAACGTTGAGTTGTAGTTGTAGTTCAGATCAGGAGGATGAGGAAGTGCTGACATCAATTTCATCTAAGTATTTCCATCTATGGAGTATCAATTATCCCGCGACGCCTACTTTAACAAACAGAAGCGGGAACCATGGGAGACGGAAACAGCTTCCAGCACATAATCCTCCTAATCGAGGGCAATATTCTGTAAGTCGTGTAAGCGCAGACTGATACCTTTTTTTTGTGCGTCTTTGAATTCATATGCCACCACGCCTCGTCTCCTACTTCAACGCGTTTCCAGCAGAGGTAGCAGAAAAGTTCCTTGAATTCTCCACAGTTCACGAGAATTAAAGAGGTATTACTCCAGGAGCATCGCGGACTACGACCACTACTAAAACATATATTATATATATAATATAGTATTTATAAGTATTGATGATAGATTTTTTTCGGTACAAGGAAAAAAATTCTACACCATGCTGTGGAAAATCAAGATCTTGACGGAAGAAGGTTGGTCATTCTCATATCAATTACATGCAACTTCTCGAGTATTCGTGCTTAAATGAACTTGGTCAGTAATCGGGTCAACGACTTTGTACAGCTGCCATCGGTCTCCCTTTCGGTTTTTCTCCCATCCATCAGGAATACTGTGAAAGATACACTCCTGATAGCAACGCCGAATGCATTCGCGCTGAGATTCTGGAAAGTCTTCGATAAGCGGCGCTCTGAGATCATAAAAGATGAAGATGAAGACGAACAAGATGATGATACTGACAAGAAAGATGACGCTGAAGGTGAACGTAGACTTCGAAATCATGCTTCTCATGTAGCACAAGCACAGTGCGTGAGCTCAAGAAGTAGCTTTATCACCTCAGTTTTACGGAGTCAGATTTAGAGTTTCAGTCTTCCTCTATTCCTGTTGTCATCGTCATTGTGCGACTTCGTTAAAGACGGGTGCCTGCAGCTGAGGCATTACAACTCATGAGAATCCTTCCGATTACTGTGAAATTTCAAGCGATACCTCTTGTCTGTGACCCAGCGTTGCTGAGGCTCCGCTGTTCCTTTCGGAAGGGGTGCAAAAACTGTGCAAATGGAGGAAGGTTGATGTTGCACTGCCAGTAGTGCTGGTGCCAGATTTTCGCTACGGTTGCTGACATGTCCTTGCTTTTGCTCTCTGTTCGCTTGCATCTCCTGTGCCGGTGGGTGTAATTGATGACCACCACGAGAAAAATCTTCATCTTCTTCTTCCTTCTCTTCATCGAAGGATGGTGTACAGGCTGATCCATCACGCGGCTCCCCCGCTTTGAGTCTGGATCTAGTGCCGTAGAGGTTATCCAGCGTGTCTGAATCCTCGCTGACTGAGTCGTAGTTTCCGTCCCCGCAGTAGCGCGTGCGAAATCCTCGAGAAACACGCTTATCCTGATTGCAGGATGCGTTGCCCTTGCCCTCGTAAAGGTAGCTGATATGCTGTTCGAATGAGTTTTCTTTTTCATGATCTTGCGGACCGCTTTTCTCAACACGTCGACGTTCCCCTGGAGCATGTTGCGATTGTTTAGCTTCCTGATTTTTCCGTGAGATCGCGGTGGTGCTGGTGACTTTTGATGCGTTCGTGTCATCAAGGTCTTCATGATTGTCCGCGCGTGTGTTACTATGCCTTTCTTCTTCGTGAAACCCTTCCACCGGAGAATCCATATTGCTGCGTCTCGAGGATCTCCTGTTCGAAACTGGCGCGACAGTTGGTCTCCAAAATTCCTCAGGTGTAGGTGGAGCAGAAGCGTTGACAATCTTCGTCCCGTCCTCCACAGGAGTAGCAGCCGCGTCGTGCTGTTCGTGTTGGTGTTGTGGTTGTCCTCTGATCAGTTCTGAAAAGTAATTGTCAAGAACAGCGTCTTGATCTCCCTCACGATACGCTTCGTCAGCATCGAACTCGCCCTGTGTCTCTGGTGAGGATTCGTCGAACTCTGGCGCGTGTAAGGGACGATCATCCTCCTCCACCACTTCTCCTTGATCGAAATCGTTCCCCTTCATAATTTTCATCTCGTCCTGCTCACCACGATTGAGTGTGGTCGTAGAGGAAAAAGAGAATGAAGAACAATAACGACGATAGCCATTGTTTGGAAAAGGATCCTCCACCTGGTGCACCTGCTCTTGATCGTCACGATTTTGAAAGGTGCAACTAGACGAAGATGACGGAAAATTATGTGGGTTCCCGACACCAAATACAACAACAGGACTCATCTGGCCAGGTATCCATGGAGCCGCGTCGGCTCTCAGCTGACTTGTTGCGAGTACATCATCATGACGAAATAGAACTGCTGCGTCGGAGATACCACATGTGTTCAGGCTCGTCTCCTGTTTTTCAGCTGCATGCGTGTCCGTCTCTCCATTCACAACATACTGCTCCCTAGAAGAAATGGCTGTACACGGTTGTTCTGCACTTTTCATGTTTAAAGATTCAACGAGAACATCCTTCATCTGATTTCGATTTCTTGACAACGCCGCTTCCTCATTGGGCTTCTCTATCGTGGTATCGGGTACCCTTGACTGACGACCAACTCCTCGCTCGTGTTCTCCTCTAGAAGAAGATGAAGCGCCTACATCATCTACAATTGGAGCTTGCGCACGAAAAGGAATCATCATAATAGAAGCTCGTGTAGACTGTGCTTTCTGCCACAACGACATGTGACTCAGAATCTGCTTTTGCGCTTGTAGGCGCAAGTTCGCCAACACTTCCACACCACACATGCTGAGCAATCCCTTCAAATCTTGCTCATGATCTACTTTTCCCGCGGAAAAGCCGCCTTCCAGAGAGTCGATCAAGTATTTTTCCTTCAGCGCAGCCAAGCCTTCAGACCAAAGGTCGATGCTGAAATTTTTCATGTCGTGGCTCGCTTCTGCTTCGTCTTCCACGTCGTTCTCGACGCCGTCAATTCTGTTCCGTACGGTGCCCGTCGTGTTGATGGTGCCTTGTAGTTGGAGTTCGTGATCTTCAACTTGAACTCCAGCAGGAATGACGAACGCAGTGTCATTTTCGGCCATGCGCTCAGAGGTTCTCTGATACAGCACATCGGGATCTTGCAGCTTCGGTCTTTTCACAGTTTGAGAGCTTTGTCCTTTTTCACCACGCAAACCGCCACCATTGTTCGACGGCTTTGGCGTAAGTCTAGGGGCTTTTCTTGTTGCCGCTGCGTCCATTAACAACACGTCTGTCTCGTCGAAGTGCTTAGATTTGCGTGTTCGTCCCGTCTCGAGCGGTGGATGCTGGCGACTATTGATCTCTGCACGCCTTGGAGTCGTCGATAGGCTTAAAGCGACATCAGACGTGTCGGAGCCCGTGACCTCGACGCCGACGTCGACCGAAGGGCCACAATAATGATGTAGCTTTTGCTCAGGTCTGTCTTTCTTCTTGTCCTCACCTTTGGTATTTTTCTCTTCACTACGACCTGCCGCGCTTCCTTGTGGTCCAGATCGTAGGCTATCTTGTTGCCTGTCATAATCGTCGTGTCCGGCTGAATTGCCGTCCGAAGTATTAGTGAAGGGACGTCCCTCCGCCTCTGATCGAAAACATTTACGGAAACAATCGTCATTCTCGGCCCCGCTGGAAGACTCCGACTCAGAAGTGTCGTTAAGAAGAGTACCTTTATTACCGTTCCGATTCTTTCGGCGCCGCTCTGTGTGGAGAGTCAGGCGAGCACGTTGTTCTTTTTCGTTGCGTTTCCTCTGTTTCGATTCTTTCAATTTCTGTAGCTTTTTTGCAGCTGCGGCGAGCTGTTCGTCTTGACTTTTATGTTCGCAATCATTTTTCTTTTCAAGACGACTCGAATGAGACGCAGATAGAGCCTCATCTTTTGGGGTGGTAAGCGAGGATTTTTGCCTGCTTCGCCCATCGGACGACTTCGCGGAGCCAGCGGCTCGACCGGAGGAAACTAAACTCGTCTGACGCTGCTCAGGCATCTTTTCCCTTGTTGGAAATGATTCTTGAGTAAGAAGATAGAGCCGATGTTGTAGTTGATATTTTACCTCATCAAGGTATGTTGTACTTTCAATTTCAATTGATTCAAGAATCGCTTAAAAAATCTGACCAAGCAATAACTTAGATTCTACGATTCGGACAAATTCTTGAATCAGACGAACTCAATATCAAGAATACGATGCGAATTGCTGAAGAATGAACGTTCCTTCTCCCAGCATTGATCATTAGGTAAAAATTTAGAAGAACATTTACGTACTTGTTTTTACATTATCCTAACGATGAACAGACATCTTAGCGGTGGAGAAAATTCATCTGGCTACTCTGTGATCATTGAGTTGATATGGAGGCTTGGTAGCACGTCCTCAAAACTATGCTGTTCGGAAAAACAAGCAAGCAAAGTGATGAGCGTTTCTGCTTCGTTCGGTATGCTTGGAACCAACACTTTTGACGCTAAGGCCTTGGAGTGTAACTGGCCTTGGAGGTTTCAAGCCCAGGCTGAATACGCCACCAGTATGTCTATAATGTGCATGCCTTGCAATAACTGCTATGTTAAATATATACCGATTACTAGGTGGATCCCTTTCGGCAGAGGAAAGAGTGTCGCTTGTTTTCGCGTTCCTGCTGCAGGAGGTATAGCAAGGAGATCTTCAGCGAAGAATCGGATTTAACAACTGCAGAAGTTGTGTCCTCATCCGGTTACTGGAAATCATGAGCATAGTAGAACACATGCATAAGCACTTGGCTTAGAGAGTGCGCGAGTGAAGAATTCTAAAGATCTTCGACACGTGACACAAGCAGCAGAGCAAGTTAGCTGACGGGTGTCAATGCTTCATACAAAATATGACAAATGCTATAACTATAAGGGATGAAAATGAGCGGGAGCCATTCCTGGGGTCGTGGATGGGGTATTTCTGAATTGAATATAATCTGCGAGTTCCAAAGACGGAGTCAGGTAAGGGCCAGGGCCAACCAAGGTCATAAGAAAAAGATGGAGAGGAGGACGACGACACCTTCGGCCCCGCCGTCTACTTTGTCTATGCGACGAATTCCAAATGGACATCACCATCACCTTCCTGTCTTTACGTGGTGGATCTTACTTACACAAAGCTTCAAAAACTTAGACTCCGAGCCAGCGGTAGCAGTAAAGGTAGACTTAGAACAGGATTGATTAACTTGACCGGCGCGATAGGGGAAACGCCATCGACATACACACTACGAGTGCTAAGACCCCAATCCCAAATTTCGATCTTCTACACCTTTTTTTCTACAACGCGTGGGTCGCTGGCAACCTGACAGGGACAGCAAGATCGCCAGCCGGCGTGAGAGATCATAATGACATGTAGTTGAAGTTGATGCGCCAGACCACACAGTGTGCTCGCGTACGTTAGTCGAATATCTTCTTGCTGAGCAGTGCGAGAGAGTCGATGCAGTCTGAACTGTGTTTGATCGTCTCCAGCAGACGCTTGCAGGTCGGTCGCAGAGTGCTTTTCGGGAACAGGATCAGATTGCCCTTTCCCTCGTCCAATGTTCCAAGCAGTTTTTGATCGAGGATAAGCTGCGACAACTTCTGCTGTGTCTTGTCTACCGGGAGCTCGATCAACTCCGCCACTCTCGCAAGCTGTACCGATGAAAAAGGTTCTAGTATCTTCAGCAAATTCTTCTCCAAGAAAGTGTCATACAACTCCCGCAAATGATGTCGAATCACAGGATCCTCCACTGGATGCGCGGCAAGAACCTTGTTTGATTGTAGGTGATGCTGATGTTTCGGGATGAGTATGAAAACGAGGAGATCGTTGAGGCAAAAGTCTTCAATTTAATCAGGATCCGGAAGGCTAAGATTTCTGCTGGCTGCAGCTCAAGACCCGATAAAGAGACATCATAATAAGATTAAGAGTAGTACTTTTTCGAGTTTCTTTAGACTCCTGTCTTCGTAGGCCGCTGCAATTTGGAGAATCGCTTGGACTGAGTCGTGCATCTGGTATCCCAGCATGTTCTTCTGCTGCACCATTTGCTTACATGCACTTGGCTCGTCCTGCATTATTCTGCAGAGGAGCTGACATCGCAAAGCTTGCAGCGCGCGCGTATGGTTATAGTCTTTGCTCGTGTAGTTGCTTTCATCTTTGTTCACGTGAAAAGCCTCAAAGGCTTCGTAGAGATAAGAGAAAGCCGTTCGCGGATCTTTCTCTCGCAAGGAAACTATACCTGTGCACACAGTTATTGTAGCAGACTGAGTTGTAGTTGTTGATACAGTCAGAGCTCGAGCCAGCTCATCAAGAACATCACGATTGCATTTTCATTTCAAATCAATCTTCTAAATCTTCTGTTGTGAAAATCAGAAAAAGCGTACCACTCCAGAGATCGATCTCCGCTTGTGACAAAGGCGGGCAATGTATCGCGTTAGCGTTTGTTTTCGCGGCTGTCAAGCTTGCGCGCGCTTTTGGCAGGTTGTCGCAATTGAAGTTGGCCCGCGTTTCTATCAAGTGAATTTCAACTAACAACAATTTGTCGTCTAGCTGCTTCACTTCTTTTAGCAATTCCTTCAATAATGCCAAGGCCTCCTCATATTTCGTCATGTCCACGTAGATGCTGGACAATCGTGTCTCCACACGATGTTTCAAAAATGTCCTCTGCTCGCTCTTCGCCCATTCGATGCAGTCCAAGCAAAGGTCGGAAATTAACTGTTGGTTCAGAACGCACTAGTGTGAGCAGACTAGGAGTACTGAAGCATCGTCAACATCACAGAAACAACTGAATTCATTTCTATGCAGCGTAAAAGTTCATGTTTGATTTTGAACGTAGATGAAGATAATTTCATCAACATGATACACAAGAAACCACCTTAGAGGTACCTGTGTTGGCTTATTCCCCTGTAGTCGCGACACGAGATCTATGAGAGTTCGAACAATTTTTGCCGTCTTTACTTTTGGAAAGTGGATGAATAGCGGCCGGATCTCTTTCACCAGTTTTACCAAAGGCTCCACCTGCATTGAAATGATGTTGAGGAGGTAGATCGATGCGAATGTCTCGCTGCAGAAAGCAAAACATAAAGATGATGAAATTGAAAGCAAGCCTTGCTTGGTCCTAACACCAATTTTTTGGTATACACCTCTACATAAAAGAACCGAAGGTGAAGTACCTTTTCCTTTTTTGCGTAGAAGTTTGCGAGCCTATATATCGCTGTTTCCAGCTCTTTTACTTCTTGCTCCGTCTCCGGTAGACTACATTCAAATATCAATTTCCGGTAGGCCGCTATCGCTTTTGAACCATCTCCCTGGCCTTCGAGCTCAAGCACGGCATCCGCCGCTGTTTGATCGACCTCCATCTTATTGAAGTAGATACTCGAGTGAGTGAGAGAAGTCAGGAGTTATTTACCCAGGTGGAGGACACTCACGGAGAAAATTACTACACGCTTTATACCCAATTATGTCGTCTACGCCAGAGAAAAACGAATTTCCTATTTTTCGGATGAGCAGAAGCACCTGGTACAGCTACTCAATATTCAACTGGTTCACGACATGCGTGGTGTAGCCAAGGCCTGCGAAGAGATGAGTCACCCTTAGAATAATTTTGTGCGCCATGAAGATCTAGATCTTCTGTTGATTATAGCACAAGAATTGTTGTTGAATGAGTCATCCTCATCCCGCTGTTGTCATAAATGCGAAGCAGAAGCAATCTAAAACACGTTTCAGACAACCTGCTTGATTGCACCGACTGTTTACAATTATACAACTAAGGGCTTGTTCTCATTCTCATTCTCAATTTTTCAGGTCTATAGCCCTGGTGCAGGAAGACTCCACGACGTTCATACCACACCGTCTTCAATGTCACATATACTTCATGAGAGATGGCGGCATAATTCCTCAAGAACTAAAAACAACAGTGATCCCCATCAATTTTCGTTCGCGCGAATGTTGTTGCATCTTTCTATTATTTGAGAATCATACGACCTTCAACTTCACAACGAACTACATGATGATTGTTTGTTAGATTCTCGTGCTGGTCGACGTGCTGCTGGTCAAGGGGCTAACAAAAATCTTCGATAAGTTGAGCTTGAGGCTGGTAATTTCATATACTTATACTTACATGAAACAGAGCAATGCTCAATCATGGTATTTTTGGTATCAGCAATTCCCTTAGCTGCAGAGGTGGCAGACCCTGATCGGTGTTCGAAGACATCAAATTTTCATTTCCTTGTACTACAAAATGATGAAAACCTTCATCTCTTTGGTGGAGATTTGAAACAACTACTGCATGTGTCTAAGTAGGTATTCACACATTATAGAAAGTAGATACAGACGGTTTTTAGAGTGATGGATAGCGCTTGCATCCCATTTTAACGGGAGTCACAATTATTCAAATATCGACATGAATCTGAGCTCGTCCCGGCCTGCGCTGGAACCTCAAAAAATTTGATTGGCTTAAAAAGACTTTGACTTTGCGATTGCGTAAATAATAAGACTAGTAGTTTATTGCTTTTTAACGAGGTTCCAGGTAGAGTTTCTATTTCAAATCTGTCGTAGTTCGTTTTTTCATCAAAAATCTATCTTGTGCTTATATATAACTGGTTTCCACGATCATGTCTTGGCCCGGTTTCCGTGACTTTGATGGACACCCGGCTGCATGGATGTGAATGCTGTAAAAAGGAAACAACCCCGAGAAGGTTTGGTGAAGAATGAGACGATTCGACTTAAACCCATCTATATGAGCAAGGAACAGTAGTTGTACCTGTTTTTTAAATGCCTACCTGCAACTGCACACGTCCGCCAAACCTATGTATGATGTTGATATGATTGATTGAAGTGAAATTTATCGCTCGGTGGTCGGTCGAAGTTAATATGTCTATGCACGTTACATGCTATCTACCCACGAGATAGAAAAATCAAATCTAAAACTTATTACGAGCTACGTATTTTAGCTAATTTTGACATCGCAGTCTTACATGATACATTTCGAAAACATGAAATGAGTAAGAAACGCCAGCAAGTCCTCTCAAGGAGGAGTATAACACAAAAAAAAAATTGTTCCAAAAAGTTCGCTGTGGTCAAATACTTGACTGGATGAGAATATCTGACGTTCGTCTTTGTACTTATTTGCTTCATAATTGGTTGCTAATGCTATCAAAAATATAAAAATTCGTTTTGACATGAAGTTCTAATTCTGATTTCACCATATTGAAGTGGAGAGAGTCCACAAAAACAAAAGGCGCAAAGGTAAAAATCATAATCAATATTGCTCGAGTTTCTGCTGCACCCTGCGATGGACCATGCATAGGTAGTCGACGTAGGAAAGCTCCTGACGCAGCGGATCCTCCACTAGCAGCATGCGCGTATCTTCGTTCGTATACTGGATACGCATCCATCGGTAACTTCCCTTGTCCTTGCGGATTTGCTGCAGGACAGAGTAGATCCTGGCGCCGAGAGGTTTCTGAAGGTTCAGACCCGATATCTCGCTTATTTGCGACGCCCCAAAGGCATCATCCAGTAATTCCGCAGAAGCGTTCGGTCCGACGTAGATGACAATGCGCTCCCCGTTTTCGTACAAATACAAACCTTGCAGAGAAACCCGGTCCATGGAGCACTGAATGTTCGAAGGCATATACACGTTCTCATCATCCGCCGCCAAACCGTGCTTCTCTTGGAACCGGTGGAGGGCGACACTGGTGGAAATATTAATCAAAAAGTACCATAGAGACGAGAAAGTGATAAAATGAAGATACACCAAGCATCATGAATGCATCACATTCATATGTAGTAGAGCATGGTACTTGAGAGTAGGTCTAAGGGAAAGAGTTGTTTATGAAAGTCAAAATGCTAGTACAGGTCGTAAAGATCGAATACAAACAATAACAAACTCATCCAAAAGGTACTTAAGTAGTACAGACGGGGATAGAGCAAGGAAGACGTCCGCGTGATGGTTGCGCCGAGTAGCTGAACGACCTCTGCAAACCGCTGATCGACGCGACATGTGAGACTCTTCCGTCGGAAGGCCATCTGCTTGAACAGACTGCATATGTACAGCGGCAGGAGTTTCAAACTCTCCGGTAATATCAGCTGTCCAAAACTGCTCGTCGACGCACAGTTCACACGATAAGCGTGCAAAATGTGTACCAACTGGTCAGTCTGTTGAAAATCATGTGTGCTAGAGGCATACATTCGGAATCGGATTCATTGAAGGATATAAAGATGTATGAGCCACCTTGATTACTTAGTAGTTGTTGCTTTTGTCAATGTTGAACAAGTAGGTTCAAACAAAAAGATGAAGATGAACAACGAAAACAAAACTACTACTAGCAGAATGTACTAGCTGCTGTTTCGGCTGTGGCGAATTTGGCGCTGCGAGCTCTTTTCGCAGTGTCTCCTTCAGCAAAACGTTTGCAAGCGTATCTACGCAACAGTACCGGAAGGTAGTGGAGAGGGCGTTCGTTGTCGCTAGAGACAGAGTGTGCACACGAATGCACTTGAGGCCTGCAGTCGTGGTGTAAAGGCACGCGATCTGGACGTAAGCGTGCCTTGCATTTTCTGCGAGGTCCTCGTGCTTGAACACAAACGCTGCAGTCGAATCAGCGGAAAGGCGAGACACCTCAAACTGGCTTTGCTCGTGCCGAGAATAACTTAGAGATTCTCGAAAGACTAATGAAAATGAATTTAAAGTGTAACGTTTTTAACGTTTTCTAGTTTAAGGGTAGTTGGTCTTCTACTTGGTTCACGCTGAAATAGAACTCTAGCTTGGCACAAAAACTAAACATGCCTTAAAATGCTATCATGTGGAGCGAACATCGAGCTGACCGTTAGACCCCGGGAAGAACGTATTTTGAATGCACAACCGAACGCCTGTCGTCGCACGATATGCCGGGAAATATCAAAATGTAGCTGCTCACCATGGTCATGCAAATTGAACCCGGGATAGTGAAACGTGTCGCCACCGGTACAACGGGGTACCTATTTTTGTTTTGAAGCTGTCCTTAATTTTTTGTTGTCACTAACACTATACAACATAATTCATAATCACCGTTGTCACCACCACCATCAGCCACAAAAAGAGGGAGAACAAAAAATCGAAAATAAAGTCGAGTCAGTACATAGCTCTGCGTCGCGACATCGATGTAGGTATTTTCTGGTGGTAGCAAAAAAACATCGACGCAAACATCCATGTCAAGGCACGTCTCTGACAGCCTCTTGTAGTAATCCGGATTTTGTGGAACGAACCTGGGATGTGAGGAAAAGGAGAAAAAGGTTGAGGATATCTTCGTTGTCTTTCTATCGATTAGCTCTAGATTTCATCATCATCATCATCATCATCACCTCCCTGAGAAAACAGAAAAGTAGTGACGTACAGTTCTCCCATTCGGTCTTTCCATTGTTCGTCCTCGCTGTATAGCCTAACGTCGTCTCTAGGAACGTTCAGGCCGATCCCGCGGGTTGGCAGTGAGTGCATAAACATCATGACTTGGCCCGTTCCACCTCGAGATTTGAAAAGCGATATCGCGCTGGTCAGCGCGGCACCCGCACAACTATGGTAGTCCGTGCTCTCTCGGTACAACTTCGGTATCAACTCGGCCAGAGACTCGATTGAAGAAGGGTCGGACTGAAGAAGTTGGTGAGTGTAGAAATAACTTTGTTGTCCAGTTGTTATTGTGTCGACCGCGAGCAAAGATGAACACGAAGAAGAACCTATAGATACTTAAATGAAAAACTAACACTCGTAAAAAAGGATGTCCAAACAAAACAAGACACTGAAGAAACAGTTGTCGTCGAAAAAAAAATCAATACTCTTGGATCAACAAAGAGCGCATCTGGCGATTCGGGTGCGAAGTCGGGATCCCCTACATCAGCCTGAACCACCACTGCTGGCTCACCCGACGTCCCACCGAAATGGTAACAATGTATGGTTGAGTCGAACCTGAAGGAGTTAATGTTAATCCGAAGTAAACTACTGGTCGTAGTAGTACTTCCAGAACTAGTGTTTCGTCTTCTTGCTTTCTGAGTTAGTAGCTGCATGAAGAAGACCTAGAAGACTTTACACTTGTTCTTCTATGCAAAGAAGACAAAAAAAACTCAACAAACTAAGATGCAGTGGTACGTCATTATCCCGACTTTCGTTTTGTTTCCCGGAAAGTGGTTGAGCATAGAGCGTATTGTGTTCATCACTTGGTGCACGTACCCTGTGTCCATGGCTTGACGTGTGACTTCAATGACGAAAAGGTAGTAAGGAACTTGCGGCTTTGTCAACTGCGCATAGTACTCTGGTGGCGCCAGGTAGTCTACAGTCCCCGTACACAACTCGGGTCTGTCATTCCGGTCCCTTCTGTGTCCGGCGCTGTAGTGAAGGTAGTGGTAGAGGTACTGTAATTTTAAACAAGGTGATTTATGCAAGTGGGGCGAGAGAAAAAGAAAGACGGTGCTACTCTCTATTAACTCTTGTCGCTGTCCACCAGAGTACTTAGTTGAATTTATTAAATCTGCTGAAGTAAGTCGTAAAAGCAAGGGCCGCCACCGCAGAACACGAAAGATTGATAAAGAACAAAGACGAGAAAAATGTACTAGTCCAAGGAGCAGTAGTAGTGTCGCGGCACCTCGAAGTAGTGACCGCAAAAATTGCAGTTCGCTTCTTTACCGCACGATACCCAACCGAAAAATGCATTTACATAGGCCTTGCATCGCGGACAGCGGAAAGGCCCCTCGGTGCCGCTAGTGTCTATCAGTGGTATCGATGCCTCCTGGTCCCCTAGAGATGCGAATGGTTGACAAACGGCTGCAATCGGAACGTGAGTGCAGTCCGCTGTATGATGATAAATCGGTATCTGGTTACACGTCATGCGGATAAACCGCGCTGAGCACGAGCCTTTGTCGACGAACACGCAACGATTCATCATCGCCACGTTCGGAGGTGTTACATACCTCAGTTTTTTACAGAAGCACAACAAGATGAAACAAAGAAAGAGTAAAATTAATACATGTTGTAAAAAACTCTCCATCCAAGTCGGACGTTAATGACGTGGTAATGGTATGATTCTCGTGACTGAAGATTGCAAATTCAGGCTGCGGCTAGCAAGACGTCTAGGTGCATGTTCTCATCAACTATTAAAATCGAGTCGTACTTGTCAGTAGCAAATGTCTTGATCTGCTTGCCACTACTCGATGTCACCACGCCGATGTTTACTGGTCTGGGTATATGCTCTGGATCTATCTTCGACGAGCTCACTTGCCTCTGCCGCGTTTGCGCACCCGCCTTATACATCGGGTTATTTCCCATGCCGAGTCCTGCGGTGCCTGTAGGTGATTCTGTTTAGAGTGAATCTTTCTGTTTGAGGTTTGTGTCCACGTAAAAGAGTAAAACAGCTCGAAAATGCGATGTTGTTCTTGAAAAATCTTGACCTTCGATGACTGAGCATGACCATGAGGCGTACTTGTAGTTGTACTACTAGGAGAACATAAACAGAAGTCTATTTATCACAGTCCTGCATACCTTGTTTCGTCGGGCTTTTTGGTGGACTGGTTGAGGAAGATCCACCCACCTGGTAGTTCGGATGCTGAGCGTCGGGTACCATCATCGCTTGCTGCTCTGGTGCGCCATTTTGCATGTACGCGCCTCCACTTGCAGAGGATGGATATCCGGAAGACGGCGGGGCCCCACAAGTGGAACTGTATGGATCCGAACCTGGAGGTATTGTGACACCTTGATAACTGGCGGCGCTTTGTTGCGAAGCAGTCCTGCCTAGTGACTGCGGAGGTGCTTGCGCATTCGGATATGGCGGTGGCCCTGCGTCACCTCCCGCTGCGCCAGGCATCGGTGGCGGCGGTGGCGCGTAGGCTGCAGTGCCTCCAGCCGCGAGTAAGGGCGCTCCTGGTGAAACTCCTGACCCAGACAAGCTCGGGGGAACGGTAGCAATCGCCGGTGGTGCGATTCCAGCCTGTGCGTAGGCTTGATATGTACCAGGATCTATTCCTGGGTCCCCTGGCGCGCCTGCCGCTGGAGGCGCTGCTGGGGCAAAGTCCATCACCGCTTCGAATACAGGATATGCACAAGCAGGGTTCGGTATTATCGTCGGCATGGGGACCTCGCCGCCATCGGTTTCGCCTGACTCGTCGTACGAGTCTCCAGCACTGCTGGATCCGCTGTAGCTAGCACTTGCCGTGCCTGTCGGCGCTCGTCCGCTCTTACTTCTGCTTACTTCAGGAGCTGAACTTTCGTCTGCCGCATCGCCCGACCGACCCTGCTGACCACGACCACTGGGTGCCGCTTGTTGCCTCCCGTCGGCAAGCTGACCTTTCTGCTGCTCTGCCGCCTACAATTAGGGTTTTGAGAAAGTCAGTATTGAACGAACCGGATCTAAAAAGTAGAACTAAGAACTGGAAGATAATTATCAGTGATGTCATAGAGAAGATGCCTTGTTTCAAGTGAAGCCAACCTGTACCCGTTCCCGCATCTTCCTCCGATAGGCCTCTTCAGCAGTCTCTTCAACATCGGTGGCTTTCTGCGTCGCTCCTCCCGACGCTCCCATATGTTGGTTATACGCTTTTTCGTAGTAGTCTCCGGGCGACACCGTTGGCGACCTTGTTAAAATTTGAGAATAGTACGTCAACACGTTCTCTTCATTCCATTGTAGGGTTAGGTACGCTTTGTTGTAATCCATAAAAACAATAGCAAGTAGAGTCGTGACCACTCTGGTGCCTGCTTACAACTCTCTGCCGCGACGTTGTGGTGGAGGTTGACGCTGCAGGCAGAATATTAAACAAAAACAACAAGAACACGACCATCAAACATTAACAGAGGTACAGCGAGGCGGATCCCGGTGGTGATTCTGGTCCTTGGGGGATATTGTCCGGTGGTGGATATGTCGTTGTGTCTGATGCAGTCGGTAGCGAAGGTGTCGGTGGACCAATATTTTTTGTTTGTGAAGGATAAGCGGTGGAAGAGGCGCTTTCAGCGGTGCCCGTTATGATTGCTGGCACCTGAGCGTTGGGCGCAGCGCCTCCTGGGGCGCCACTAGCTCCACATGGATCGTGTCCTGCTGTTGCAGATGGATGACCAGGTATTCCAGACATTGAGCCGAGATACTGAGCCGTCGACGAGCTACTTGCGGCTGAGGGCGTAACCACTGGCGGACGGGGAGCGGGAGCTGTGCTAGTGTTGCTGAAGTCGGAGCTCTGCTGGCTGTATGATGTCAGCTGCGATGCGGAGGACCATGGAGTCGCTGTTGAACTAGCCGCAGTCGACAGTGTGCTATTTGGAGCGGGAGTAGCGCCAACTGGCGCAGTAAGTGGCTTGTTTGTTATTGTTTGCGATTGGAAGGCAGCGTCATAGGATACTGGTGCGTTGGATGGTGGGTATACACCATTGGACAAGTTCGATGCGTCACTTTGGAGATATGGTTGCTCGTGTGCAGCGCTACTAGCTGTACTGCCAGGTAGAGGACCCGCTACATAGTTGTTCTGGCTCTGCGGTGCTCCCTGGGGTGGCGCACCAGAGGGTGGTGCCGTCGCACCTGGATAGCTTTGGCTACTCGGGCCTCCAGAGTTGTGAGGTAACGACGATGAAGTTGCAGCTGCATTCGGCTGGCCCTGGCCTGGAGGATAATATGCTCCACTCGATGGTTGTCCAGTTGCAGCACTGTGCTGATTATACTGAGCACCTGGTGTTGGTGCCACATGCCCTGCTCCTACGGCAGGTGGTCCTCCCGTAGTTCTCTGCGGTGGTGCATACGGCAATTGCTGCTGTGTGTAGTTACTCCCGGGACCAGGGCGCGCATTACTAGCGAAAGATGGCGTTGCCCCAGTATTAACATACTGCTGTGGCATGCCGCCCACACTTGTCATTCCATTATCCCCACTAACAGCTGGAACTGCTCCAACGAATCCCTCTACAACTCCTCCGGATCCCGCTGTCACTCCAGCACTCGCTCCTCCTGGTGGAGGAGCAGCTGCTGCTTGATTACCATATAGACTATGCTGTAAATGCTGAGCTGCGACACCATTGACTAACGGTGGCTGCTGCTGTTGCTGCGCGGGTGGTCCAAAGCCTGCAGTTGTCGGAGGTGGCTGTGCCTGTGGTTGCTTGTTCGGATTGTCAAACAACGAGCGCATTCCATTTTGTTCCCCTTTTTGCGGGGACATCATCTGATTCGTCATTCACAGAACGCAGTCAAAAGCGGCCTCCTTCTAGTAGTTCTAGTTGTCTGCGTCAACCTCTTTTGATTCCGTGCTCCGTTCGTTAGACTCCGAGCACAAAGAAATTGTAGTTGTCCTTAGTACACACGACCTCAATGTCGCAGATGTGGTTGAGGTAGTGGTACGGCCAGCGGGTTCATTGACAACTTTTGTGCTCGTCGCGGTTCTATTCTTTCATCATGTGGGAGTCGACTACGTGAAAGTAATACTACTTGTGCCAGAACCGTCTCTGATCACCTCTGGGTGACGCTAGTCGTGGAAGGGGTTCGAATACACGGATTGACACGGATCCTCATAAACGCGACTGGTCTATTGACAGGAACTGCGATAAGCCTTGTGACCCCGTCATCTACGATGCTGGAAAATATGTTGTTGCGACGTCCCCGGCGTACCGGTCACCCGTGTCATAAGCTTGTTCAGCCTTGTAGTCGACTAGTCGCTTTTAGTTGTAGTGATCATGACACACGATTTCGGTTTTGGTCCGGGCAAAATGGCGTCATTGTTCGTCACATCAGCACTTCTTGCACGCACTGCTCACCCCTCAGAAAAAAGTACCAAACAAAAACAAATCAATGAAAGTCACTTATCTTCATGAATCATAATCTACATCATCATCTTCACACCAAGAAAACCACAGACAGATGCGCTCCTATTCTAGACCTGAAGCCTCGTCTTTAAATTCCTACATTGTAATTGATATTGCAGACACGCGGCTTTGTTCCGATGCCACCTGGACTTCTAAATTGGGACGGCCAGATTCACCAATCATTCGATTTCAATACCGCTGGCGCTGCTGAAAATAGAATTATGCAAGATTACCCAAAAGCCTATTTTTTTGCGTATGAAGATGTATCATTTTGCTCCTCTCTGTATTATGTCCTCGATTGTGCGCTGGTAACGCTCTTGCTCTTCGATTTTCGCCTTTATACGTAAGGAAAATTGATCTACAGTCAGTCTCAGTCCGGATATTTCGTGTTGCTGCTTCTGGCTGGCTTTCGCAGTACCGCTAAGCCTAAGTCTCCAGACAAGAATCTGGTGACAAGTTAAAAATATGTACGGTCCGTTAAGGAAATCCGAAAAATCATGACATCACCAAGAACGACAACGCTACATGATACAACAATTGCAACACCTACACTCTCCGAGGAATAGCAGTGAACACGTGTTGCCATACATAACAAAAATGAGAGCATCTTCCTAGGACTCCTCCAAACTTGAGCAGGAAGTAGAAGTTGTCTGGGTGTCCGTGGTATCATATGATCACGTTGGCGACCATGAGGACGCAAACGTTGAGAACGATGGGCGTACCTGACTTCGTTTTTTTTTTGTGACAACTATATTCGTTTTGGGTTATTGGCTTTGCTCAGAGAAACTATTCATCACCATGTTGCCTCTTTATGCAACCATTCTCGTCATACTTCTATTCAGGTCAGGCCCGCCATAACTGCTGGCAGAAGTGAAGCTTCGGAATGTTGCAAATCTCATTCTCATTTCTACTTTTTCTATAATCATCATCATGTTACTTCAACAAATAGATACCAGGGTTACTTCCTGTTCTTGCACTAAAAGTAAAAAAACTTCTGCACAGCTATAAGTATATATAACTGTTCACAATATAATGTAGCTAGTATGCAAAAGCTGTTAACATTCTCATCATCATTCTATATCGAAAGTCTATCTAGATAGCACTGGCTCGTTTAGTCCTCTGCTTTTGTATATTAAGAGTAAGAACTACTAGTCCATTCGAAGTTTGCTGCACCTGATGTTTTTGGTATAATATTAAGTGTTTTGAGCTTTACATTTCTTGCTGTTATTGAAGATCTTCATCTCTTTATTTCGCTTGCTCCCGTGAGCGCTAGTATGCTCGCTGTCTGATACAGTCCTTGTTATTCATCCTGTCGTTTTTTCTAGTAGTGGGAGAAGGCGTTTTTCCCCCAGAATTTGTAACTGTATCGTATTGTAACACCAAAGACATCGCGAACAACACTAAACTTGGCAGCGCTTACTGACACTGAGCTTCTTCCATGTAAAGCATATCACATTGCAACTACAACACCCGTTTGAGTATGTCCATGTGCAATGCTAGATTGGCTATGAAAATGCCTAATCTTCCTCCTTCTTCGGGTTTTCGCGCATAGCTTCTCGGAGCTCTTCGACGATATGGCTATTGAGGGTCGACTCTGCATGGTCTAAAGGATTCTGGCCGTTTTCATCCTGCTTATACAAGTCCGATTTTTTCGCGATGAGGAGCTTCACGCATTCATATTGCTGGAACATCGCTGCCCACGCCAGCGGCGTCTGCCCACGCTGCGTAATCGACCTGGTCGTGTGAAGCAGGTAGATGAACAAGAGCTTCGTTTAGGATTCGGAACAGGAAGAAGAGCTACAAGATAGAGATAAACGAAATCACAGTAGAAGATTGGAAGTTGAAGCTGGAGCCCGCTTTCCTCTCCTCCCGAAAATTTTTAACGCTCATGCAGAAGATGAATCAAGATCACAACATCTTCAAGGACATCAAACATTAACATTCGCAGTACTCGACACTGGCTCCGTGCCCAATAAGTATTTCGACCAACTCTCGATGACCGCAGCGAACAGCCGCAAAAATCGCGCTTTGGCCTTCTTTGTTCTTCTCTACCACGTTGCAACCCTTTGCGAGCAGGATCTTGGCAGCATCTATTTTACCGAACATACACGCGAAAAAAAGGGCGTTTTCTCCGTTCTTCGTTGTTACATCGATCTTCGCGTCGTGCGTCAGCAACCCCTCAATCGTCTCCACATGGCCCTGCGCCGATGCCCACATAAGTGCCGTTTGGTAGCTTAAAGTTGTGGTAAAGAAGTAGAAGAGCGACAAATCTTATATCGGAATCAACCACGTCGGAGCGAATGCAACTTCATCTAGAAAACTAGGGACTGAAGATTGACATTGACGAAAAAAAAGAAGAACAGTACTTCACGTCGTGGTGATTCACTTTCGCGCCCTCGTCTAGTAAGAATTTGCAGCACTCCCAGTGCCCGTTTGCTGCGGCTTTCATCAGCGGTGTTTCTGACTTATCTGTCGCGTACCTTGTGATACCATTGAAAAAATTTTGCTGAGCGCAAGCCCGGTTTGTTTGTTTGTTTGTTTTGATGCGCTCTGGGCGACGCGTACGATCCCGCTGGATTTCTTTGTGCTCTGTGTGCGTTATGCTATGGTCGTCATTGCGATCGACTATGGTATGTGTGGTCGCCACAGTCCCCGCCAGCTGCGGCTTTTGTGTCATGCCAGGCGCCGTGTGCTGCAGGGGGCGGCGACTGCGCGTAGGTAGCGCCTACCGGTGAGGCGCGGCCGGGTTTGGTAGACGTTTTTACGGCCTGCGTGCTCTGTTCTTCGCGTTCTCGTTTTGTCTTCTTTCTTTTTTGTCTTCGCAAGCCCAGTTTATTTTGTTCATGATATTGACATTGAGCAACTATCCATAAAAGTCATTTTTTGTTGTGGTCCAGCGTGTCCTGTTATTAAATATATTTTGTTGTGTAAAAAATTTATTTATGTGATTACGCTAGGACAGTTATACACATGTGTGTCTAAATTAGAGATGAAGACGAAGGGAAAATAGTTGTTTTGCCCTGTCCCTGCGTGAAGCAAGCGATGTGAACAGCTAAAGCTGGCACAACAGCCTGCATTGGTGCTTCGCAAATGCGAAGCCGTTCATGAGAAATTCAGAACGACGCCGGGATCGAATAAGATCCCACAAGAAACCTCGGAATAAGGCCCCCATAGCGCACCAACAAGATCTCGGTGTCATAGCGGAATTTCGTATAACGGAGATCAAGGCAGAAAACAACTTCACGCAATGCGTGACCCGAAGAGACATTATTTTCAGATGAGCATATTATCAATTTCGTTGGACCGCAGAGTCATGTCCTCGACAGAGATTGTGTGGTCTACTCCAAATTCATCCTGTCCTTCTAGCAACAAAGCGAGCCTCGTCAGTCGCTGCTCTTCCCCAGAGAAATCGCGCACCTCGTCGAACAACGAAGGGTAAAACTGCTCCACAAATAGCATGAACAACGGCCGTGTAGGGATATCCGCGATGTTGAAGCCGGATGGTACCCTGTCGATCCACGGCGTCATTGACTGTTTGGAAGCCACCGCCCAAAAAAGCAAAGCTCCACCCGCGAGCTCAGGAGCCGGGGAATTCATGTTCAGGAGGGCACCCTTCGCACTGTCGTTGTCCACGGATAGCCTAAAGAACTCGCCGCTCAGCTCTTCTTGCAGCACGATGAGCGCCATGACCGCGGCAATAGTCTCTAGGAAGTTGATGGGAGACCGTCTGGTTGTTTTGATGATTTCGTCGGCGCGGACTCGACATCGCGCTACGCGAATCTTCTTTCCTCTGACAATGACTACCGAGATGTAGCCGCACTTGTGACTGAAGGCGGCATCCGTGTAGACCATCGTGTTCGGCGAACGCGGATCTTCAAATTTCGTAACGCGACGAAGATCCCGACCCAATATCGACAAGATGTTGTGCAGGCATCTCTGCAGCGGCACGGAGAAGACGCCAGACTTCTCATTGACGTAATTACACAACGGCTTGAGGACCGGATTGAACTGCCTATCTACCAATGCAGATAGGCAGAACATAACCTTCCCGAGCAAGGACTCAGCGTCCTTGATCGGCAGGGAACTAGTTTCCAGGGCAGACCTTATGATTCTGGAAATGGCTTCCCGCCTCTGGAGGGAGATGAAAAATTCCGGATACAGGCACGCAAGGTCAAACAGCAGCCCAAGCACCTCCAACTGCTGCCCCAGCCGCGCTTTTGCCGGGTGAATTGGCAGCCCGATGGTACGAAAAATGTGCAGCACAAGATCCATTGCGTGCTCACCCACGGCCTGCGGCACAGGCGCGGGGTAATCGTCCACGTAGACAGAGACGACAATCCCTACAAAGAAGCGGATAATCGATTTTATTGCGCTGCTGACTCTACACCACGCCGCCACACTGTGCACGTTACCGAAAATCAGCACCAACGCCTGAAAGAACATGTAACAGGTTCCGTTGAACGCGCAAAAACGATTATACTTTCGGTGAGAAGGACGGACGCCGATGGTGTTGTACGCCTTATGGGCGTCAACACAGAGCATGATCAGCGAAATGATCAAAGAGTAGTCGATCTTCCTGCGTTTGGCACTACTAGCAGAGTGGAACCCGTTGAACTCGTGGAAGTCATGCACTGGTTTGAGAAGCTGCTCCGGAATTGGAGTACCTGTCTCAATGTGGTCCAGAAAAGCCTTTTCATAGGCAACCTCCATCTTCCTGCCCTTCTTGACGACCCGTCTCGTCATGTTCACGACGTTCATGCCGCGCAAAGTGGGGTGCTTCAAGACGGTAGCCGAAGCCAAGATGTCAGCAGCACTCGCCATGGGGACTGATCGCTCGAGATGTGACCGCTCGTTGCAAGCGCATGCCGGATCAATCATGCGAATCTTCTCCTTCTGGGCAATCCCATACCGGCGGAACACGTAAGTCCACCCAGCAGCCTTTGCTGCCTGGAATGAGATAGGATTCTCGACCCTGGCGTGCTGAAGCAGCGGCTCCACAGCAGTTTCGCTCATGGACTGTCTCCAAACTTCGGCAACGAGTAGTGGGTCCATATCATCTGGTGGCGGCGCAGAAGGGCCAAACTTGTCGATGTTGCAAGGTAGCGGCTCCAAACACATCTTCTGCCTGCGCCGGACATGGTTAGGCCACGACGGCGGGCAACCGCAACAACCAATACAAGAGCCACCATCCGTGAACACCTTGTATGCCTCTTGGTCGTCGTGCTTGCATATGACACACGCGTCATGTACGAATCCGATGTTGTACTTCCCGTGTAGTTTCAGTAATTCGGGATCCATGGTGGATTTTAGTTCAGCATCTTTCGCCATTGCGGCTGCCGCAACACACGTGATTCCCTCCTTAATCCTTGCATGGTCCCACGCTTTGAAAGCGTTCAAAAGATGGCAATCTGGATCCGCGGGCACAAAAGGCGACGCTTTCTTCTGGTCTAAATCCATGCGAGTTCGCATGTTTTCGACCTTCTCTCGAAATTCCTTGATCCTCCCCTCGGTAAGTTGCGAGGAGAGGTGCGACGACATCTTTCACCGGAGGTAGATGGGAGATGGTAAGGAGCTGTAGTTTCCGGCTGTACAAAATCAACTACAACAAGGCTAGCGGATGAAGTTGGAAGGAGTGTCCAAATCAAGATATATCGAGTACACAACACACTCTATCAACTACAACATAACTCACCTCAGATGCGAATGCACCTCATGTTCCCCTGGATTGTTCGTGACTCTCTCCCCAGTAGAGCCGGAAAAACGCAGAAGATCACTGAGCGCCGTGCGCACACGATCTCGCAGCAGCAAGCTTGCGAATGCAAGTATTGAGGGCTGTAATGTATGGACGTCATTCGAGTGCATGTTGAAAAGATGCGACTCGGTATGTTCAGCAGAAATTCTGCGGCTTTCCTGCGCGCAGGATGAATCCGTACTAGGATCTTGGATCCTTGGTTGTGATTTGAATCGGTAAGGAATGCTTATATGAAAAATTGCCACAGACTCGAATTGGTACTTTTTAATCGGATGAACCAAGAAGAGTAGTTTTAAACAAACTGAAAAGGAACGCAGAGTAAATGAACAACGCAAAATGATTCTGAAAATGGTCATCGACTAACAACACATATGGAGACACGTGAGAAACACAGGAAATTCTGTTGTTCGAAGTAACAAGTTAGAAAATAAATCGTGTGAAGTTGCTGACCATTGGAAGAGTGTCGCAGCGAAAAAAGACACACATCGTAGGGCGTAGATATGAATACTACTAATTTTTAAACCGGAAATGATTTTTTGGAATTCTTCAAAATGAACATGATCGTGAGCAAAATGCCAATTACTGGTGTTGGGAACAAAGTAACTTCTGTAGTGTCGGTTCTTCTTGTCTTCTATTGCAGCACTTTCGAAGAGGAGTTGCTTCTTCAGGATTCTTGAAGATGTTAGTATTAGTCCCTGCTGCGCTTCGGCGTGCGGGAGCGGGACTTCGACCGATCGTCTTTCTCCTTGCTGGACTCCTTCAGCCAGCTCTCGAAGTCGGTTTTTCCCAGGATTCTCTTGCCGAGACCACCCTTGCGTACTTTCTCGTATTCGTTCTTGGAGATGTCGCCAGCCTTGGTCGGATGAAGACCCTTATCACAGTAGACTTTGCCGCCTTTCTTATGAGTCTTGTTGGAGCAAGGAGTGTCCTTGCAAAAATGCCAACACAGGCGGATGGCACCTGTGCTGTCGCGCTCGCCACTGCCACCGCCGCCACCACCGTTGTTCCGCGGTGGACTATTGTTGTGCTTCTTCTTGTTTGCAGAAGAAGGTAGAGCTAGGCAAATGACCTCCATGTTCTTGAAGATGACCTCATGGGTCTGAGTGAGTTGCTTCACTTGGCGACCAAAAATGTTGATGAAGGTGCCGTTGAAAAACCCCGTAACACGTTGTTGGTACGTTGTGGCAGTGCCATCCGCCAAATTGCGATCCGGTGCTTGAAGTTCTAGCTCTTGTAGAGACTCCCACCACAACTTGCGCACCTGACCCTCCCACTCATCTTTTTTGTCCTCGAACGCCTCAGGCAGATCCCTGATCTTTTCGTTCAGATCGTTGATGAGGGCGTTGGCCGCATTCTCCGTGAGGCAGCGGGCCTCCCTGCCATTGATGCGAAGATGATAGATCAGCTGTTCGATGGTCAAATCCTTCTTATCCTGCTTGTAGTTAGTCACAGACGTGTATCGCAGCGTCTCGATATTTCTGTATTTCACCGCGTCATTGATTTTGCGGAAGTCTTTGACGTTGGGAAGGCGGTGGACACGCGGGATGAATGTCACCGCGTTGCGGTGATTCTGGATCTCAGCGTCGCGGATAGCATCCGCAAGTGGGAGTTGGTATTGGTTGTTACCAGCAGCGACCAGGGCTCCTCCAGCTTGTGCCGCCATCTTGTTGCTTGTGCTTTGTAGTGACTCGGTTGAAGAAGTAACACGACTGAATCAACATAGACAAGTGGATATTTTCATTGAAGAATGGAGCGTGGGTGACGGAATACAAGCAAAGGAGAGGTTAGACGAAAACCAGAAATGCAACGATAACATGAAGGATAGCAATTAAGTAATTACATAATGATCAGCGTATGATTAAGAATTATGTGACTGGACTGCAGCCCTTTTACCTTTTCTTTGCTTTTTTCCGCTTTTGAGAGCCCACTAGTTCCAAGGACAACACTAGTCGAGTTGAAGAGGAAATCGGCTGCGCATGCAGTCAAGATCACTCGCACTCACTAGCATCACTCGCTCTTGTCAGGCAATTATTTTCATTGCAGTGCTCAGCAAGGATGACTCGCTAAAAGAAAAAACCGGATACCAGGTGGCATCTTTTTACTCGCGCCCTGTTATCCTGACTGCTGGACTCAGCAACACATGACAACGCGCGTTCTTTTTGACGCCATTTGTGACACAATCAGCCTGATTTTTGGACTGAACCAGCGCTAGATTGGGACAAACGAAACGCCCTTGTATCTGCACTCCTTGTACTCGTTACCCCTATTATAATACACTATCACCTGCTCCTTCTGCCAGCGTAAGTGTGACGCGACTCTTGCGTCGGATATGTCGCAACCCATTAAGTGCTGTAGACAGCCAACCCGCGTCATGTGCGTCTTCCTGAGGTTGAAGTGCTGCTGCAGATTGTCGATGTATTCGCGTTTCCAGCGGCGGTCATCGCGAAGCAACGGAACCGTTCTGTGAACGCAGAGGTTCCGCAGCGCGGGACATTCGGCATCGCATAGGCATCTCACGTAGATGCGCTTCTGGAAATTACTCTTCAACGTGTACTTGTTTAGATCCAGCAGAAACACCTTGCTCCTAGCGTTGTAGGCGAAGTCCCCAGAGAAGGGGATGTATTGATTGACCGAGTCGTCAAAAATGGATGATGGATCAGCTGGATCGCACACTGCTCCGTCGGAGTCGTCCTCGTCGGAAAGGTCGTCGCTAGACGCCGACTCTTCGTCACACCTGCCACCAAACCTTGTTATTGACAACAAAGTGTTTCTCCTAATGCCGAAGAAAAAAGCGATCGACAACGCGGAAGCAAAAGGTAGGTCAAAAGCCGTCAAGTCCACAATCTCCTCGAGTAACACGCCAGGGGCAGGTTCGTGCAGGAACTTCCCAGCACGCCGTTGTCTGCTAACAATTGCGTTGATATCGCACATGTCCGCTTCGCTTAACGCGCAACCATGTCTAACGCACCTCAGTCTGCCGATGACCGAATACAAATAATCGTCCGCACTGCTGAAAGTGGCTATTCCACTTGAGTCGCCGACCAACGCGGTCAAGAACTTGAGTGCTCGTGATTTTGTCAGTGGTATGGGAGTAACACAATCATCGTCATGGTTTCCTAACACAGCCATAACCTGGAAGTACCGCTTCAACCTGGCATCTTCCGTCGCCTGGCCCGCTCTTCTCGTGATGGAGTCGAAGGCTGCCAGGAATCTGGATGGATTAGCAGCCAAGTTGAGGGCTGATTCGATCTTCTTATTGGTCTTCGTCGCTTCGAACGCTTCTTGAATCAGCGGCTTCAACTGACCGGGAACATTGGCATCGCTGAAGATGGGGTGGGGGTTACTAAACGTGGGAACCAGAGGCTCAGCATCCACCAAAGAAGACGTGCTCGAGGACGAGGACGCAGCCGTAGCAGAGGGTTTACTAGGGAGTACTGGGGTTAACTTCTTGGGCGCCGAGGACACTGTCTTCAGTCGCTTCTTCTTCACTCGGATGAAGGTTTTTAAGTCAACCATACCGGCATCGAACATCTCTTCGATGGATAAAGGCTTGGCCTCGCCGACGTTGTTATCGTGCGCAGTGAGCGCTGGATTCTCGGCGAGCTCCCCGAGACCACCGCAACTGTTGAGCTCCGCGGCAGCTCGCAATAGTTCGTCATCATTGACGTATTCCATATCGTTCGTTGGTTTTGTTGTTCAAAACGGAACAAATTACTATTAATCTGACCTTAATGACAGAAAAGCGAGAAAGAAGGGAGAGGATACAACAAATACTGACAAGTTTGTTTATTCAAAGCCATAAAGCGAGTTATGTTGGAGCAAAAGAAACGAGCTGAAATACTCAGAGAGCAGAATGAAGGGTGTGGGAAAGAATACAAGCCACGGAGTCGTGGTTTCCCGTCTCCGTGCCCTCGCTCGTCTCTCATACTCACTCGCGCTCACGCTCGAAGGAAGGGCCATTTTACCGAGTGTAAGAGTATGATTTTCGTAACAGTGCTAGCAATCACATTGACGAACAACTTACCCCAATAAAAAATTACGCTGACGCTTCGCTTCGCGCCGAATTTAAGTACATATTCATCAACTTCAACGAGAAAAGCTTACTTACTCTGCTGCCATTCCCCATTCCTGAATTAGCAATTCGACGACTTCGAGTTGCCCTGCTAGACATGCCCACATGAGACAAGTCCAGCCTTCATCGTCCTGAATATCGAGAGTCGCACCTTGCTGTAACAAATAGTCGACAATTTCCAGCTCCCCCTGCTCCGCTGCCTTCATCAAGGACGTTATTCCTGCAAGAGTTTTTTGGGAAGAGAATGTTGCAGGATGATCGGTGGAGTTGGCGAACTAAACTAACTACGGAACAATCGAAGCAGCACAATAGAGGTGCAGTCACTACACTAGCTATCCTCCACCTCGTTTCTAGTGAGCAGGGAATAAACAGAGGAAAAGGAAAGTAGCCAAAATTATCAAAACTCAAATACCTTCATCATCCTTTGCGTCAAGAAGGCGCCGCCTCTCTGCCTGGTCCAGTGATCGTGCCAGTTTTGACGATTGTCGGTCGGTACTGCTCTGCCTTGTCTTTGAACCAGAAGCATTGCTCGGCAAAAAGTCTGAAAATGAATCAGATCAAATGTGCGGCTGCTGTTGATGCTGACTGACGCTGACTTCTTTCAACAAATACTAGAAAAATCCGAGACATCATCTTCATGTGATAAATCAAGAATCTAAAGTATACATTTACATGAACACGATGGATATAATTAGATAGAAAAAGCATGAGTACCTGATACCGCTTTCTTTTTGTGTGTTGCGATGATGTAGTCGACAAAGTACTGCACTACGTGTATTTGCCCTTCTTTACAGGCTTTCATAAGCGCTGTTTCGCCTATATCGTCTTTTGCATTGATTCGTGCTCCTTTGTGTAGGACATACTTGACTATATCGAGATACCTGGTCGGCGAGTTGAGGAAGACAATGTGCTGCCGCCCGCCGGCGTCAAGGTCAATGGAATTGGAATCGATATCGAAACTTAACTATTAATAACTTGACAACCAAGCAGTTGTATAATTATGACTAAGACGATGAAGACCAAGGGGTTAAGAGCCTAAGAACTGCATCTTACGAATCATCATGATGAGCTTGATGACTAAGCATCATTGAGTGCCCTGGAAAAGTAAATATTATTTTCATTGCATGCCCTGGAAATAAAGCTTCCATGGCTCCTCCTCCCACGACAACGGCATTACAAATTGTAGATGCAAAAGTGACTGTACCCTTGAGAACTTGCGTGCATTAGCGCCGTTTGTCCATCTGGGTCACGCTGATCTGGTTTCGCTTTTGGCTCGTCCAGCCATCTTTCGACGCCCTCGAGCAAGCCTGTCTTGGCAGCATCGATCAGAGGTGAAGCACTGCTCAATGCACTTTTGGCCTGGTTTGATTTCAGGGCAGCGAGGAGATTCGACGTCATCGTGAGCGAATTGTAGTTGTAATAGATTAAAGATGGAGAGGTCCGGGAAAAGCAGGGAGTGCACTAGCTTCTGCCAAATTACTTCCCGATCGTTTCCAAACAATTCGACAGAAGGCTTGATGGTCTTGTTTTTGTGCGAGAGACAGAAAGTCCAATCAAAGCAAAAGAGGGGCGAGTGGTAGCAGAAGAGCAGGCACTCAATGTGACTGTATTTGGAATCAAGCCTCTGTACAATGTTGGAAGATGAACGACAACGTCGACAAAAGCTCGTCACACCAGTTGCTAGTTGTACTTCGTTCTACTCAGTTCCACTCGACGGTGATTGGCAATGCTTCATTTCGTGCCCCAGCTCTCTGGCGAGTACTTTCCCACGCAGGTAACACCTCATCATCGGCTAGCAATAGTTATCTGAGTTAGCGAACTGCAGCTACAACTAGCTCTAATTTGGTATTGCACTTGCAAGACTATTTATTGCTACCTAACTCTTGCTTCTTGCAAAACAAACTTCATGACGCACATCGAGGAAAGACTTTACTTAAATGATGTTCATGTTGACGGCCTAAAAGTGCAAGCATAATAAGCACCTGCGAAACAAGCATGGGACAAAACCTGTCCATCCTGCAGCGGCTGCATATACTGCCACTAAGAGGAACATCTTAAGAAAAAACCAAAGTCGGGTGCCGCTCATTTGTTTTCGTCTCCATGTTTCACTCGCAATTGCAACTCTCTAGTCCGTTGTTCATCGCTCGGAGATGCACAAAAAAATCACGCTAATAAGACTACTCACCTCCACCCGGGATGCTGGAAAGAAAAACCGACTCCTGTTACCTGTACACCAATTTCATCTGGAATCGCCGCGTGGCTCGCTGCTCGCAGGAAAAAAAACTTTGAAAGGCCTTGTCCTGAGGAGAACAACATCATGTGACATTTTTAGCCAGCAAAATGGAAAAACCCCGGTCGGGGTCTTGTAGGAATGAATGACTCCTGCGCTGGAGCTGCCTGCTATCTTCGTTCTTGTTTCGTGCATGACAATATGTTGCGTTTGCTCGTCATCTGCCTATGTGAGGATTTCTATGCAGAAGTTTCTGCTCATGGACGATGTCAGTGTCACTACCATCTTCACTGCAAGTGCAAGTGGATGAAACTACAAGATGCATGTGCGAAGACATTGATTACCTCCTGGTGGGCGCAAACTCCAGGAGGTAACGATATTTATGAAGATAGATGTCATGTCATTTGTCTCCGATTTGACCTGCCAAATCAACCTTGAGGCCAGACCCTAGGGAACCAAGTAAGTAAGTCGAAACCGTTCCAAAGAGTGCAACAGTAACGTACTAATTTGCCTCGCAGTAGCAGTTTTCAAAACAACTTATCTTTAGACTTTTTAGTTGAAGTAGGTTGGCGAGGGGCATGGACTACTATGCATTTTCTGTGCGGAAGTCATTTCCTTATTGTGTTCAAAGCAGGTCACGATTCTCAAAAAACAGTTCACAACCACTAGATTCTATCACGGACATTGATGATCTTCTATAATGTATGGTACCGTTACGTTTCTTTGGTTTTGGAAAACTTTTTCTATCTTGTCAGCTAGCTTTGGCATAGTAAGATATTGGACTTGGTGGTGCACTTCATAGCCGGTATTTGTGGGCTCTTGGATAAGATTTCAATGTGAAAAAATGTCGCCAGTTCATCAAAGTTTAATTTATTTAGAATTTGGAAACAGATTCAGATTCTTTCGCGTTCTCGTCTATGATATCTATTTTCTGTTCTCTGTTCAGTCTTGCGCTGTCGGTTTCAGCTACTAGTATAGACATTTTTCTGTTGTAGTCAACATGCTGGTAAACATTTTCCCCTGCTGTTGCTTGATTATTCATCGACACGATAAGATATTCGTCACTTTCAAGCCAGATCGTTGACCGGCGCGAGGGTGACATTTGTGCTCGAAGTGATAATAAATCAAGTATCTGCTTCTATCAGTCAAGGCTGCGAATCTTCACAACCTAAATGTAAATCATACCTACTCAACCTGAAGCTATGTATAAAGATAATATTCATGTATAAAGATAATATTCAAGCTCTTCAAATCATGTTTTTTGCGAAAAATAAGCTCAAGAACAATGGGTTCACAGATCATAACACAACATTTTCATTAGGTTTAGGTAATCTATAATCTCGATCCTGCAACCAATTTTGTTGTTCGTAATGAAAAACAATAGAACATGAAAGGTTATATTCATTGGATTTGCGCGGAAAAGCCGTATCTATTACCAGCCACTGTGCCAAGCTTCGGCATCCGAGTGACCTCTGGGCTGGCGTTGGCCGCGGGTCTCGGGAGTTTGGATGCGTCTGGGGGTAAGAAGACGTGGTAGTGGTGATGCATGTGCTTGTGCGCTGGACCGTCCGCAGAACCGCCGCTCCCTGATGATCCATTCGATTCTTTGGATCGTGACCGCTGGGGCTGCATCAGGTTACTTGTGGACGCCGAAGTGCGCATCCTCGTACTGCCTCCTCGAGATCCGCCTCCACCCCGAGGACCCTGAACCACTTGCCTGCTCATTCGCGCACCCAGATGTTGGTCGATGGCTGTGAGCTGTTGATTCTGTGTCAGCGCTCCAGGGACGTAATTTCCCGGATGCTGGTGCACGTGGTGCACGTGCTGCATTCGATTCATCTCGCCTTCCTCCTCTAACGCAGAGTTCACCTCCAGTCCCGGATAGTTATTCACATTCTTGCCTCCTCCTGGAAGTCCGGATGCTGATAGACTCGTTGACGTCAATGGAAAGAGCTCACAGCTGGCCTCGCTTGGGGCTTCTGGCTGAATCAGCTGATTCAGGACGTCACTAGGTAAAGGCTGGTTTCCGGATCTGGGATTTAGTGGTCGAGAACCCGTTGTGCGGTTCATCAAAGGATTAGTTCGCTCCCGGGAACGCGGCACGCCGCCGTGTGTCTGCCACATACGATCGCGCTGCATGGCGGCTGAACGAAATATGACACGACATCGACGTGGGTGGGTGCAATTTAAATATTCAAATCAAAAAATGAAAATGTTGTAGTTGTACTCAAATATCTTAGTTTCATCCTCAGAATTTACAATTAGATTTTCTGGTGATCACTGCCGGAACAAATCAACCAAGCAGCCAAAAATTCAAATGAAGCCCATTACCTTCCGCCATGGCTACTGCCTCTCCGTATTTTCCCATCAGCTTTGGCGGCTTCCCCGGCTGACTTCCA